GACTGCCGTTGATCTCCATATAGTCTGTCCAGAAGAAGTTGAGACTTCCGTCTTCCTCGACGGCATCCTTGTGGTCGATTTTACCGATGCCCTTGGTCTCGCTTGGTGAGCTCGATACCACGTTGAGCCTTTCTGTGAGAGCGTTCCAGGATGTGGAATCGACAGCGGCGCCATTGGCTTTGACGGGGGAGGAGCTGGCGGGGGTTGGGTAGGCTTCCGCCTTGATGATCTTCTTTATCGGCCTCGAACTCGTCAGGTTGACGCTGGTTGCGGCGATAGTGCCTGCATGGGCAACTTCCATCATGTCCTCGTCTTCATCGTCCTTGGGCTCCTGCTTAACCTGAGCCTTTCTCTGAGCGACTTTGGCGGCGGGTGAGGATGGGGCTGGTCCTTCGCTCATGGGAATGTCGGCAACTTCGAGGTCTGAGAGATCGTCGGCGGCGGGGGGGATAAAGCCATCGTCGTCATCAGCAGCTGGGGGTAGGGGGGATGGTAGCCGAGTGTCGAGGGTCTTCTTCTTCTTGGGGATGGGTTCGGGAGCAGGCGATAGTGCCCTTGCCTTGCGGCGTCCGCCGGATCTCTCGATCGCCGAGATGCGCACAGCGGGGGCCGGGATATTGTTATCAACCTCGCCCAGGAGATCTGTCAGGAAATCGTCGTCGGCCTTGGTTTTGACAACCTAGTTACAGGTTAGAACCTGATGGCATATCTCTAGTCGAAGGGATAGTTACCTTGGGCTTTGGCTGTGCCCTGCCAGCACCCTTGGTAAAGTATTCGCTAATGTCCTTGTCATTGGCGTCTCGTTTTGCTTGCTCCTGTTGGCGGTTCTTCTTGGCTGCACGTCTTGTAAGCACATGGACCATGGCATTATATAGCGAATTCTGCTGAAGGACTAACCAGCTTTGCTAGGTCGTCCACGGACTACTGCCTCTTCTTCACTGTCCGAGTCGTAGGCTTGTACCCTATCCCACTCTTCTCGGCCGTCGTCTGCGTAACCCTCTCCGTTGTCATCGACGACAAAGTCATCCTCGTTTAGTCGGTCACGGACGATCTTCTTGTATCCGGCTTCGTCGACTTCGTCGTAGAGGTTATCAACATCCTTAACCTTGTAGTTGTCAAAGGCCTTCTTGCCGGACTGGCGAAGGGCCTTGAGCTCTGCGAGCCTGGCCCTGTGAGACATGGCGACTGCGAGCCTCAGGCTGATGGCATATCAGAAGGGCGATTGAATGGGAATGAGGCTCGGATTTTATGAATCGTTAGGTATTCGAGGTCGTATCCAACGAGCAGTGTCAATATCGACAATATTTCGAGACGGTTGACAGTGCAATGAGAAGTGGAGGGTGGAGGTGCTCGATCCCCTGGCATGGCAACCGTCATTAGAAAAGTGGCCAGGCCAACGCGTCAAGGCGCGTTCTCACTGTCGCGTTGCCCGTGTCAATGGTGGGGCTTCCCTTAAAGTGCTTTACAGAGTGTGCAACCAATAGGAGCTTGATGACAGGTGTGGCGGTGCGCTCAAGTACCCCTCTACAAAGGGTACTTTGCCGTGCACAAGCGACATGTGCATAAACACCTATGATGGAAGTCAGCACAAAAAGAGTTAGCTTCATTGGCTGTGACGCGAACCTGTCACTTTACGCGACTTGTCCAATGTTAGTGCCAGCCGACCGTGTCTCTTGGACAACTCCAAACTACTGTGGTGGAGGGGTTATGGTGCTTTGCACAATTAGACATGCTACTCTCAAAACATGAGCGTTCTCTCCGTAACTGATACACTGGCACTCCGAAATATGTTCACAAGATAGCCAAGTTCCTCTCAATCTAGACATCTTTGCACTTACTTAATGCTCACAGAGAGATAACCATCTAAGCCAGCCTCCTCTCTTCCGGCTCAAGTCGAGCAAGAAGAATGAGTACATTCTCATTACCAACCCCAGAAGTTCTCTTCAAATTCTTTTCTTCTCCCAATTTTACTGTTGCTCATCATTCTCCAATAGCCCAACGTTGCTCGCCCGAGTTGTTTGTGATTGGATCACATTCAGATCCAGGCAAATCGAGACGTCCAATGGTGCGGGCACTCATTATATAGGATGCCCAACGGGTATATATCAACGATGGCCCTAACAACCAAGTTATCGGTGAGTATTTCTGGACTTGGCATGCATAGAGTTTGTAGTATGTCAGTTTAGTATAGTTACGGTGAAATAACCAAGTTGAAAGTGGTTTTGGAGATGCAGCCCCAGATCGTACACGACAAAAATCCATCTCCTTTCTCTTAAACGCCTTCTTTTGCCTGCCCTGACCATTTTTCTCTAGCTTTATCCTTCATGTCAACATTTAATATACATGGCTTGATATTGTACAACAACCAGCTTATTCCAGTGCCCTCCAGCACATCTTCTACCGGCATTCATTCATACAGACGTCCGTCACCACTCGATAGGAGCACGTCGACTGTGAGCATCGTTGTTTGGGGGCTTTCCCTGGAAGTCTTGATCTTTTGATCTGTAAGAACGACGTCCCTCGTCACGTCTCTGCCTGTAGCCCCCCCGCTCGCGGTTCTGCCTCGGCCCAGGTTCCCTCGCGAGATCCAGCGGCTTTCCCGCCACCGTCGTGTCCCAGTGGACACCGATCTCATAGGGGCTTTGGTAACCCGTCATGTCATCCTCTGCCGACTTGCGGCCCAGCTGGCGTAGTTTAGGCTCGTTCAGCTCGCGGTCCTGGAAGAAGGCATGGATCTCGCGGTTGATGCGGCCGCCGATGGAGCGGATCTCCTTGAGGTCCGCCTCGGGAAGCATCTCTTGCTGGATGATCTTGTTGTAGGAGCCGTACATGAAGCGGGCGAGGGCAATGACCTCACGCTGCTGGTTGTATAGAATGCCCTGATCCTTTTTCGTTTCGCCCTTGACCTCCTTGAAGTAATGGTCGTGGAGCTTGCGGTACGGCTGCCAGAGGCGGTCGAGGGCCTGGGCGATCTGCATGCCGTAGTCACGCTTGGCGCCCTCGACGTCGCCCTCGTTGGAGCGGTTGCGCAGGTGATAGTGGGAGGCTTGGGAGACCCGGAGGTAAAGGCGCAAGGTGTGGGGATCGGGCACCGGGAGACGCTTCATCATTTCGTCGAGGGCGCGGGTCGAGTTCTTGATGGCGTTGAGGTTGATGTTGTCGGCGATGCACGTCTCCATGGCCATGCGGAAGAACTGAGCGTCGATGCAGTCGTCAGGGATGATGGCGAGGACTTCGGTACAGTGGGCACTGGCCTTTGCTGCCTTGAGCATGACAAACAGGCGCGTCCAGCAGTCCCGATCTGGCACGATCTGGTGTTCTCGTACCAGGCGGTTCCAGTACTTGATACCAACCGTGTTCAGGCGCGCCATTCCCAGAACTGTGAGCACGCCAGCCAACGTATTGCGGCCGGGGGTAGCGTATGAGCCCTTTGAAATAACTTTCTTGCCTTTTTCCCAGTCCTTGCCACTCGTGTTCGAGGTTGAGTCACCATCCTTTCTGGTCAAGTTGGTGATCCCCATTGTCTCTTCGATGAGATCGAACACCTCCATCTTTTCCTCACGCGTGCTACTTAGCATGAGCAGGCGCATCATGGCACATACCAGCGGCTCATCGATTTTCAAGAGTCCTTTTCGCCACCTGTCCATGACCTCCTCCCACACGGCCTTGCCGCGTCGGATCGCAACCACAATATCCGCCTTCTTTTGGGTAACCGTCAAATCCTTCACGCCAGTTCCGGCATTGTATCGAAGGGCATTAATGACGGTTGTGTAGGTGTAAGCCGTCGGCGGCCGATGCACATCGTGGATGGTGTTGAGGACGGAGAACATGGAGTCCAAGTCCCCTGCCCGGTTGCAGACATTGATCACGGCGTTGAGGTGGAACGAGTTTGGCGTGAGGCGACGATCTGTGATAAGTCTGTTGTATATCCTCAGGGCCTCGGCCACGGCAAGCTTTGGGTGCTCTGATTCGGCAAGTCCACGGAATATGACGGTGTAAGTTCGAGCATTGGGTTCCTGGGCACGCTTCTTCATCTGGAGTCCAAGTTAGAAAAAGTACAAGGGCGGCAATGCTTTACATGTATGTTACTTACCTCGTTATATAGCTTTATCGCCTTGCGCAGCTGCTGCTTCTTCAACATGTAACCGATCAAGTGGTTCCAGGATACCACGACTGCATGGTCCTTGCTAGCCTTCTGTGTCATATACAGAGCCTTTTCGTATTCGTCTTTCTCGAGCGCCGCCTGGACCCTTTCCGCAATCTTGTATGGATCTTCCAGGTAGCGAAGCTCCTTCAAGACGTTGCGCTCCAGCTTTTCTCTAGCTTTCTTGTCCGCGACCCCATTTTCCTCCTCCTCCTCCTCCTCCTTGACGGCAGGTTCAAGTTCGGCCTTGAGTACATTCGTTCCGCTCGGCATCCGCGAGGTTGTGGTCGTGGCTTCAGCACTGAATACCCGGATCGTCTGTCGGAGGGGACGGGCTTGAAAGAGGGTTGTCGATTCGAGAGCCGGTCTCCGCCGCGGGACGGCATGTAGCGTCCTGCGCAAACAATTACCGTAGGATAGCATCTTCTCGGCCAGAGCAAGATCTTAGAATTTAGTAGTTGAAGGTGGCAGGCGAGAGCCAAGTACAGACAGAGACTTGCTAGACATGAAATCCGGGGTCTAAAAATTCCACTATCTTATCTTATCACGTCAAGCCCACCATAAAGTACGTACCGCGCCACACGCGCTTAGCGTCTCTCAGCCGCGCGAGTCCACTCGCGGGTCTCCTAAAGTCACACCCCTCTCCCCTGCATCATTCCCAAGCACACAGACTCTCCAATTAGAGACGCGCTTCGCGGTCGCAATCCCAACCAGCGTTTCTTTTCTTCAGGTTCCTCGAGACACCAAGCAACAATCTACAATCAGCCTTCAGAGCGTCCTTCCTTTCTTTTCGCCTGACCTTTCGGGACTATCATATCTATCATCTCACTCCCCCAGCCGGGCCAAATCTGCAACCATGGCCAAGGTCGCCACAGACTTCGAAAAGATCATCCAAGAGGGTAAGCGACAACAAGGCTCTCCCGCAGACCTCAAAAACCATATCTAACCTTGACTTCCCCTCACAGGGCGCGAGCGAAAGAGGAACGAAGCCCTCGCCGACCGCATTTTCTCCAAGAACCGTCGCCAGAGCGCACCCTCGAAACTCAAGGCCGCCCCCGGCCCATCGCTAGCAAGCCGCGTCGGCGTAAAGAAGGTACACACACACTCACCCACCGGCCTCGTCAACGCCCTCCCATTGCCCTCTCGCAAGGATTCATGTTGAACCCCATCTCCGTGTTATAGCAGCGCAACTCGTCTATCGGCATCCGGCCAAACCCCGCCCCTCCGGGCAACGTCAACGGCGAATGGACACATGACCTACACCACTCCATCAACGGAGACGATCGCGGCTCCCTGAGCTCCCGCATCACCGCCCCCGGCGCCGCTGGCAAGAGGGCCGGTCGCCGCGCCGCGCGCCTGTCCGCTGCCCTCGATCGCATGGACACATCGACCGATGGGCCGCAGCAAGTCAACATCATCAAGCCCAAGGGTGCAGCCGGCGCCGCTAGCAGCAGCCCCATGGGTTTGACCATCCGAGGCCTCGCGGGGCCTTTTACAGTCATGGCACAGAACTTTGCGCCTGGCACTACGGCTGCCGACATCGAGAGTGCCATGACTCCTGTGGGTGGCGAGATGGTGAGCTGCCGGATCGTCAAGACGAAACCCATCATGATTGTCGAGATGGCGTTTACCTCGCGCGAAGGCGGCGAACGTGTCATTGAGACCTTCAACGACAAAACCGCAGGTTTCCCCACGTCCAATTCATCTCTTGTCCTTGTCTAACCTCCTTCCTGTAGGCCGACGGTAGAATCATCAAGGTCTACCCCAAGCTCGGTGCCACCCAAGCAACCCCCTCAAACAACGCCCCCAGCAACGCCCCTAGTGGCCCTCGCAGCACCCGCCAGCCCAAGCCCAACAACAACGACAGCATTGTAGATGGATCTATGGGCTTCCCCGACTTGATGGATACGACCAACACCAACGGCAATTCTTCACGCTCCGACCAGCTCTATAGCGACAAGCTTGTTGGTGGAAACCGAAGAGGACGAGGAGGCCAAAGGGGCCGTGGCGGAAGGTGATGATCCTGTCGCCTGACCTCGATTATTTGTTTATTGTCTGTTCACCTTTCAAATCATCCTTGGGAGAAGCCGTTCGGGTATTTTGTAGCATTAGAAAAGCCAGGTCGTCTGCTTGAGGGCAGCCACGCAGGCCACGGTGTGTGATATTGGGGCTAGGCGTTTTTGGAGTCAATCTCTTGTATGCCATGCGCCATCGCAGCGCTCTTCTGGAATCGATGGAAATAGAGACAAGTTACACGTATTCAACGACGCCAAGGTATCAGCTGAAAGAGTCATAGTCCAAGGCAAGACGTGAAGCAGAGGCAAGGGGCAATTCATCATGTTTTATACCGTAACCCATCCTCCCAAGACTCAACCCCAGGAACCTATCCCCCTTCCAGGAAAACGCACCAGTACAACTACACGATTGGGAATCCCGGACCCAAGAATCTCTCCCTCTCCTGCTATGCAAAGCGCACTTTGTCCTCGTACACCAAACCAAAACAAAAATAACAATATCTACAGCCAGGGACCAATCGCTGCAGGCCATCTGAGCGGCCTTCTACCGATCTCGTTAAACCCCTTCAACGTTTCGGCCCTGGGTCAACAAGCCCTTCCTCTCCCCAAGCTATAAACAAGCAACAATCAAGTGTGCCACCACCGGGAGCGTGCCCGGTTGTATAACAGCCGTGTCGAGGCAGGCCTCGCTCGTGTCAAAGCAAAAGAAATCATGCATAAACAAATATCCCCATCCATCTCGCAGGCAACTGCTCGAAGCCATCCGACTCCTATCGAACCGGAAGCCGGGTGTGGTGCTTTCCAGCTCCCCGTGATCCTCGCTTGAGGCATGTTGGAAGCGGCCTCAGCATCGAAATGCCCCACTGGACGGATATTCGAAGCCCCTGACTTCCTTCCCCGAGCCACTGCTGCCGCGTCTTGCTTGTGAGCGTCACGCTGAGGTCAATTCGGCAATGGCTTAGGTCTCGTCTTGTCGGCGCCCCAAGCATCGAGGAGGTGAGAAAGAGGCTCCTAGCTCATTAGAACTACCACAGGGCTTCGCTCAAATACCAACCATGAGCTCTGGCTCGTTTGCCATGCCGTCGTGATCGGACGTCGGGGGTGCAGGTTCGCCTAGCGAGTGGATGCGCTCGAGTCACAGGTTGGCGCGGACATCTGGTCCATCGTTAGGCCAATTCAATGCCAGGTGTTCTGGTTGCCCATAAAACCTTCTTCGAGAGTACGCTCCTCCAGGTTCCGGATAAAGTCCCTGTTTCCTCGACCACCTTGCTGCACCCGGCTCCCCCTTCGTCCGGCCCCTGTTCGAGTGGCATTTTCCGCTGCTGATGCCATGCTCTCTCCAGTTGGTGGGTAGTACGCCGGGCTTGGCTGCAACCGAATTGGTTGACTGGGGTCGAGGTGGCTGGCCACTCGTTGGATGGCAGCAGGAATACCGCTCTGCTGCTGCTCCATAGTCGAAGCACGTGGCCGTTGCTGCCTCATGCCTCCTTGTTGATACATGTTGGGCTGGGGCATTTGCGCATATTGACCCTGAGCCATCTGTTGAGGCTGCTGGGACATGACCATCGGTCCATACTGACCCGACTGCTGACCATATGCTGAGGGCATGTTTCCATGACTGCCTCCAGGAGAATACATGGAGTTGTTTCCATACATCTGCGATTGCGCATGACCAGACTGTGAGTACTGTCCCGAGTTCATCGAGGCGTAAGCTCCTTGGGCTGCCGAAGCGGCTTGTGCCTGCGCCGCTTGCGCACGCTGCTTGCTGAGTGCTTCGGCTTGTTGCTGCTGCTGCGTTCCGGGAGCTGGTGATCGGTTCAGGGAGCTTGACTTGAGGTTCATGGGCGGAACAAAAGGACCAGTAAACTTTTGTTGCGTGATGAAAGGATGAAGCTTCGCTTGCTGCGGTGACCATCGCTCCAGAGGGTTGATAGTGAGGAGACCGCGAACAAAGTCGATGAAAGCGATGCGATTGTTCATTTCTGTACCTGTCAGTAACTGTCGAAGCAGTACCTGCATGCGATGGACACATACCTCGATCAATCTCGCTCTGCTTCATGTTTTTCCGGGGCATGGGGTACGACTTGATGATCTCAGGGAGGGTGTTCGCCTGGAAGTACTTCTTGCTCGGCTGCTCCTTGGTACCGCGCTCGCGGGCGTACTGCTCCATACTCTTGAGGTGATATGTCCGTCGGCCAAACTCGTCTTGCCTCTTCTCAAAGAAATCACCAGCTTGCTTGCCCATCTCGATCATCCAGTTAGGCGGATTGCCGAGCATCTCGACGATTCGCGACACTTGGTTGTACTCGGACGAACCTGGGAACAGTGGGAGTCCCAGGAAAAGCTCCACCACGATACAGCCCAGAGACCACATGTCGATGGCGGAGGAATAAGGAAGGCCGAGCAGGACTTCGGGGGAACGATAGAATCGGGACTGAATATAAGTATACACGGTTTGTCGCTCGTCGCAAGCCGAACCGAAATCGATAATCTTGATGATGGGGCTCTCGAGATTCTTGAGCAAAATGTTTTCGGGCTTCAAATCGCAGTGAATCAGGCGGGCCTTGTTGAGAAGTGCGAGACCATTGAGAAGCTGCTGGGCAAAGACGCGGACCAGAGTGGTGCTGAGTCCTCGGAACTGGTTCTGCTTGATAAGCTCGTACAAGTTGACGCTGAGGAGCTCAAACACCAGGCAAAGATGTTGACGGTGGATAAAGGTATCCTTCAGGCGCAGAAGATGATGGTCGTCGTTCTTGTCGAGCTTTGTGTTGAGCTGATTGCAGGGTTAGTCTTGGTGAACGATGGCCAGTGGGTTCTAATCGCATACCAAATCGAGTACTGAAACCTCCATCATACTCTGGTTGAAGTAGGCTGTGCGGTTCTTGATAACCTTGACAGCCACTACCTCTTGGGTCTTGAGGTTCTGACATTTGACAACCTGACCAAAGGTACCTTGACCCAACACGTCCAAGATGAGGTAACGGTTCCTAGAAAGGTCAATATTAAGCGCCTGATAGTTGGAGTAACGTAGTGCGACATACTTGTGACCCGCCTCCTCCGAACCAAGGATATCGTTGACGTAGAGGATGTAATCGCTGTCCTCGTTGTCGTAGCCATCGTTCTTGACACCTTTACTGGGCTTGGTCAAGACTCTACGAGGATTGCGCGACGATTCGTATTTAAAGCTTGGGTTGCAAATGCGGTACGTAGCAGGCAGATGAACGGTCAGAGCTTGAAGGGGCTGCGCAATCCTGTAAGCATGGAGAGACACGGACGAGCGGGAAACCGCAAAAAACTTACGCTGATGAAGCCGCCTTCGGGATTGGCGCGACGGAACGGAGGCTGCGAATTGACCTTGGGGTGAAGGTCAGACGGAGCCCTCAGCTTCTTAAACTCTGGCACAGGGCCCCTGCTGACGGGCACAGGTCTGCGAGGAGACTTGGGATCGAGGTTAAAGGCGCCATCGATGTTGGCAACAACAGACGAAGGGTAGCCCTCTGGGGGGTTTCCAGACGCGTAAGGGTTGATGGGAGGCAGCTGCTGGCCTGGCTGGTGTGGGCGACCAGTGGGGAAGTAAGGAGGCTGAGAGTAGTCCTGGCGTGTAGGTGACTGTCGCTGCGAGGTCGGGCTGGTATACTGGCTGTTGGAACCCGACTTGGGCGCATACGGCGAGGTGGGGGACAAGGTCTCCATGGGAGAATATCGCTGGGTAGCAGACGCGGGCTCCTGGGGAGATTGAAGGTTGACGGGACGGCCGCCCGAAAGGTGAGACTGGTGATGGGGCCTCATGGGGTACTTGATGCCCGCGTGGGCGTCGTGAGCATCGTGCATGGCAACGTCGCCGTTGCCGTCGCGCATCTGAGAGGGTGCAATGGGGGAGGCGGCCGGGTTACCAGCAGGAGCAGAAGCGGGCGGAGCAGCGCCTGGATGAACGGGAGCGCCGCCGTGGTACTGGTCGTACTTGTATCCGCCAGGAGGAGGAGGCTGGGAGGTGTAGTCTCGGGGCACCTGAGAGTTGCCGTTGTGTCTTCTCGAGGAGTTGGGCGAGCCTGCGGCGGGATATGCCTGCCACTGAGTATCCATGGCGCTGACAGCTGCGGAAGCCGAGTCGAGCAGCTGAGGCGACAGCGTCAAGGTGGTCGCCGGGGTGGTTCGAGGAAGTGGTCGACGACGACGGCGGCGGGGGAGCGGTTGTTGTGATTGTCGTCGCCAGTGGGGATGGGGGAATGCGTGGTTATCGGCTCTGGGTCGATGAAGGTCGGCGTCGAGAAGATCCCGCCGAGGGAATGATGGAGGAAGGAGTGGGAAAAAATGAGAGCAAGAGATGGAGGAGAGGCTGGCTGACCCAGCTAGGTAGTGTAGCTAGCTACCTGGGTAGACAGGATGGATGGTTGGCTGCTGCGGCTGCTGGTTGGGTCGGGGTGTAATGCAGTCGCCAAGTTGGAGTTGGAGTTGGGTTCAGGCTGGTCCCGTCGGTCGCGTAGAGCGTGAGGTGCCCGCTAACTAGTCCACCAGCCCGTCAAGCCAGCGCGCAAGGTCAGGTAGGTAGGTAGAGGCAGGTATGGAGTACCGTAACAGCACAGCACAACACAGCCAGCACGGAACAGAACAGACAGCACACGCGCAGCACGTATGTACGTACGAATTGGAGCTCTGATCCTGTCCTGTCTGGCTCTGGGGGCGGGAGGGGGCGGGATTGGGCAGTCGTCAGTGGAGGCCCAAGGCCCGGGGGTGGGTATGGAAGAGGAGGGAAGCGTGAGAGAGCGTGTGTGTCGGTCAATCAGTGGATGAGGGTGGTCAAGACGAGGATGACGCAGAGGCGGCGAGATGACGAGACGGTGGTGATATGGTACAGTACGATACGCCAAGATAGGCTTTTGGGGATTCTCGATCGATAAAAAAGAGGAAAGGGAGTAAAATGGAAAGGCTAATAAGCGCATGTACTACTCATGGTGAGAGAGCCCGAGACCGAGAGGAGGCGGATGCGGATGCGGATGTGGATGTGAGAATGCGAGGGTGCAAGGTGAGAAGACTGCGGCTACGGCCAACCCGGGGGACACAAGATTTGTCCCTCGCTCAGAGAAAACCTAGGATGAGACAAGACGAGACGAGGAAGGCGGCAAGTGGGCGGACCGAGTAAAAGAAGGACGGCATCCAGCAATGGAGAGAAGGACGACGTCAAGATGGATACCAAGGGCACGGCGGGAAAAGCCACTGATGACTAGGTAGAGGTATTACAGAGGGTATCGTTACTGCCAGTCCAGCCCGTCCAGTGCAGTCCAGTACCAAACAGAGCGCCAAATGACTCTGTGCACACAGCACGCATATACAACCACGATCCAATCTCAAGTGGTTATCAAATGCCGAAGGGACGATACCTAGGTAGGTCTCCATTCTAACACAGACCCTCGAACAAGACGCACGTTGTCTGTCTACTTGGGCGGATAGACATGCTACCCTTACGCAATCGCATGGAACGTGACAACAGACGCAGAAAAAACAAGGCAATCTGGCAGAAATAAATGCCCAAAGACCCTTGATTATCATCCATTCAACCCGCTGTAAGCCCTCGCTCCGTCCTTCGGTCAGGTACCCGGGCTGCTGACAGAGGGCGCTTCGCTTCACGTCGTTGGGCTTGGGCTTGGAGCCCGGACCTCTCTCACACTCTTTCTCTTCTGACTCTTCTGCTTCTGACCTTGGAACCTCGAACCGAGCCAAGCAAAACGATGCATTGGATTGATCCATGCCCAGCCGCCGAAAAGCCGCGCCCCTCACCAAGCCCAGCTCAGCCCTCGGGGGACCGACTCGGGCAAGGTTTCGTTCGTTCGTTCGTCCGCTTCCTTGCTGGAGAAACGATGGGAGATTTGCGGCGGCCACAAGGGGAGGAGGGGGCGGCGGCGGCGGACTAACATGGGTTGGCGGCCAAGAGAGACAGACGATCCCCTTCCATGCGTGCGTCGTCACGAATCAGCGCTCACTGGCGCCTTTTTTTTCTGCAAGCTTGACGCCGTTCGCGATGGGGATGCTTGCGTGGATTGGCATAAACTACACGATGAACAAGAAAGAGTGACAGTAAAACGGTGATTTTGACCGACATCGTGGCAAACCGATCTTCATGATTTCCTCTTCCCCCTCTTTGCTGGCACTGCGTTTTTCTGTCATACCAGCAGCTCCATCGAGTTTGTCCAAAGAAAGAATTGCCTTTGGGTCCATCCGGAAATGCTCTGCCAACGCGGCACGACGTCCAAGCAGGGTTCTTGAGAAATCCAAATACTGGTCCCCCCTGCTCCATCCAGGCAAGCATCTGTACCCGATTGATGCCAGCCAGCCTTACCGAGAACCAACAATGACGTCCTTGTCCCCTGCTTCCTCGAGCAATGTATTCAAAAGAATAAAGACATAGAAGGGGAACGAGGGCAAAAAAAACAAGTTTCACAATCCCAAACGGTCCCCGCAAACCCTCACGGCACCTCACCTCACGCCCAGGCCCTCCCAAGCCCCAGAAGCAGCCCATAAATCGTCCCAACCCCGTTTCATAAGCTCACCATCATCGGCCCAACGTACGTGGCTCTCGTGTCCATGCCATAGCCGCCCTCGCCGATGGACCAAGGTTATTCACCTTTCAGCTGTTCCAAGTACTTCTCTCGCTGCCGGTATTTACAAAACTTCTTCTGCGTCTCTCACTTGCACATGTCACACTCAAAGAGCTCCGAAGCCAAATTTAATCCCTGTTGTAATACAGACTCGTGAGGTATGGAGGTATCAATTGGTGACACGAGACGCAACCCATCTTCAACAACAGCAAGTATCAGATCAGAATGTGACTTCCATTGGATCGCTCCAAGTCGTAGTCGGTCTCTTGCATCATGTGCAGAAGGGAATAGATAGATACCCAGACAGCACTCGCGCTCTCCAGCTGGGCATCCATCTCCCGCCCCATGTGCGTCTGTCTGCCTTGGTGTTCAGTTGTCCATGCATTAATTAAGACCACTTCTTTCATTACAATCCCGAGGCCAGGGCTCAGAATATGACATTGCATTCGCCAAAGAATGCCCCTCGTCATCGTTGTTTCATTAATTCGTCTCTCATTTCATCTTGCGTTGCCTCCTCTCGTAGAACCTCCCCGAGACTCCCTTGTGTCCAGAGCAACATTCTCTGGGCACCTTCTGACTCACTCTTCACCTCCATCCTCTTCTCCCCATCTCTTGGGTAGTCAATTTTACAACGGCATCTTCTTGCTCGCTTCTCCATCATGCCGTGTACCAGGGTAAAAATGAAAATAAAAGGGACAAGGAAAAAATCCGTTAAGAAAATCTCGCCGCTAGATACACAAATAATGATCCATGGAATGGAATTGCCGCCCCCTCGCCAGCCACTGAAATATCAGACGCTCCATTGACAGACAGGACAGATACACAAGATTTGGATGGAACATTCATAACCTCGTCAGATAAGGGAAAAATGAAATGCCAGACTGGTCCCTGACCCAAATGCCGCAAAGCTAAGGTGAAACGTTGATGGTATCCTGGGATTAGCGCTCGTACAGACAGAGAGATTGAGAGAGATTTGAGAAACATGTGGCGCTCCCGACTTTTGTCGACGAAAAGAGAAGAGAAGTAAAAACACGGATCCATGCATACAGTAGATTGTAAGCAAAACAGACAGAGACAGAGACAGAGACACAGAGAGAAAACCATAACCACCTCTTTCCCCCAGAAACAGGGGAGGGACATGACAGAATTCCCCTTCTGTAGGCAAGGCAAGGCAGTAAAACTTGAAAAATGCCAGCAGATAGATATCAACAAGACAAGCTGATGAGAAGAATCCTCAGAAATGTGGAAAGAAAACAGGGGGGTAACAGGCAAAGGGGGGAAATGCCCAGAGTATGGTCATCTCAAATGACAAACACTTGCATCCCTGGTCATCATTTTCGTCCGGCTTTTAGCTTCTCGTCTTGCTTTGGTCTCGTTTTGCCTCCTAGGCCTGGTAACCGCCAAATCCATTGTTGAAGTTTTGTCCGGGGCGAGGCTGCGCCCATTCGGCGTTGGGGGGCTGCTGGCCCCGTCCATAGCCTCCGGCGCTCTGGGGGCCGGCGTATCCCATCGGGGATCCTCCGTATCCTGCCGGCGAACCAGTCTGGGGGCCGCCGTAGTTACCGGGCTGTCCGCCGTACTGGGCTGTTCCATTGCTGTTAGCTCCAAGCTCTGCCTGCTCGCTCACGCTTCACACTCACCACCATACTGGGGGTAAAAGGTAGGCGTACCCGGGTATCCAGGAGCTTGCGCGCTCTGGGGACTGTATGGCTGAGCAGGGTCAAATCCTCCCTGAGCGTTGGGCGTCTTGTCCTTGCCCCACTGCAAACACATGTCAGTCATCTATCTGGTACAATCATGGGTGGCCTCAGGGTGAGGCTTGATGAGGTAGGGCAAATCATACGCTACACTTGAGGGGTCGGCCGTTGACATTGTATCCGTTCATTTGGCAGATCGCCATGGCGGCATTCTCGTGTGTGTCCATCTTAATGAAAGCAAATCCACGGTCGGCCTGGAATCGCGACTCGACGACGAAGCCAAAGTTCTGGAACAGCGGCACAACATCGTTGGGGGTTGTGTAAGGGGTGAGGTTTCCGACGTAGCAGGTGGTCTGCCAGCTGGGGGTTTGGGTCAGGATGACTTCGTAACTAGCGACGCCATGCGCTGGGAATTGGTGGTGTCCGTAGGGAGTGGTAGGGGTCATGCCCATGGCCTGCATGGCCTGCTGCTGAGCCATGGACGGCTGGCCCTTTTGGTTCGCCCAGTTGCATCGGATAGCTCGAGAGCCCAGCCATTCGCCGTCCATGGAGCTCAGGGCCTTCTCGGCGTCAGGTCGGTCCCGGAAGGCGACAAAACCGTAACCTCGAGAACGGCCTGTCTTCATATCCCACATGACACGTGCCTCAGAGACGGAACCAAAAGCAGAGAAGGCCTGGAGAAGGACCTCGTCGTTCACCTCGTTGGACAAATCGCCGACAAAGATGTGGAAGTGGTTGGAAGTATCCTCCTTGTTTGACGTGTTTGACTGATACGCCCAGTTGACTCGAATTTCCTGCGCTACGTGTTAGCTTCGGTCCTCCAACGAGTTTGCCGGTGATGTGTTACCGATTGGTGAACCCGTCGTCCGTTCAGGGTCTGCATAGCACGCTCAGCAGCACCAGGGTCATCGTACTCGACGAATCCATAGTTGTAGCCCCGCGCCTGCAAGGTTCTTGGTTAGCCCGCCTTTTCTTTTTCCATGATGTAGCGCCCAGCTCTGTCGCCGCGGCGCAACGGCTCAGGTCTTACATTCTTGTCAGGGATGATCTTTACGTTCTGGACATGACCCGTAGTCTCAAAGATCTGACGCAACACATCCTCTGTCACGCGCTGGTCCAATCCACCGACATAGAGGGCGCGCTTGTTAGGCTCAGGGGCGGCACGGCGGAAGCCCCCAGCGCTCGTGGGAGACATGATGCCTCCCTGGTCGCCAGACCTGGGCGAAGTGATGGCAGTCGGGATCGGGTTGGTATTCTGAGGGATATGCAGCGGCGGAGGAGGCAGAGCCTGGCTGCCATTCTGGCCGCCTTGAAAGCCCTGGGCACCAGCATTGGGCTCAGGCGGAGGAGGCAGCTGGGCCGTGTTGGAGGGAGTGCCAGCGTCAGCCATTCTCGAGGATGTCGTGGAGGAGAAGTCGGAGGATGCGGACGGTTTGGAGGGGAGGAACAGGAGAGGATGGACGACAGAGATAGGGTGGTAAGGCTACCTATGAGCTGTAGTCGGTCGGTCGAGGTGGAGCGCAGTCGGCGGTCGGTGACAGTATGTACCTTGTAGCGTTTGACAGGACAGGGGTCAACTCAGCGAGGAAGCTAGTGACACGGTGGGCACAGAGGGGTCTGATCTGACGACGGGAGGGAGACGGGAGGCGGGAAGTGGGAGCGGAAACCCAGAAGCTCGGGGAGGAATCCGCAGAGGACCGAGTGTTTGCGATGCGATGCGATAGGCAGCGCAGGGCAAAGAGAAGCTGGAGAGGAGGGGTGCTCGAGAGCTCGGGTTTCTTGAGCGGAAGCCAACGAGACGGACGTTGCCAGTGGTGAGACGTGGGGGAGATTGGTGAGCCGCTCAACGGGCAGCCAAAAGAATCGCGGCGGTACCTTGCGACCTGACGTGACAAATCGGAGCCCAGCAACCGCACGAGAGACAACGACGAGATGATTTGAAGGGACGGCGAGAGATACTCTGAAGTTGTGGTGAGTTGCAGCAACGACGGATGCGCTGTAGAAGACGGACGAGAGAGAAGCGACAAAGCACGAGGAGAGGAAACGAGGAAGAAAGAAAAATCGGACACAGGAGAGGAACCAGACGAAGCCCAAAGGAAAATCGCAAGAGCCGCTCCAACAGACAGATTTCGAATCCTAGTACTGGCGGGAAAGCAAGGGAAGAGAGGGAGGAAGAAGCGCGCGGGCGATGGAGGGGCACGGGCAGATTAACTACCACCACTGAGGCCCAAGTTCGCACAGTCCTCTATACAGTACAGCACCTACTAACAGCCTGGTATCAATCCGTGACCTTTACCGACTATCCACCTCAACTGCCAACCCAACATCCCCTGCAGGTGCCTTGACCAGTGATTGGTTGTCCTGTCATTCTTCATGCTTGATTCGATCACATGGTCAAGGATGTGAAGGGGTGAGAGGAGAGACAACAGGCGTAAACCATGGGGCGGAGAGAAGCGGGCTGGAGTTGACGACGAGGCAGGGCCAAGAGTTAAATATGAGAGTAAATAGGCAGAAGCCATAGGCCATGCCCAAACTCACTATGCAACTTCCATCTCTTACAAACTCCATTCTCCAACATGATCAACTCCAACGGCTTCGCTTCGTCTTCAACCAGCCCACAGCACCAGCGCTAGTCGACTAACATGACTGTATCCAGCAGGAATGGCGTGACAGAGTCTGCCTCGACAACTTCTCCGCCTTAGATATCAACCCTGGTAAGCATATCCCGCGGGAAAATAGATGAGCCCTCTAGTCGTTTGCAGAAGAGCGGTAAGTGATCCTTCAGAGCCGCGTTGAATGGTGGCTAGCGTCAAAAGTCGTCGTTTGCCAACGTTTGCTTGCCTCAACCCGAGGGTAATATCACACTGGTGGATTTTCCTAAATAGTCGGGGATCATACAAATTGTATATCATTTCCAAATTCTAAGCGACATATCAAAAAGACAACGCCGGCTTTATTAGGTAGGTACTATTCATTTCAGAGACCCTTTGTACAGGCAAACGCATGCACAATTATCGCGGCCCCTCCTCTCATGGGTACCATTCCCAACAACCAGGGCGAACTAACCAATTCAAGTATATGCATTATACCATGGTTATCCATGAGATACCTAATATTCTTCTTTTCGTGATGTACTTACCCAAGTCTCTTCCTCACTAACACGCCGATCTCGAAGTGAAACAACTTCCAAGTTCAGACAGTGAATCTTAAGGGCACGTGACTTCGCTCCGTCAAATTGACTTTCTTTGGATGGCCTAAGCTTGGGGGGCGCGTCTTCACCTTTGTGATTTCAACCTCGAAGACAAGCAACCCATCTTGCAACCTCTTAAATCTACGACGTGCTTAAAGAACGGATAATTGGAGGCTTCTCATAAGGCCTATTCCCCTTCTCTTTTCAAATCACCCCGGCTACTTAATCTTGACAATGGCGTCCCAAAAACCCCAGGACCCGCTGGACGTCCTACAGCTCATGGTCAACGACGTTGTAAGGATCTCAAACCCACCTCCGATTTAAGCCTTGTTGTCGAACCGTTCTTTCTGACCACTCATATCTCAGCTTGTTCAAACTGGCAAGGCTCTCCGTGCCTCACGGAAAGATGGTCAAGGCAGCGTGCAACCGCCTCATGGCGCACTCAAGTCTAAACTGCCCGACACCATCCATACCTTTCATTCTGCCCTTAACGAATTAGAATGGGATATCGTGAGTGAGCCCCAAAAGGCCTGACCTTTTCAGACACTCGCACTCACACCCACGAAGATCAACTCCAAGTCCGTCTTGATGCGTGACCTCAAGAGATTACAGGAACAGAGACAACAGAAGCTGCAGAGTCAACTCCCACAGCCTATACCGGTACCTCAGGCCCCTCAGCCTATTGAGCCTCAGTCCAAATCGCCCATGGTCATTGATATTGAGTCATCACCACCCCCTCCCGCTGCCCAACCCATGGCCGATATGACAGGCAATAAGCCTGTCGCCCCCTTTCCTGATATGGGTATGGGACTTCCGGATGTTGGCCAACAGGATGTGACGATGAAGGATGATCCCATGCATCCCAACCCCCTTGGTGAGGCTGCTCACATCAAGACCAGCGCCTCACCTGCTCCAGCTGCAACGGCACCAATGGCCCCGATGCCAAACATGGACCAAAAGCCTCTGGACAACAATACGATGGATCTCACGGGGGACATGCCTCATTCAGAGCTCAACTTTACCAATATGGGCTTCGCTCTAGCTCCAAACAACGAGTCACAGAATCCATCCACCACACAAGAGCCGTCTTTTGACCTCACGACATTTGCTCCTACCGAAGGAAACGATGATATCCTGGGTCTCGACAATCTCTTGCCCACAAACGCCGGTGGCCAGGCGGTTCCTGCACCTCCACCTGGTGACATGACCGTCAAGGCAGAGCCTTCAGTAAATACAGACACCCAAGGGGCTTCGCAAGAGATGAAGCCGGAATCCCTTGACCCAGTGTTCGACGACGACGATATTTTCGGCAGCATTGACTCCGGCGCCGGCCTCGGAGAGCATGGAGTGGCTGATGCCACGTTCGAGGACCTGATGAATGACCATGACGACGACGAGTTCAACTTGATGGAGCACGGCAATTTCGATGCCGAGTTTTTTGGAATTGACAAGATGGAGTAGGCTTCTCTTTAGTCATTTCCAGATGACGGTCAGCGAGTTCAATATTACGGGGAAAATGATACACCTCCCCTCGCGCTTCATTCGCCAACAAGCCAAGACATACACCCCTCCCGGCCAATGCCAAGGCGACTCTGATGAGCGGTTGGAGGCTGGGAGTGACATGCTCGCATGCCCTTACTTCTTGGCTCATGCGGCAACGCCCGCGGCCCTGGACCCAACTGGCGTCGACGATCCATACACGTTCCTGCATGTCTTGCCGTCTTGGTAATCTTGGTGTTTTGTAGTGTTTTACAGTTTATTTCTAGCTTGGGTTTTGTTGTAACCGTCTTGAGATTGCATTATTAGAGAGTCGGCCGGCGTTTGGGATACTGGGATGCTATCTTGGGACTATGAAACATGGTGTGTTCTGGGAATGCTAGAGAACGGTGCTAGGTATGGTGGATATCATTGATAGGTATGTACTATGGATACAAAATGAAGCAGGTCTTGCGTATGGACAGGCGCTATGTGGGAACAAACGAAAAAAAGAAAACTCCTCCAAAAGCATGGGATATCCCTCCTCTTTTTGCCAGTCTCGCTAAACAAACAAAAGGTAGACAAGTAGATCAAGTGGTTCGCTATCAGACAGAAACAAGAAAACGTTGGGCGTCGTAATTCGTCAAGGGTGCTACTGTTTCGTCGAGGCCCGTGGCACATAGGCCTTGTTGTTAATTGTTCATGGTCGGCGGGCCTTTGGTCATGAAGGCACCACTACAACGCGGGCCTCGAGTTCACGGCGCTTGGCGAGTAGGCTCTTGAAGGCGCCGATGCAACGAACGAGGGCATCCTCGTCGTGGGCGCAGAAGCGGTAGCTCTTCTCCTCGGTGATGACCTGCAGGCAATGCCTCTTGTTCTTGCTCAGGGGGTCCATGTCAACAACGTTGACAATCGAGGAAAGCGGTAGGATCCAGCGAGCTGTATACTCAGACTCATCCTTGTAGAGGATAAGGTTACGGGGCCGGAGTACAGCCCACATGTCCTTCCACTGGCGCATTCCACTGCGGTTGCGCAAAAAGTAGAGCCAGCCCTGCCAGATGACACGGTCTGGGTCCTGGTCAATGTTGGACACGCTGGTCTGGCTGGCGGAGCGAATACCCATGCCCGGCTGGCGAATGGGGCCTGGCGGAGGGAGGCTGGTGTGCGACTGAACGGCGAAGCTTTCGAATGAGGTATCTTGAGCGCGGAGACCCTCGGTATCGGAGAGATCGGAGTGGGACGCAAACTCCGCGCCGGACAAACCGGAAGATTCGAGTATAGATGATCTCCTCCTGCCCCCGGAAGTGCCGAACTTGGAGGTTGACGCGGCCAGTGGCTCAGGAGAGCTTGAAAGGAAACGCTCGTTCTCGCCCAGTCGATCCAGCGAACCATTGATAGGAACTGGGTTCATGCCACCCAGGGACTGTCGCGTGACTCTCGGGCTGGACAGAAACATCTCGTCTTCCTCCTCGTCGATGCGCGCATCCTTTCGAATCAAGGCGATCCATTCCTGTGCCTCCTGGGCAGATTGCGCTTGGAAGTGGTAGTTGCGGGACGGCGAAAAGAGCCCAAATACGTTCTGGCGCTTGTGCTTAGGGTCTTTGAGTTCGGCGACGGCAGTAAGATCCGACAGGTAGATTTGGTGTCGCAAACGGTCCTCCTTGTCAGTCTTGTACAGGGAGATGGTGTTAGGTCGTAGCACAAGAAAGACGCTCTTCCACTTCTATAATCAGAGGTTAGACCCAGTCGGACTTGAGTAGCCCGTCAGGAGCGCACGAGAGGTATGCTCGAAACATTGCCAAGGAGAACACTCAGGATAGCACATACCTTGGTCTTTTGGGTGCGCTTCTGCACATAGCCACTCTTCACAACACGATCAAAGTCGAAACAGCCATCGTTGTTGACGGGAGAGAATGCAGCTTCGATGTTGGAATGGCTGCGAGGTCGCGCGGAGAAATCGAACTTGGTGTTGAGTGAGGTCTGCATCTGAATCGCAGGGCGCTCGACGAGTGTTCCGGCCATAGTTGACTATTCGCTTGGAGCTGGATGATTTGAATTCGGGGCTAAGGGTAACGGCGATGCCATGCGCATGAGGCAAGATAGAAACGTCGCAGAGGAAGCACGGTCGAAAGTAATTCCCAAAAATTCGTAGGCCAAGAGATTGAAGCGCTCGAAAAATCGTTATAGTCGTCGGTCGAGAAATCAGCGGTAGATGGCAAGTAAAAAGCTCGGTGAAGGCTGCGACAAGACGGATTGGCCCCTCGGCCGTCGAAGTCGAAGGGATGGGGTTACAAGCAGGGATGGGTTGTAAGCGTTGGGACGGAGGATGGATCCAGGTACGAGAAGAGAAGGTGGTGAAAGACGAAGCGGCGATTCGGGTGGGCGTGGAACGTGATACCGGCGTATGTGGTGAGACGGATGAGATGAGTCTGGATCAAGTGGTTTCGCAGTGTCTAATAGTGGGCGTGGTTTGGTTTGTCGCAGCGTGCGTGGGGGATGTTGTTGTTTATTAGAGTACGAATACGGAGGCACAGCAACAGGAGCTGAGGAAGTAAGGTTTAGGAGAGAGAGAAGTAGGTTGGAGGTGAAGCAAAAAAGGTGGCAAGAAGAGATGAAGGGGATGAATGATTATGCAAGAACTGGAGAGGGTCAAGTGTAGAATGCGGCTTTTACTGAGCAAGGAAAGTCGAGAATGTAACGAAACGGGACGAGACGAGAGAAAGGGGAGGAGAAGGTGTTTTGATCGACATGGAAGCGGAGGTTGTCTTGTCGCAGGATGGTCTCCAGAATGAATGACGGGGCCCCTAAGCACCTGCTAAGCACCTGGAACCTAGCTAAGAAAAAAGCCAAGTCCCAGATCTGCAGGTACTTGTCAGCACGAGCGCCCAGCCAGGGCTATACTTGGCATCGCTGCTAAAATCGGAGCCTGGGCCAAGTATTTACAGTTTGGGGCAGCGTACCCCCAGAGTACCTGTTGGAACCCTCCGTCATGCATTGGCACAGAGTAGGCTTTTCTGCGGCCGGGGCGTTTCGGCGAGGAGGCGCTCGTGTCGAATCACTCTGTGCTTTTTGTCGACAGACACGGATGCGGGCGGACGAGGCGGCGTCAAGGCTACAGACTGTGAATCGGTCATTAAGAAATGAGATCGGGAAAAGCAGGTCACAAGATCAATCTGTCATTAGCTACCTAGCTCCAGGCTACTGAAAGCTCAGTTCTGGGTGCAGATTGCGTCGCCTACGAGGCTTGTCAAGCTCGGACGGGAGCATCGGTACATGAGAACTCTACTCTACTCTAGGCATGAACGTTGAGCCCGTGTTCGTAAGTCCAAGAATGAGGGGTTGAAGCCAGCAGATCTCTCTCCCTACAGCTCCAGGCGGCATTACATCAGGTGGCGCAAGGTCGAGACCCTGACCAAGTTGCGCCCGCCGGGGATCAGTCTGACGTACCTACCGCCAGTTGACGACTTTTGCCTCGTCCTCCATGACCCGTCGGCGATGACATCCAATCCTTTGGGCAGTGCCTGTTGGGGGTTGCTCAGTGAATGACTTCTACCTAATGTTGGGACGAAGAGAGGCTGTGCTGTGCAGCTGCTGACCAAGGCAGCGAACAATGGACGTCCGCGCCTCCCGAGACCAGGATATTGTAAAGTTTGACCAGGCAAGCAAGCAGTGACACTTTGAGTTCTCTCCATTGATGACTGCTGTCGTGCGGCTGCATGAGCAGCGCATGGCCCGGCCGAGCGCGCACCCAAAACGGGACGGCCAAGGTCAAGGCCCGGCCCGGCCAGACGGTCGGTCGGTTGCTAATTCTGATACAGGGCGCTTCTCCCAACCCATGGGTTTGTGAGACGATAACTGGCGGCTATTATGAGAGCAGCGAAAAGGGCCCTTGTTCCCTGTCGCCCGTCTGTCGTATCGAACTATTCCGGTGGGGGGGATGTTCAGGGCATGGTCAACAAGGCGAAACATTGCTGCTACAGCTACAGGGGCAAACATGAGCGGCTCTTCCATCAATGATATCAACTTACCCTACGGCTGCTTCTGGTTTTCCTCGGTTTTACGCATGCATTTTGTTTCTTGCCGTTGCTGGTTAGCAAACGCCCTTTGACGACTTTTGTTGAGTCATCGGCGAGTGTTCGACCCAGCATGGAGCCATTGTCGAATCACAGGCTTGGTTGGTTGTACATTTCCGGTATCACCGGCAGCTCATGCTCACCGATGGCCGTATTGTCAATATCCAGCCTCGGAAAAACCTGTATATAAGTAGTAGAGTATGAGTCTGTCTATCGAATGCATCATTGTATCAGAAACATTCCTTCGAGTCCCGTTGCAGGATCAGCCAATTCCTTAGTAACTTGTTTCTGAGCCGTGTTTGTGTCACCCCGCAGAACCTCTCTCAACGAACTACACCAACACCATAATCATGGCCAACACCGAGAACGAGATTCAAGACAAGGTGAAACGGGTCCTTCAGGGAACACCGTTCGCCGTCTCATCGCTCAAGAAACTCTCGGGTGGTACTGCCAACTTCATGTATCGTGCCACCCTCGAGAACCCCTCCTCAGAATACCCCGACGGTGTGGTGATTAAACAGGGTGAAGGCTATGTTGCTACTAACCCTGCTTTTCCTCTGACGACATCGCGATGTGTAAGTATACTTGCAAATAACCACATCCATTACCGTTCTAATAGCTTCCACAGGCCGTCGAGCAAGAGTCTCTCATCCATCTTGCTGCGCTCCCTCCTGCAACAACACCGTCCTGCGCCATATCAACTCCCACCGTGTATCACTTCAACAAAGAAACCAATACCCAGGTCCAAGAGTATCTCACCAACGCCGTCAGCCTCAAGGACTATACTCTCAAGCACTACGCCGCCCCAACTCCCGAGTCGTTCAAGCCTCAGTGCGATCAGCTCGGTCACGGCCTCGGTGCTTGGCTCCGCGCATTCCACTCCTGGAGTCAGGAGCCTGGTCAAGCTGCGCTTCGAGAAGTCTTTGCGGGGAACAAGGAGATGCAGGTTCTTAAGAACATGATTAACTACCAGCAGTTACTGCAGAAGGTGGATCAGCATGCGACCATTCTTGGTGATTCAAGGCATGTTATCCAGGGCATCAGCGATTTGGCTGCTAAGGAGCTCGAGGATGAGACTGCTCTAAACGTCATTCACGGTGACTTTTGGACCGGAAAGTAAGTTGGCCAAAAAGACAACGATGTGTGATTAGAAGATGGCTAATCACAGAATAGTGTCTTGCTGCCTGATGTCTCCATTCAAGAGGGCACTCAGACTCCCATCAGAATTGTCGACTGGGAGATGGCAGAACTAGGCGTTCGACCTCTCGACCTGGGTCAGATGATTGCCGAACTTTGGCAGCTGAAACTCTACAAGGATATCGACGCTGGCGAGTGGCTGATCAGGGCATTTGCTGACGGCTACGGCGCGGTCGACGATGAGTTCGCCTACCGCACAATCATCCACGTCGGTGTTCACCTAATTTGCTTCGGCTCCCAGACGCCGGAATGGGGCACCCCTGAGCAGAACATCGGGCTGGTCAAGGTGGGCAAGGAGATTCTGGTCAAGGCGTGGAATAAGGATCGAGACTACTTCAACGACCATGTACTTGGCAGTTTGTTTGGTTCTCAAAACTAGCATTCTGTGCTTCTTAAACGTGCAGACTCGACATAGAATCGATTGAAGCACAAAATGGATGCCAAATGACGGACAGACTGTGTGGTTTCTAAACTTGTGGGATCAATATGCTCTCTTACATGTGGGCGCATGGTTTATTCGAAGCTACCCACCTTGTACTTCAAAGATAGAAACCGCAATATGAGCCAAGGTGGGTTCTTAACTCGGTTTCCCTCAAGTGAATGAACACTTTGTAAATAGAGACGAGATAGCTAAGTGAGCCGCTTTTTGCACGTGTAATCGGGTGCGACAAGGTATTAGGCAGCTTGATTTTCTATTTGTTGGTGACTGTTGAAGAATCGGTCATAAAAGGCGAGCTCTGTTTCTTTAGTGTTATGATTTTTGCTGGTAATACCATAGATTTCAGGTTGGTGATGACTGACTCTCGGGATGCATTTGCTGTGTGTAAGCTCAAGCGGTTGGCGGCGGCGAAAATTTCGACTTTTCACAAACTTCACTCCATCACGCCTTCTTGCTGCCCAACCAACCCATCAAACAATCTTACTCGTTCCCCAAGGCAATCACCCAAGATAAAATAATTCTTATACTATACAAACTAGGCTTTAGACGCTCTATTTCGAAGACTTAACCTCCGAGACCGACGAGGCCGGTCTACCCTGTATAAGCCACCCGGATCCCGTCCCCGTCTCCGACCCCGACTCCGATGCCCAGCTCCGACACCAGCCGGCCTTGCAAGCGGTGCAAGGCCGAGAATGCTCCGTTTAGTCTGCGAAAGGATCCTGCATGCCGGTAACTACCCCCCAGTTTCACAAAGGCCTTTCTCCAAGATGTCGTTGTGAGGCACCCTCTGACTCACTCACAGTGATTGCTTTGTCCAATATGTCGTCAACAAGATGATCAAGCGTCTCGGTGCCATGCATAAAGATATCCGTGTCTCAAGGTTACCGGTCCATCGTCGATATTTGGCCGGTCTTTCATTTGGCCCTTCATCAAGTGTTCTTGCCCAGATCCTTGATGAAACCGCCCATCGCCACTCAACAAATAAGGCATCATCGCCTTTTGAACCCATTATTGTTCATATCGACACGGATCTGTCACCACAGGGGGCAGAGTCCCCTGCTAAGAAGCTCATCGATGAGTATCGTCAGCGCTTCCCGCATGCCACCTTTGAGTGTGTGCCTCTCACAGATGTCCTTTCTGTCAAGAGCATAGACTGGTCAACCTTACCCCTGGATGCTGGCACGCCAGATGAAGACCCAGCCGCCCGTCTCCGGAGGATTTTTGATGCTCTTCCAACCGTCACATCGCGCGCCGACATTCTCCGTCAGCTCGTCCGCCATCTCCTCCTTCACACTGCCATAGAGCGCTCTTGCTCAGCACTTCTGCTCGGCCACAGCACCACAGCCCTCGCCGCCTTGACACTTTCGGAGGTTGCCAATGGACGAGGCTTTGCAGTTCCATTGCAGGTCGCCGATGGGATGACCGCGGTGTGCAAGTATGAGACGACGCCGGACGGCGCTGTACAGGAGACCAGCCGACTGGAGTTTCCCGTGTACTATCCCTTACGCGAGATCTTTCGCAACGAGATGCTACAGTACATCGACCTTGTGCCTTCACTCAAGGAAGTTGTACCCTTAAATGAGGCCGACGCCACAGCCAATGTAGTCTCGCACAAGGATATGAGCATCGAGGAGGTGATGGCGCGATACTTTCAAAGTGTTGAGGAAGGATACTCTGGTATCGTCGCCAACGTTGTCCGCACAACAGGGAAGCTGGACCGCTCGCAGGGGAATAGTTTCTGTGGAAGTTGCGGCATGTCACTTGATGCTGAAGGCGACTCGCGATGGGCGGGCGAGATAGGAGATGATTCCGGCCACGGATCTGGTTCTAGTGGCGTGAGCCGGCTGTGCTATGGGTGTAAGCGATCCATTCATGGGTAGGAGAAGCTTACATAAAGGTGAAGCTTAAAATGAACAATAAAAAAGCACCGTTATTTATTCTGGTGTCTCTGTGTCTATATGACTGAAAACCCCCCCAAGATGCGCCGCGCCGCCTTTTGATTGCCTGATCCGTGGCCTAGATATGGTAGGCAATGCCAGATGCTCCCGTCTTCTAACCAAAGTGACCATGTAAAATAGTACTCGAGAAATATCCACCCTTCCTATCGTAACAAGAGCCATTATGCTCTGGTATCCAATCGACCCTCAGACCTCTCCCGCAACAGCACCTTAAGCTGCCATTTCCACCCTGGGCAGAAGGCGATCCTCGACCTTGCGTACCAGCTTGTTTGTTTGCTCCGCCAGACTGAGGGTCAGGATGGTATGCGGTAGGATTCGGGCGAGATGAGGCAGGAAACCCTTGTACAGAGCAAAGAGACCCTCGGAGTGGATTGTCTTGGAGAGACAGTCGATGACGCCCTTGTACAGATTTCCGTTTTGGTTGTAGAGACGGGACATGACTGTGTCTGTAAGAGTAGAGGTTAGTGACTGTGGAGAAGTGTTTAACCGGGAGAACTAACCAGGGGGATGCATGACGCAGCAGACGACGAAACCACTCATGGCACTGCAAGCAAGATGCAGACCAGGACCCTCTTCCATTCCAAGATGACGAACAAGACGGCGCTTCGCAAAGAAGTAGGTAGGGAGCTGAACGGAGCTACCAAAGGCGGTTCGGATCATAGCAGCTCGCACGCCGCGGTAGAGACCGGTGATACCCTCGCTGCCGTAAATGGACTTGAAACCATGCCATGCGCCTCGGTAATGATGTTGGGTACCAACTGGCCGGAACTCGGAGTAGCTCTGAAGACGGGTCTTGACGAGGAAGAAGGGGCTGCCGGCAGCGGCGCCGATGACGCCCGACGAGGCACCGCACAGCATGTTGATGCCGAGGTTCTGGGCCTTGCCATCCTTGAGGAAGAGAGTCGCGAGGCCATGGCGCATGGGCTCGTAGAAGCCTAGACGACAGCCATTGAGGAGGACCTGGTAGATGTAGGCGGCGCCGATTCCGCGGTAGATGCGACGGACACCCTCGTTGCGCACAATGACGCTCACGCCGTGGATCGGGCCGCGGTAGTGGTGAGGCTGGTGGCCCTTGTTCTGGAGCTCGCCCTGCAATTGCATGCTACAAAGGGAAGGTCGCAAGTCAGCTGGAATTGAATTCGACTGGCGACGAGACTCTGGAGGCTGAGAATTTACCGAATCTTGACCGTCTCAAAAGGATGGGTCGCCGTGACGGCGCCGCAAGCGGCGATGCCACCGGCGATAAAAGCGCTACAGAGGGACGCGGTTAGCAAGAGAAAAAGGCCATAGTCGCAAACAAGAAACCCTCGAACGCCATAAAAGACGCCCAGACGAGCTTGAGGCAGGTATCCTTACCCAACAGTCGTCGACATGACCCCGAGCTCTCCAGACGCAGGAGGCGGCCAACGGTCGAGAAGAGGAAGAGGAAAGCGAGTGGAAGAGGAAGGGAAAGTTCCCTAGAAGGGTCGGAGAGCTCGGGAGAGAGAACCTGCGTCGACGATTGGCCGCAATGAGGAGCTCAAGAGATCCGAGAAGATTAAAAGGAGCAGAGAAGAAAAGTGAGCAAGCGAGAGGAAGTTTTGGGATGGAAGATGGGCAGAAAAGAAGGGTTCACGCCGTCACCGGCGGCTTCGGACCCTATCGCAGCACGAGAAATTGTCAGCGCAGAGGTACCACCTGCAGCGCAATTACACTAAAAAGGTACATCTAGTACTCAAGGTGGGCTGTACGCGAACCAAGCTTCTGGAGGGCGAGCCAGACTGGGGGGTTAAGGTAGGGGATATATCTGACTCGGGATCTACTAAGGCCTTTGTAAGACACGCTCCCGCTGACGAAGATCGGGACTGATATTGCCGACTAATCTCTAGCGAACCGTTCCGATCCAATGCCTCTATCCCGGGCACACACTCTCAATGCCCAAAGCCTGCCTTGGGCTGGGTACTGGCGGTCCTGCAGTACCCGTTGTTCTCAACCGCAATCCAATCTTGGGGGGGCATTTTTTTTTCTTTGGTGCTGTTCCCGCGCCGGGGTCGGGGGCCGGGAAACGAGGTGCCGACCTCGGCGGCGATTTTCGCGGGGGAGGAAGCGGGCCCACGGGGGGGCCACACACACCTTGCGTCAGTAGGACCACTCCCCCTTTGACTGGGGACAAATGACGAGCTCTGATTTGGTGAATCGTCGAGCAAGGAGGAAGAAGAAAAGACTCCACGCTAGGGTCAAGGGGAACAGCGAAACAGCTGTCGTGGGCGATTCAACACATGGCTCGTCTTGCGCTATTGATCATTGGGATAAGCTCGGCTTGTTACGGCTCATGACGGATGTGCAGATGTGACGCTCCAGGAACCCGATTTAGTAGATTCTGGTGTAGGATTGCTTCTCTGCCTGTGCTGAACTGCACACGACCATCTCGCAGTCACAGGCAATATCGCATCCGCTCGAGCGAGATGCATTGCATCAGTCGACAGATCCATGCTCAAAGGCTTGATTTCCAGGGCCTTGTGACATGTTACAGAGCTTTGCGGCAGCGGGATTACAATGGGATTAATTCAGGTTCCATGCCTGGGCGCTTCTTCAGGGGTCCACAGCCTGACGGGCAAGCCGTGGTGGCCTTGAGATGGCCGTCGCCTATGGTGCCTGGGCTGCACCCCGCAGCACTGAGACCTCCTGCACCCCTCCAGCTGCTGCCGTTGGCTCTCGGCGTGGTTAGCTCCATCTGCGGAAAGATCCAATTCCATCCATCAACACCATCACACTCGGGCCAAAGTAACCGCGAACCCGCCCTCCAGACGTCACCCCCAGGTCGATACATTACGCTTCGCATGCGCTAGAACCTTTGACTTACAGCGATTGGGCCACTGAGCCTTTGGTTCTTTGCTTCAGCCCTTGCGATCTGTGCGATTGGATCCTCGCATCGTCCACGCGCTCCGTGGGCTTTGTCCCTCGAGCTGTTCACTTTGTTGGCACAGCTTAGTACCTCGATCTGCGCCTGCAGCTTCGTAGCCCATCATGGCTTCCACGCCTATGGATATCGACCGGTCGAACACCCCCAACGGCTCTTCCCTCAACATTCATCGAACCATTGGCGCCACCGCCTCTGTCTCCAACCTCTCCGATGTGATATCCAACTTTCGTCCTACCAAGGTACGACCCTTTGTTTGTCTTCCACGACTGAGTTCTAATCTCTCTACGCTTCCCATAGCTGTTTCGCCGCGATGATATCAAGGACGGACGCCCTCAGCCTCATGTGCTATCGATCGATTTCGACGACGAAGGCGAGCTTATCATGACCTCAGCCAGCGACGAGACGATCCAGATCTACAATGTCAAGGAGGGTCGTCATGACAAGAGCTTGCTCAGCAAAAAGTATGGCGTCAAGCTCGCCAAGTTCACTCACACAGGCTCAAGCATCATCTATGCCAGCACCAAGCAAAATGGTACCCGACCTTACCTCGCCAGACCAACTCCGAGGAACATGTGATGTTGATTCTTGCTGTTAGATGCGATCCGATACCTTGCGACGCACGACAACTCGTTTATCCGCTACTTCGAAGGTCACGAAGGCAGCGTAACTTGCCTGTCCGTTCACCCTGGAAGCGACAATTTCATCTCCTGTTCTCGAGACAATACGGTGCGCCTATGGGACACGCAGACCAAGAACTGTCAGGGCCAATTATTCCTCCGATCCCCCTACCTCGCCGCCTACGACCCTTCTGGCACTGTCTTTGCCGTGGCCTGCCCAAGCAGCGGCACGGTCTTGCTTTATGATGCGCGCAACTACGACAAGGCCCCCTTCGCAACGGTTGATGTCGTGGAGCAGTGCCGGCGGGTGGATTCGCAGTGTCTTGTTAAGGGGTGGACAAAACTCGAGTTCTCTAATGATGGAAAGTCATTGCTTGTTGGAACTCGTGGTAATGGACATTTCCTGCTCGACGCCTTTGAGGGCACGCTCAAGGCATACCTGCGCAAGCCAAACGGAGGGACAAAACGGCTGGCGGTTGGCGAGGCAGTATCTGGCGCTTCGACTGATGGAACTACGTTTGAGAGCAGTGGTGAATGCTGCTTTACCCCTGATGGCCGGTATATCCTCAGCGGTTCCAAGAAGGATGTGTTGGTCTGGGATAGCATGACGGCCCCAGGCGACAACAAGGTCCTTGAGCCAAGCTGGACGCTGCCTGACAAGAGGGAGGCCTCCGTGCTAGGCTTCAACCCTCGCTTCAACTTTTTCGCTACAGCTGACCAGGAGCTGGTGTTTTGGCTGCCTGATCCCCATGCATGAGGGGGCGGATCAGGACAGCGATAGGATGGGGTGTTTGAAGTTGGAAAACAAATAATCTCCATGAACACTTGACGGAAAGGAAAACAATAGATACCCATGGATCATGATCTGGGATGCGATGATTGATATTCAATGTAATGGAAGAGCCGGTCCATAGACTTTGCAACAGGATGCTTGAATTTAAGCTATGATGCCACTTTGAAGTCCGCATATGAATGAATAAAGGATCCATGCCAGACCCGGCATCCATAGTATTACCCAATTAGGACTCGAGAATAGGTCGGGGTTGGTGAGACCTGGAACCTACACAACCGAGCTTACTCTCTCTATCCCACCACAAATAAGACAACTTGGGCAACTTCCTCGCTCCTTCACACCTAATTGCTCAATCCATTGAATATATAAGCACATCAGCATGGAGCCGCAAGTTACTGAGCAGGCTGGCGATCAGATAGATGAGCGACCAAACTTGGCCTGTGAGTTGTGTCAGGCCCATGAACGTCACCGTTACTGACAACCAGGCAGCGATGCCCCCCGAGATTCTGGCTCTGATACTGGACCAGCTATCACTGCCTCGAGACTACTACAAGTCCATGTTTTGCATCGTGAGAACATGCCGTGCCTTGGCTATCCGGACTCTCCCACGCCTCTACTCGCAAGACGTCACAGACTCGCTCAAGCTTCCTCGCAACTTGGATATGCCCATCGCTCTTCAATGGGCCTGCTGGTTCGGCGCACTGGGCACAGCGGAGAGGTCGTTGGATGCTCTCGCCAGTGTTTGCCCGGATCTTGCTGCCAAGCTCATGAAGCCTTTTAACAATGACAACCTCTACAGCTTGCGCTATCGTATGGCCAAGAGGAGGCGTGCGATTACCCCTGCGCTTGGCTACATGCACTGGAAGGATACTTCTTCTCTGTTACACCTTGCTTGTCTCCGGGGAAATACTGCCATCGCTAAGCTACTGATTAACAAAGGAGTGCATCCGAATACCCTGGACGGGGCTAACCTCCCTGCTCTGGCGTACGCGCTCAACCCGGACGTGGTGAGTTATAGAGATGAGTTCCGGAGGGAAGTAAAGAGGCTAACAGAATCCAAGGCCCGGCTTCTTATTGAACAGGGAGCCGATGTCAATATCAAACCACATGATAGTGACGAGACAGCGCTATGTCATCTCATCTCACTAGGTCCAATAGAAGCCCGTAAATGGGAGAACGAACTCAACTTGTCGCAATGTCAGGGCGCCGTAAGGGCAGAGCACACGGTCCAAGATTTCCCAGGAACCATCAAGTTTCTCATCGAAGAAGCCGGCGCAGACATTTACGCAGAAAAGATTGGTACAACTAATCCGCTTCAAAACGCTGTCTTGACTCGTCATGTTGAAGCCGTCAAGCTCCTCCTGGCCGCTGGAGCTTCACCAAACCCTATAGATACGAGGACGGGTAGAAAGAGACTGCTGCTCGCTAATGCGCTCAGGCCGGGCCATAACCAGGAAGTTGTGAAGCTGCTGCTCGACGCCGGGGCCGAGGCTGATTTCGACGAGGACCTCTACGAAGGACGTATCGAACACCTCCCCATCATGAATCTGACCCTCAGGGGCAGCAACCCGCTGTATGCGAGGGAGGAGGCCCAGGTAGCACACATGGTCTGTGAGCGAGCCAAGAACATCAACGTGATGGTTGACGGACACCCTGCCCTGTGGCACTATGTGAGGGCGGGTCGGCAGGACATTGGCGAGGTTTTCATTGAGCATGGAGCGGATCCTCAAAAGGCGAACGTTGAGGTTCGAGATACTGTTCTGCCGTTGGTGGCACTGGATACCCCGAGTGCACCTGAAGATGATGGGGAGACGCTTGACGAATAATCATTAAGAAATTGTTGAGAAATTAATACATAAACCGAAGAAGCAACATACATTCGTTAGACATCAATATCTATGCATCCGCGCTTTGTATTTGTAGAATGAGATATTGTAAGCTCAGATACTGAATGTGAAGCTTAATAAACATCAAAGTTGCACATAAGACTGTGCATTCGTGGTGTTGTGGCGCCTAAACTCCCCCCTCAAGCCCAGCCCCACCATGAATATCCCACTTCCAACCTCATCCATCCTCTTTCCTCCTCTAGACCACATCGCAACGACGTCAACCCCGACCACGTAACCACGAATAACCCGCCATATTGAAAGATAGTGGATCGAGGCCTGTTGATATTAGGCAATTGCTGTCCCGCTCATCAGTCCTCGCGCATACCGCCCGGACGTCCATTCTCACCGAGTTGCACCATTGTTTGCGCACACGACACCGACTCGACGACCCCGCGAGACGGCCATAGAGGTTACACGGAACAATGCCTTACTTTAAGACGAGCCAAGAATGGCTCGATCAGTCCATCGCCCTTCTTGAGGCCCGACCCGCCACCGTACGTCCTCCCACCGTCCTCATCTCCCACGGCGCATAGCTAACCACCAAGCCCTCCAGACCCGCATCACCACAAAGTACTCGCTCAGCCCAGCACCCTCGCGCCCCGACGACGCAGCAGCGACGGCCAAGCCCCCGCGCGGCAGCCTCGTCCTCAAGACGTACGACCCCGTCAGCGGCGTGGCCCTCAAGTACCGCACCACAAAGGCCGCAGAGGTGTCCCGCCTCGTGCACGCCTCCCTCGGCCGCTTGGGGAGGAGCATGGCCGCCGTTCCCGACGTGCCCGAGGTGGCGATGGCGGATGCTGGCGAGGAGGAGCAGAAGGAGCAGCAATCCGCTGCGACGTCACAACAACCGCCTGCGGCGCAAAGTGGAGGTGGTGGTGGAAAGAAGAAGAAGAAGGGCAAGAAATGAGGTGGTTAAATGTCGAGCGATGTAGTCAAAACTCGAGCTCTTGATGGGATAGCAACGGCTATTTTTAAAAGAGCTGGGACCAGATATCTGATGAGATGATGAATAGATTTCGCAAGAAATCACTATTAGAAGTACACATCTTGGCGTCAGAAGTCCCGGAACATTTACATGACTTCACTGGAATGTGATCTTCGAGAAACAATCGCTGTCTTTGAGATCACGGGCCTGTCTGCTTCGCTACTTGACTGAGGTTGAGTTAGACATTCAACTACGCAACTTGAAACATATTTCATCCAAGAACATTGAGGCACGAGGAACAGTTAAGTTATTTATCTAATCAATTCATCTCTAATCGAGTGCTACAGTAATATCGTCATCCATAAACACAATTAAACCATCAATGCTGTTTTCATCCACCCAAAGTTCAATCCCTCCAAACGCCATTTGCCGGTCCGAGCGAATCCAGCTTCAGGACTGGCCTCGATCGTTATTAGCCAAGTATCGCTGCCCCGAGGCTCGTCTCAGTGTAGAGTTACAAAAAAGGAAGTAAGACAGGGTATATGTTCATATGTGCGCGTACCCCTAGGCCCACTAGGCCCAGGCCAAAGGAAAGAAAACGACGTGACGAGACGTTTAGAAGTCATCGTCAAAGGTGAAGTCACCGCCGTTCTCACCCTTGGGTGCCTCTTCCTCAGTGTTCTTGGTGGCGCTGTGAAGGACACCAGCCTTCTGGTAGTCACCGACACGCTTCTCGAAGAAGTTGGTCTTGCCACCCAGAGAGATGTTCTCCATGAAGTCGAAGGGGTTGGCGGACTTGTAGACCTTCTCGTTGCCGAGGGCGACCAGAAGACGATCAGCGACGAACTCGATGTACTGCTTCATGAGGTCGGCGTTCATGCCGAGAAGGGCGCAGGGGAGAGCCTCAGTCAGGAACTCCTGCTCAATGGTGACGGCATCAGTGATGATGTCCTGGATGACCTGCTTGCTAGCACGGCCCTTGAGGTGGGAGTGGAGGAGGCAGGCAAAGTCGGTGTGAAGACCCTCATCACGAGAAATGAGCTCGTTAGAGAAGGTCAGACCGGGCATGAGACCACGCTTCTTGAGCCAGAAGATGGAAGCAAAGGCACCGCTGAAGAAGATACCCTCGACGGCAGCAAAGGCAACGAGACGCTGAGCAAAGGAAGAGTCCTTGTCTTGGATCCATCGGATAGCCCAGTCGGCCTTCTTGCGGATGCAAGGGATGGTCTCAATGGCGTTGAAGAGGTAGGTTCGCTGGGAAGGCTCCTTGATGTAGGTGTCAATGAGCAGAGAGTAAGTCTCGGAGTGGATGTTCTCCATCATGATCTGGAAGCCGTAGAAGCATCGAGCCTCAGGGATCTGGACCTCGCCGCTAAATCGCTCGACAAGGTTCTCGTTGACGATGCCGTCAGAGGCGGCAAAGAAGGCAAGGATGTGAGAGATGAAGAACTGCTCGTCGGAGGTCAGGCGGTTGTTCCAGTCGTGAAGATCCTTGGACAGATCAATCTCCTCGGCAGTCCAGAAAGAGGCCTCAGCCTTCTTGTACATCTGCCAGATCTATTGTGGCTTGTTAGTATTGGGGTCTAGGGTGGGGACCACTTTACGCGTCTCAGACGCGTCACATACCTCATGGTACTTAATGGGGAAGAGAACGAAACGCTGGGGGTTCTCCTGGAGAAGAGGCTCATCGGCCTCCTCAGCCTTGATGCCAGCAGCCACAGTGGGCTTCTCCTGCTTCTCCTGGACGACCTGCTTCTCTTGCCTCTTCACCTCCTCCCACTTGGCCTTCAGGTCCATACCAGCACCGGTGGTCTGGTTCTCCTTGTTGGATGTACCGAAGTTGAGCTTCTTGGCGGGGGACTCCATCTTGAAGTTCTCAATGGCAGAGGCAGCCTGTTGGAAACTCGTGTTAGCTATCAATTGTCCTTGTATAACGAGAAAAGGTGAGCCGTCGTCGACGTCACTAACCTGCTTGGAAGGGGTGACTTGAGCAGCCATTGTGGTGTTTGTATGTGTCTGATGGATGAAATGGAACGAAATGTGGGCAAGACAAGGCAGAAACACGACAAAGACTTTGTATGCGTTGTGTACTGTTGAAGGGAGAGGATGTGGACGCGGTGGTTTATGGTCTGGTCGAAATATGGGCTGAGGAAGACGGGATGGGCTTTTGTATAGAGGTGATGCGCTATCACGTGGATCGGAACGCGTCGCGGTGAGTTCTCTGCATGGTGGGCCTGTGGGTCAATTAAGGCGCTAGCGGCTGGGGTGTCACTGCGCGTCACTGGGTGAACCAGGGGTTTTCGGTGCCTTTCGGGGCAGAGACCAGCGTCGCCAAGGCGCTAAGACGTCCGCTGAGACCATCTGAATCTCCAGCCACCAGGATGAAAGAGCCAAATGGGACGCGTTAAGACGCGTTTCGATGGGCTTCACGTTCGTCTTTGGCAAGGTCAAGTACTCTACTTTTTTTTTTTTCTTTCTCCCCACTGCCTTGTACCTGCGTTCATGGCAAGGGAGGATTATTCAGGCTTGGTCAGGGTTGACTGGCGTCATGGAGGGGCCCGGGTTTATCAATCAGGACATCCTTACATATCTCGCGTCGTTGGGGCAATGCGAAATGGGCTGCAGCTGGGGCATGACGCCCAGCGGGACCGAGCTCACCCGGGCGACTCAGGCCTTGAGGCGGTGGAGGTCATGAAGAGGTCGCAGAACATGATTCAATTCTGAGACCGTGTATTAGAGTGTTTGGAAAACCAGATAACCGGTCTCTGGAGTTGCTAGTGTCTAATTGCCAATTTTCCGCGGCTCTACAGCTCCCCCCAATGACCAGAGACGCGTTCCCAGGGTCACACCGCGTTGGAGTCGGTGACCGAATGTGACGATACCGGCTCAAGGTTGGCGCGCCTCCAAGCATCTCCGGTTGCTAGAGCTATGCCGGGCACAGAAATTCCAGGGCTCGAACTAGGTTGTGTTGGGCCAAGCCGATCCCTCAGCTCATGGCTCAGGCTCCAGGCTCTGGCGCTTTGCTTCTTCGTGTTCCGCTGGTTCCAGTTGCTCGGTCGATCAGAATGCCAAGGGAATTTATCAGATCCTGCTCTCGTATGTAATTCGTCGACGCCGACCCACGCGCCGGTATCCACTTTAGTCAATTAAACTCGTGTCTTGTCGTGGAGCTTGGTACTGTACATCACTCATTTACACATGATCCATTCCACACGCGCCTCGAGGCCGTGGTCCATGCAAACAACATCTTCAACGCCATGTCCATCGTGAATAATCCTTGAGAATCTGACTCACAGGGACCCACCAGTTTCGTCAGCCTGTTCCTCTTTCGATTCCATCATGCATAACTCCGAGTATCCGGGGTCTAGTGTCGGTCCCTACGGTGGGACGACCGGCGATGGTTTCGTGACCCGGAATTAACCTCGCCCGTCTCGATATCATACGGCCGAGACTTGCTGCGACCAAAGAATCCACGACCTTCGCGGACCCGCGCTGGCTCTGGTTGGCTCGGGTGACGACTATGACGGCCTTCACGGCTGCGCGGAGACCTATCCGACATGGATTCATGCCTTGACGGCGGGCTTGAAACGTATTCGGGCGGATCCTGCATCTGCAGTCGATCGAATTGTTCGGGGTCGCTAGGATCAACGGCTGGCAACGGCTGGCCACTCTTGCGCAAGTTCTCCTTGCCCTGTTCACGGAGGTATGCCTCCAGAAGAGCCGCGTTGCGGGTATTGGCCCGGAATGCGGCATCAGCGAGATCGCCAATGAAAGGGATGATACCGATGCCAAAATCGAACAGGATGTTGACCATCATCCTAGCCTTGACAGAGGTTGGAAGTCCACCATCGATTTGCATGCATGTCTTCAAGACGAGCATTGCCATGAGCATGTCCAGGACGTCACCAATGCTATCCGGTTCTGTGTTAGTCTCATCATGCTTCCTAGGTTACGAGGGGCAACTTACGCAGGGATCAAGCCCAGGGCGCTGCCCCAGCCGAAACGGACACCACAGCAACTGAAGAGAGCCAGGTCTAGACGATAAGCTCGACGCTTAACCTTGGTCAAGACCTTGCCATCATGCTCAGAGATGCCCGGGGGGAGAGCCTTCTTGCGCTTCTTGAATTTGCCATTTGGCGTTCCGTTGAGGCGGGTGGCCGGGACTTGTTCAAAGTAAGGATCCTGCATGCATGGGTTAGCCTTCATGACCGCGGGGGAATGTGAGCGCCAAGGAAGGATTCTTACCTCAGTTCCAAACTTGTTCTGGATGGTTTCCCCCAGAATCTTCTTGGTGACGATCTTGGCGATTACGGACGTCATGACTGCTGTCGATGAGTATCAGGATGATCTCTGCTTCAAAAGCCGAGCGCGGTCTTTCTTTATAGTTGACTCTTATCGGAGGCTGACCAAGGCCGGATGATGGCTGGCAGGAGCGTTTGCTCTCAAGGCGCTTGTGTCGAATCCAACGTGGCAGGAATAAAAAAAACAAAAAACGAGGCACAGTGTTGAAACACAGGAACCAAGAATTCTTTGAGAGAGACACCAGCCTTTTTGATTGATGTTACCTGTACAATCAAGGCTGCGCGGCCTCGTGGATTACCGGTTTTTTAAACAGCACCCATGATGGGATGACTATGGTGAGGCAGCCCGGAGGCCTTGGGCGATGATGTAATTCCTAGTGCCCCTTCCAGCCATCACGGCACCACCCAAACTTCTGGAACCTGCAAACCACGGCGAACCCTTGCGATCTGGAAGCGTTGACTGGCTCAACACCACAGACTAAACCGTTCTACTGCTGCAATGCCGATCACGCGTGCGCTGGCGTTCTCCGTAAAACTTGGCTTTCTGAAACGACGCGAAAAGCGTTCAATGCAAGGGAGGGAGCTTGCTGTGATCCAGAGTCGAGACCGTGCACCGCCACTCTCAACAAGCTGTATGCACCTAAATCGTGGCGAGTATCCATACTGTCAAAGGTGGCGCAGCACCTCCAAGCTCTGATCGTTGGGCAGCTCTAGAGCGGGCAGGTGCGGATGGGTCTGGTCCGTCTGTCTGTGATCCGGCTGGCTCACTGGTCTGATGCGATGCTGTCAAACCTGACAACAACACATCAAATCGCATCCGACATCGACGATTTCGGCTATAGCAATTGTCTCCCGAACCCCGCATATCCCAAGGAACGCTGCGCCCCATCACCCGCTTCCACTTTCTTGAGGTTCCATCTCCTTCGGCTGGCGGCTTGCGACTCCGACGACCGCGCGCGTCTTTTCGTTTGTCGCAGTTCCTCTTTGCGTCATCCCGGCTCTCGTGCCTCAACCATGGTCAGCTTGCCTTCACAGCTACGATCCCATCGCCGTCTCGCAAAGTCTTGAGAGGAAGAGAGAAACAAGGAAGAAATCAAGGAAATCGACATCCCACCATAGCATGCGCTGGGGGAGCTCGTTATCATGGCCAAATCACAGATGCAGTTAGAGGATTGTATGTGTTGCTGGCGACGCAACTGCAAACAGGAACTGACACAAAAACCGTAGGGCTGGACGACCTCTGCGTCCGCTTCATCATCAACCTCCCGCAGGAGGATCTCTCCTCCGTCGCACGGATATGCTTCCAAGTCGAGGAAGCTCAGTGGTTCTACGAAGATTTTATTCGTCCACTCGACCCGACCCTGCCGTCCATGACGCTGCGCACCTTTTGCCTTCGCATCTTCCAGCACTGTCCCCTGTTGGCCAACTTCTCTGTCGAGAATCACACCAAAGCATTTGAAGAGTTCCTGGAATACAAGACCCGAGTTCCGGTTCGGGGTGCTATCTTGTTGAATGAGGCTATGGACTCGACCGTGCTAGTCAAGGGATGGAAGAAGGGCGCCAACTGGAGTTTTCCACGAGGCAAGATCAACAAGGATGAGGATGATCTTGACTGCGCTGTTCGAGAAGTCTACGAAGAGACAGGTCTGGACCTACAAGCCGCTGGGTTGGTGCCTACCGATCATAGACCCAAGTACATCGAGATTGCGATGCGCGAACAGCATATGAGGCTCTACGTCTTTCGCAATGTCCCGATGGACACCAAGTTTGAACCAAAAACGAGGAAGGAGATCAGCAAGATTCAATGGTACAACCTGTCTGAATTGCCTGCTTTCCGCCGGAAGAACAACCAACAGCAGGACACGGCTGCTATTCCCAACGCCAACAAGTTCTACATGGTTGCTCCGTTTTTGGTGCCCTTGAAGAAATGGGTTGTCTCGCAGAAGAAGATTGATGCGAGGAAAGCGGCCAGTGGTTCTAACCCTCACCGAGCTATTGACGAAGCTCATCTTGAGGATGATGCATGGAAGACCGACACCGGTGCTGAAACTGCCGACCAGGCACCAGCCATAGACACACATCAAGGTGCTGAACAGGAGCTTCATCGGCTGCTGAAGATACAGCAACCCACCCAGGGCTTGCAGGCACCTATAGCTCCTGTTCAGCAGGACAAAGGCAGTGCTCTCCTATCTATTCTTCAGGCCAAGGGCGGACCTGCAGACGCCGTGCCGCAGCCAGGGGCTTACCAACCTCACACTCCACTAGACATGACGGTTGGTGAGGCACCTCAACCTCGAACGCCCCACCATCATAACCATCACCATATGCCTTCAATCACCACTCAGCAACCACCTCCCTCGTTCCCTTACTCGCCTAGCCAAGTTGCCCGGTGGAATATGCCCCCTCCACAGCAAGTGAGAAACGAACAGCCATTCGCCCAACAGTATCCTATCCCCGAGGGGCAGTACAAGAGCAACCAAGCTCCTTTGGTACATCCTCAGCCACTTCCTCCTCAGGTGGAAAGGTCTGTTTTCAACAGGAGCGTATTCCAAGAGGGCACCCAGCCCAACTATTCCGGTGCTCCTGTGCCATTCAACAACCCACAGACAGGACAGTATGGATATTCCAACCAGGCATCACAAGCCCCTATTCCTGTAGAGCCTCCAAGACAGCCCCAGTTGAACGGACAGTCGATGGCGCTCCTGAATGCTTTCAAAGGTGCAAACGCTTCAGCCCAGCTCAAAGAGAACATTCAACAACCTCAAATGCCCAACCCTGGCTATCAGGGCCAGAATCCGGCACCTGCTTACAGCAACTTTGGCGGACCGCAGATACCTCCACAAGTCCCCCCGCATACATCTGGTGTCCTAGGTGGCTACAATCGTTCTCAACCAAGTCCCAAGGAACTTCCAGGTTCCAAAGTTGGGCCGCCTGCCGACAACCACCGAAACGCTCTCCTCGGCATGTTTCGCAAGGAGGATCAGGCCCAGCCACAGGCCCAGGTACCCCAACCTAGCGGTCACCCTGCTTCTGGGAACCTTTTGAACGAATTATTCCGTTCGGCAGGTGGAGATGCCCGGCAGGCTCAAGTATCCTCGCGGGCCAGCGCGGACACTAACCCGTCGATTTCTCTGGAAGCGTTGTCTATTCACCCTCGACCTTCTCAGTCCGGTACCCCTGGGTCTCAAGGAAGGGCAGATTATGGACAGCAACACGGCCCTCTTCCCCAAGGACCGGCCACCTCTCAGCCCGCCCAGCCTATCCGTATTCTTCAGCGAGGTCAGAATGACCAGTTCCTGCGTGTTGGCGGACCCTCGACAGCATCTCCACAAACTTCACAGGCATCGCCCAGTGGCCTTGCTGGTCACTTACAGCCTGTGCCGGCTGGAGCCAGTCCCAGAGTCACACCGTCATTTCCTGCGTTCAGCCAACGTCGTGAGTCTGGACCTGACCAGAAACGACAACTTCTATCTCTCTTTGGAAAGCAACCATCTCCTGCCAGCTTGGAGGCGGCTAAAGGAAAAGAGGTCATCGCGGGAACGCCGAGGTCTCGCCTTGCTTCTTTGGCTTCTGGCGCCGGTGAGCCGGGGCTTGGAAACCTACCCCCTTCTCGCCGCGGCAGTCAGACACCAATTTCACCCGCGGAGCGCACCTTTTTGCTGGATTACCTGCAGTCTGTTACCAACAGCGCCAACCGGTGAGGCGGACATTAGGAGTTTTGTTTTATCATGTGTTGGAGTATAGTTAGGGTTGGGGGAGCATATTCAACGGGGTCTTGCTGTCTTGGTCGCAAAGGTGGCTAGTTACCTACTATCTAGATACTCACGATGCATTTCTCGCAAGTTGAGTGTGCTTTGAGGCGCAATTGATTGAATATTTTTAGCCGCCATGTTGGATTAGATGTTGCTGAACAAATCTAGACCCGAAAGGTGACAAGCCAAGGTTCTGTACTTGAATGTTTCCAGGGGATGGTCTCGGTTGATTATTTACATATGGGTAGAGGCGTAGCTATACACGTCAGCAAGGCGCAACGCATCTGGATTCCCTGAGAGTAAGAGGCTTGAGAATGCTTGAAACTATAGAAGTCACACGAGCATTTCTGCAGAGTGTCATGGTCATTAGGGGTAGTGGCAAATGACGAGATCATCGACTATAAGGCAGAGAGCATTGAACATGGTGAAAATGTTCCAAATTACCCAAAGATTATATTTTTGCATGTCTTTAGGTTAGTGTTCATCCTTCATTGCGACGTTAGACATCGTCGAGTGGCTGTCATCTTTGAGGGTTGCGTGCAAATAGGGGGCGCCACGGAAGATGATGATAATGTTGGTCGGTTATTGCTATATTTTGACAGCCCGAGAAATATAATTCTTTCAAATTTCAGGACTTGGTTCTCTCCCGCTTGTACATATAACGGATGCTAAGGCAGGGAGATATTGGATTACCACGCCTATACCGATGAACACTTGAATGCGTGATCGAGATGTAAAGCACACCTTGTGTAATTCAATCGCAGGATAAAAACGAAGATTGAATTAATTAAACGGCTTCTACCAGTTTCAGATGCTCCTGATTCGCCGATAAATCCATACCCCTGAGTCATGCACACCACAGCACTGCCAGGCCAGCTCCGGAGCGCATACCCTTATGCATCACTTCCGACGGCACGGTTCTCAACAGACAGGCGTCAAAGTGGCCGAGCGGCGACTGTTCAGCAGTTCCTGACGAGGTGCAAACTTCAAGATGGCCGATGCATCGGGGACGGCGGCGTGCGCTGACATAAGGTGGGCATGTCGATGCATCAGGGCTTGGAGTTCGGAGAGCGCTCAATGTCACCGAGACGCCTGTCCTCTACGCGCTTCTTTTTTTTTGCTTCATTTCAGTCATCTTTTCTGTTTTTAATACTTCGTTTTGATTGTGCTATGTGTGATTGAAGTTTATCTTTTGAGGGAGTTGGTGAGGTGAGGCGTGATGATGCACCGTGATGGCTTCGTTTAGGAGTTGAGCTTTAGGATGACTTTAGGCCTCAGTCTTAGGATCCACCCTCCCTCAGTCATGTTTGTGCCAGAGTTCTTGGGTTCGAATCCTGTCGCTTCTCTTTTGTTGATATGTGTGTGTTCCACATCCCCTGACTCCCACCACAGGAGTGTCTGAGGGGTGGGTTGGCCTCCCCCTTTCCGGCTCTGGCAAGTGTAGATCTTTCAAGAGACCTGTGAATACACACACTGTGACTTTTCTTCCAGGAATTCATTCATGTAAAGCCCAGGAGAATGCAATGGAGAGGCTGGAGTGCTGAAGTGCTGGCCTCGACGGAACTGCTGATAAAGGTGTCCCGTGGTCGCCCAAGGAAGGATACAACGGTCATATGTCTTCGACCGCGACGCGAATCCGACATGAGTAGCATGGCATATCTTTAATTCTAGTATCCCCATACTCCTCCATTTTCGTCGGTCGCGCAGAGCATTTTGCTTGAGTCACTTCTGGTGCGTGGTAGATGTGAGGGTGAAGAAAAGGGGCCATAACCACTACATACGAAATGCCCCAAAAGAATAAATATTCATGAACTTGAAAAACTCATCTAAATATCCATAAGTTTGCTAAGGATCTCAGAAGCAAGCCAGGACTTTAGAATTCAATTGGTAGTGGGTTGGTTGAGAGACTTGAGAGATCGGACGAACTACGAGAAGCGAGATCTAATGTTCGAATCCCACAGGAACGATGAGTTTTTGGAAATACAAGATTCCCCCTGATGGATGACACCACGCACGAACCCTGGGACACAAAGGGATCAACTACAGGAAGGGGTTTTAGATATCAAAATGTCATTTCTCAAACTCAAACACATTACAATGCCATCAAAAACCAGGCAAATCGTACAAGGGTATCTCGTAAAAGAGCTTCCCATCTGGGCCTCGGCAGGAAGCAGACACATAGACAAACATTAATGAAATCAGTAATACTCCTCGTCATCCGAGTCATCCTCGCTATCATCTTCATCCTCGTCGTCGTCGTCGTCGTCGTCGTCAGTCATATCCAGCACCTGGAACCGATTGGTGGCCTTGTTCGAGGACACGGAGCCGCTCGAAAAGTTGCGCTTCGACACCATGACGGGCCTAGATCCCTGGGTTTGTGTTGGCAAGTTCCTTGGGGGTTGAGCGCATTCATCCGCTGCCCATTCAATGCGGGAACCCTTGTATTCACTGCATGCGAGTACCTGTTAGCTCCTTTACCCCTTAAGAAGTAGACGGTCGCAATTCGGTGCAAGTCAACTTACAGTCGGCTCATCATGCAGTTTCGTGCAAAGATGGCGTTGTGGACCGAGTTGGTGCTGATATAGCACGCATCTCTGAAAAACTCAACCTTGAGGACATGGAGATTGTGAATATGCGCAAGATCTCCCCGAATGCTCTCCTCAGTGAGGTTGGGATTCCGGTTGCGGATGACAAAGTTGCGAGTTGCACCTCGGCTGATCTGGTGGCAGACATGAGGCGCAAGAATGAATTGCTGCTCGTTCCATTGCACGGGGATCTATCAAAGTGAGTCAGTACGAAATGTAGAGAGACGGCGAGTCACTCACTGGGGTGTTAAGGATGCGCAAGCCATGCTCCCGGGCACGTTCGAGAAAGGCAGCAGCATCATCTCCGTACACAAACGACACGGTGGCAGTGTGCTCCTTTGGGCGAAGATAGACCTCTAGAAGGGGACCACCGCGAATAACTGCAGTGATATCACCACGTCTTACACCGGAAGGGAGGTTGAAGAGCCGGACTGATCTCTGGGCGTTGCGCTCCAGCCGTCGATTGGGGTCGTACTGGTTGCCACCCTGCGGTGACTTGGGTTCCTGGCTACATGGCTCGGTGGGCGATTGAACAGACGGCGACTGGCTGACCGGGAAGGGGTCGGTATCGGGATGAAGCCATTCTCTGTTGGTCTCAGTCTGGTGATGGCCTTGGTAAGGGGGTGCTTGAGGATTGTATGCGTGGTCACTGGAACTAGGCTGATAAGAATGCCCGTACGAGGCAAGCGGATCTGGCTCGCTCAGCAGCTGGAGCCAGTTAGCAGGGTTCCATATGCAGGGAGGCGAAGCGATGTGCCTATTCACGGAGGGTGAGTGTAATTGGGGATCATTAAAACGTACATCAAGAACAGCATTACTGATTCCTTGGTCGACGAGCTTCTGGCGCAGGCAAGCTATCAGTAGATAAGGTTAGACACGTTCTCTCTGGAGTACTTGATAGCTCTATGAGCATCTGGTTATTGTGATCCGTAGGGCCATACCATATCTCTGAGCGATCTTGACCAGCATATCGTAGTCTGCTTGAGAGATGTAAACCCCCGGGTTCTGAGAGGTCTTGGGCGAAGGTTAGCTTGGTGACCGGGAAAGATGCCGGTATGATGTTTGGCTCGAGAAGGAACATACGTTCTGGTCCCTGTAGTAAATAGTTAGTTACCGAGTCCCTGTCATTTCCGCAGTAGAAGCGCTATTCGCATGCTTGTATCGATGAAGCACTCGCGGATAAGAACGTCGGACGCATGTCACTTACTGCATAGAACTCATGTTGACGCCTGGTCACCACTGGTCAAACTCCAGTCCTCTTGAAAATGATGAGATGGAAAAGTAAAGGAGAGAATTGACGATAACGGCGCCCGTGTTGATTTTATCTTCCAGGTGCCGTTGGAGGACGAGGCGCTATGGCAGTGCCTGACAGCAGCAAACAAACTGGCAGAAATTTGATGCCTTGTATCAGTTCAACCAAACGCCGGGAGCATGAAAATTCCACGTGCCGCTGCCGGCAGCCAACTGTCATCTGCTATCCGCCGCCATGTTGGTCGCTCTTGCATTTTACGATCCCAGTAATTGGCAGAACAGATGGATAAAGTCGATGGGATGGATGAAGCAAACACTTGTTTGTTTGTTTTATTGTATCTGCGAGTTTCGAACTTATTACTTTAGATTAGGATAACAAACAGGTTGATTCATGGTGTAGCTGTACATCATGGTTGGATATGATGTGAGGAGGCAGATGGTGTGCCTGGGACATGATAAGGTACCCTATATGATTGGTATCATATATGTTGACACAATGGTATCTGGAATATACTCAGCACATTCTTCTTGATAGCAATAAAGGCGAATACAAGTCATCGCTCACAGATGCTCAATATCAATACATCTGTTGATGCTGTCATGTGACTGAGTTCAGAAAGTATGGATAGCTTCTTTCACATGCGGGACGAGTCTCGTTGCGATGAAACACAGACTTCCGCATCACCCTTGCAATCAACCAACGGGAAAGAGCGGCATCTAAGTACTCGTCCTTCATCAATCACCTTTGATATGTCCTGACAAACCTGAGTCAATAGCGTGCCACCGGGTCATACAGGGCTGCGTGCAACCTGGTAGGTTGCGTTTAGAGAATCGGAGGATTAGACGGTAGACAGAGACTAGCAAACGGCGGCATCTTTTTAGTTCGAGACAGCAGACAGGCTGTCATCCCGCGCCTGGCTCCAACGGGCAGGGAAGAGCACGGCACGGCAAGGCACGGTAGAGGCAAATGGCTTTTCTCACTCGGCAGCAGCGCATGTTCTTGTCATGATACACGACATCTGGGATCAGCAAAGGATACGAGAAGCACATGATGACGACGACAGGTAGCATCCATCCATCTAGAACACCCGCAAAAAAAGAAGAAGGCCCGGTTTAAAAAGAGAAAATCTGGTTCTGCTGATGGAGCCCTGAGCCATGTTTAGTGCATGATTACCGAGAATAGCGGCTGGGTTTAGGGGACTCCGGCCTGGGACGGGGATGGCGGGGAGCGGGAGACGGGATAACAGGTTATTTTTAGGAAGGGAGAGCGGACAACACGAGATCACGTGTCGGGCCACCCAATCGAATTTGGCACAGGTGTCAGCCATCCGTGGAGATGAGATGGCCACACACACGCAACCCAGCCCCAGCTCGCGAACATGCCAGCCAGCCAGCACCTCACGCAGGAAACTCTGTCTGACTTGCCTGCGGTCGCTTGCTCGGTCACAGGCCTGAGATCGTGGTGGTCATTACTCATCGACTTGGTGGGAGACTGATGAGGGGAAGGCTGCAACTCAAAAAGTATGATAGAGTCGAGAAATGATGGATACGCTCAGATAAATAAACCTCGATCAGGGGTTGCCGTGTCAGACAGAGCTGAACGCTTATTGTTGTTTTCTTTTTTTTTTTCCTCTCCTCAGCTGTCCGCCAGTCTCGACCAGGCTGTGCTACCACACTCTTGGTAGGCCAGCCCAGCGCCACTGAGGCCCTGTGAGAAACCGCTACGGACCGCTGACGTCCACTGGAAAAAACGGCCGGGGCCCCCTCCTAAAAAGGAGACGCTGGTCGAAGTCAATCGAGGTACGTACCCTTCCCGGGCAGTGCTTTGGTGCAACGGCGAGCCTATGAAAACGCAGGAAGGGAAACAACCCCTGTCTCGCTCCTTCATTCAGGATGGGCTGTCCGGGTCTCCTGCTGGGCCAACACGACGCCAACGCTTTCCCTTGTTCATCCTCCACTCCTCCCTCCCTTCCACTCCATCACGCTCCCTGTCCATTTGCTTTTCTTGCTCAGGCTGCCTGTCCTCTCGCTTTTCTCTTCTGTATTCTTCTCGAGATTCATCCATTCCAACGTTTTTGGAGGTCATCGGCAACGACCATCATAGCTTGGTTGTCTCTCACTTTGCTATTTTACTACATTCGCTTCGCCATTCGCATATCACTCGCTTTTCCCGTTGTCGACTTGGATCATCCGTTTTTGCTTGTCTCGCATCATTCTCGTTCCTGTGACACAGCATCAAGATTCATAACAACGGCATCATCATCATCATCATCATTTCGACGCTCCATCATCGAAGCTTGTAAACCTCTATCGAGAGTCCTGTGACTACGACCGCTGTAGCCACTTCCCCGAAACCACCTCGGCTCCCTTTTTCTCTCGACAAATCCATCCACATCGCCCATCATGCGTCCCGCCTCGGGCCTCGTCCAGCTGGCCGTCTGCGTCTCATCTCTCGCTCCCCTGACTGCAGCATGGCCTGACTGGTTCCTCCAATCCGACTCGATCGTCGTTGCCAGAGACGTGGTTCGACAAGAGCGTACGTCAGCACCCTTGCACCCGAGAAAATTAGACACTAACCCGTCACAGTACCACAAGAGACCGGCTTCCTCGAGCCTCGTGCGGACGGAGAGTCCACAACCCAGGAAGAGGCCACCAAGACTGGCAGACAGATCAAGACGACAAACCTCAACACCGCCAAGGTCGAAACGGAAACAGATAACTCGGAATCCGACAAGACCAACACCGACGAGGAAACCGAAACTGCAACTGGAAAACAGACCGGCAAGAAGGGAGAGACGGGAAAGAGCAACACCAAGGATGCTAAGCCCACCCGAACCAGCTACTCCTTTGATGTTGCCGCTGGTGGTGTGAACATGCAGACTCCTGAGACCTTGTACCAACCCACGCCTCTGTACAAGATTGGTGACTATGCCACCTTTGGCTGGAACTACACCTCGCTCAAGGGCACCCCCACTGCCATCGACGTGCTCGTCAGTTGCTCTGCCAATGCTGAGACATACACCCTCGCCGCCAACACGACCTTTGAGAAGAACCCTTCTTACACCTGGGACACGGGCAAGCAAGCCAACAATGTCAACGCTCCCCTTGTTGTTGGCCTGTACACTCTTATCATCAAGGACTCTGATATGGGCATCAGCGATGTCCCCGACCCAGGTTACCTGTCTGTTGCCAGGACCTTCCAGTTCGGCATGTACACCCCCCGAGACTATGTTCCATACAGCGAGTGGACTTGCGATGTTTGCAACAGCGCACCTGGTCTTAGCCATGGCGGCATTGCCGTGGTTCTATCGATGACTCTGGTAACGATTGCCTCGTTCACCTGGTTCGTCACCGGCCTCGGTCTGCAATAATCAGCTTGTATTCGCGCTTGGCTTGGAGTTAGTTTTTCGGTTTCACGTATTCATTCGGCGGGCGAACATCGAACGGGCATAATTATGCCCCCTTTTCGCATTGGACATGCAATTCAGAAGCTTCTGGGGAGGGCGTTAGTAGAGGGATGTTTTTAAGGTGAAGGTACCGCTCAAGGACGGGAAAAACTCCAATTTGGATGCTTCATGATCTGATCGCCACAGAGTAAATCATGTAATGATTCTATATACATCTTAATCTCGTCGGTCTTTAGGATTACCGAACGAAACAGTTTGTTTTCAAGAAAATATTTTACAATTTGGCACAGGTATCAAGTCGTCGTCATTGCTTCGTCATTGTGCTGTGGTTTGACACGGAACTACTGTGTGAGGCTTGGGCTTCAAATGAAGATGATTCATGGGGTGCATGCTAACGTTACAGTGGTCTACTTGTGGGTATATGGTTATTTATGTCGGCATGGTATAATGTGTCGTTAAGTATTTGGCAACTCCCTGCCTTGCCGTTCTCATCATGACTGGATACGGAGTTTGCATCCTACACCATCCGTAGCTGGAATCCAGCTCCCCTCTCTTCCCGATCTCGCCCTTGAAAGATGCCAGTAAAGTCGACATCGCCCAAAGACGCAGCCTGGCCACGCACAGGTGCATGTGGCTCCTGTCGCCGGCGCCGCTCCTGGCCGGCCTTGCTTGGAAACGTGGGGAACATGCTTTCGGGCTTTGGTTTCGGGTCTTGACGGAAGTACTCGTGCTGGAGCATCTCACGCGCCGTCGGCCTACGGTCCGGGTCTAGTGATAGGAGATCGGCTAGTAAACCGGCGCCGGCCGAGGTAAGGCCCGGGAAGCGGGCGCGGACGACGGAGCCGGATGCGGCAGCGGTCTTGGGGAGGCGGAGGGTTCGGGCGTTTGGCAGGCGACGGAAGCCTGGCCAAGATTCATCTGTGGGAACGCCGCAGAGCTCAAAGATGCGCGAGACTTGGTCGACCTCGTTCTTGCCCTGGAGAAGGGGCTCACGCGTTAGTAGCTCGCCAAAGATGCACCCGACACTCCACATATCGACGGCGGCGCCATAGGACTTTGCGCCGAGGAGGAGCTCCGGGGCGCGGTACCAGAGGGTGACGACCAGTTGGGTGAGCTTGGGCGGGGGATCGCCGACGTAGCGGGCCATGCCAAAGTCGGCGATTCGGAGCTGGCCCCGGTTGTTAAGGAGGAGGTTGGACGTCTTGAGGTCGCGGTGGAGGATCCAGTTGTCGTGGAGGTAGGCGATACCCGAGGTGAGCTGGAGGAGGAGGCGCTTGACCTCAGAGGAGAGAAAGGGCTCAGGCATGTCTTCGAGGATGCTCTTGAGGTCATGTTCGACGAATTCAAGGACGAGGAAGAGGGAGCTGCGAGGTGGGTTCGTTAGTTGAGATGCCTCGACAGTTGGAGAGGGCGCGTACTTGTCTGGTCGTGATACATCGTCTCCCACGACAACCTCCACCATGGAAACAATGTTGCGATGTTGGCAATCCTTCAAGATCTGGATCTCACGCAGTCCCGTAACCGGCAGACCATTTCGATCTGCTGGATCCAATTTCAGCCGCTTCAGCGCGACAACCTTGCCGGTAGCCTTGTCTGTCGCCCGCGCAACCCATCCATAGGTTCCTTCTTCGATATCGTTCAGCTTCTCGTAGTTCTCGACGCTTCTGCATTTGGACCAGCCACCGGTAGGAAATCGTAGCAGTTTCGCGGGGGGTTGCTTCTCGTTGGCGCCAGCACCGGGCTCGGGCGTAATCCTCCGTCGCTTCGAGGGTCGGTCATCGTCGACGTCGAGAGATGCTCTGGCTGCTGCGGCCTGCGCTTGCTTCTCCGCCTCGAGCTTACGGACCCTTTCTGCCTTTTTGCGTCGCTTCTCTTCCTTGAGTTTGGCGTCTTGACGGGCGTCTTCTTCGGTGTCTGCCCACCGCCCCTTGCTGGACATTGCGGGATGTGAAGCGCGTGAATGATCGATTCGTTAATGCAAAAGAGGCTGTCTTCAATTATTCCAAGATTCGAAACTGAATGAGGCGATCGATTCGTGTGTTGTTGCGTGTAGAGAGTCGGGGTTGCTCGAGCTTTCCCTGCGAGCTCGGGGAATTTGTCTTATCTTATCAGCAGCGGCTGTTCAACTCCAAGAAAAGCATCGTCATTGGCGCTTGACATGTGCTTGCCGGCGCCTTCTCAATGAGAACCTCACCAAAGCCTTACACAATTGACAGGCTCCGAAGATGATGAGACCACTCAGCGCTCGGCCGCTTACGAGGCTCGGAGGAAGCCGTTGGGTGCAGCGGTCTTCCTTTGGAGCTGCTAGAAGCTTCTCATCGAGTGTTCGACGGCTTCAAAGCGAGGGTGAGGGTGAGAGGAAGTGGTCTACGCCCTTGGCCAAGCAGCTCTTTGAGGCCATCTCTGTAAGAATTCAAATTATCAATTATATATACCAGGCTGACATCGTAGACAACCGGCCCTGTTCCTTTGGCGAGCTACATGCGCATGTGCTTGACGGGCGATCTTGGAGGCTACTACACCGGAGCAATTGGCGAAGGACGGGACCAGTTTGGATCAAAGGGCGACTTTGTGACATCACCAGAGATATCTCAGATCTTCGGGGAACTCATTGGTATCTGGTTTCTCGCTGAATGGATCAGCCAAGGTCGACCCAAGCAGGGCGTGCAGCTCATCGAGGTTGGGCCCGGTCGAGGTACTCTAATGGACGACATGCTTCGGGTGAGTTGGCATTCGTATCATGTTATTAAGAAGAGCTACTGATTGTTCCCAGACGATCCAGAGGTTCCCTGCAATGTCTAACAGCATTGACGCCATCTACATGGTCGAGGCTAGTCGGGAGTTGAGAGACGCCCAGAAACAGCTTCTCTGCGGTCCGGATGCTTCATCATCAGAGTCCAAGGCTGGCTTCCATAGCCCAAGCAAGTATAACGGGAAGCAGATTGTCTGGACTGACACTATCAAGTCTATTCCCATCGGTGAGTATCGTTCATCAACTTATACAGAACTCGTACTAATATATTGTCTAGAACCCGACAAGACGCCCTTTATCATCGCCCACGAGTTCTTTGATGCCCTCCCCATCCACAGCTTCCAGTCAGCCCCAGCTCCTCCACCACAAAGCAAGTCCCCCACCTCTCCTCAACCACAGCAGCCGTCACACGACACCAAGCCCACCATGGAGTGGCGCGAGATGATGGTATCACCAACTCCTCCCGGCGCAACTCACGCCGACCTCGGCACCCCCAAGTTGGAGCAGCATGAACCTCCCCCCGAGTTCCAGCTCATCCTCTCCTCGGGAACCACGCGGCACTCACGCTTCCTCCCCGAGTCTTCGCCCCGGTACCGAAAGCTCAAGAATGTCCAGGACTCGGTCATCGAGGTGTGCCCAGATGCTTCCATCTACGCCACCGACTTTGCCGCTCGCATCGGCGGCTCTCCCCAGCATCCCAAGCCCAAGCCTAGTGGCGCCGCTCTTATCCTTGATTACGGAACCTCTGACACCATCCCCATCAACTCCCTCCGCGGCATCCGTCAGCACCGTCGCGTGAGCCCCTTTTCCGCCCCCGGTCTCGTCGACCTGAGCGCCGACGTCGACTTTACAGCAATTGCCGAGGTGGCCACCTCGGCGAGCGAGGGCATCGAGGTTCACGGCCCCATCAACCAGGGAGATTTCCTTGAGCTGATGGGCATTCGTGAGCGTGCTGAGATGTTGACCAAGGCCCCTGGTGTCGACAAGGAGACTGCTGGCAAGATTGATGGAGCGTGGAAGAGACTTGTTGATAAGGGACCCGATGGCATGGGCAAGCTCTACAAGGCTCTGGCTATTCTACCAGAGAACGATGGACGAAGACGACCTGTTGGATTTGGAGGCGATGTCAATGCTTAGACATGACAGATCGGCTAAGAGATTGGCCATGAATGGCGTCTCAAGAGGCGGAAAGAAAGCACATGTATTATCGTGTAAACCCATCAAAATCGGTATGAATTGTATAAGTACTCAGGGAGTCGTGTAAAATTCAGGTTCTATCCTTTCACTATGTAACACGTCACGCAACCCAGCCCATACAAGATAACAATGGATAAAAGAGAGAGCAAAAAGACACAAAAAACTTCCGATTCATTCACCAGTCCCATAATTGTTGCCCATCACATAGGTACCTACTTGTATACAAAGATGCGCCAGCTGTCAGTCATGCGCAATCTTGTCCCTTGCCCCTACGGCTTCTTTTATTTGGCTTTTACAAGCTTCGCGTCCTCGTCGTCACTTCCATCATCAGAAAACTTGTCTCCGTCCTCGCCAATGGCAAAGATGGTCTCGTTTTCTAGTGACTCGCGAGGAGCTGTGCGAGTGTTTCGTTGTTGGTTGGCACTTTGTGACGAGCTAGAGAACGACAGGCCGTTGGAAGCCTGAGTGTTGTTCTGAGGCTTGCCCAACTGAGCCTCCTCATCGTCTGAATCTTCTCCAGGGACACCAATATCGCCAATCTCAAAGTTGCCATCATCGTCCTGGGCGATCTCGTCACTCATGGCGAAGCGGCGGTTGTTGGCAGTAGGGCGCCAGAGGTAAGCGATCCAGGCAACGTCCGCCAAGTAGACAATGTTCAACCAGCCATCAAGAACGAACCATCGCGTCTTCCAGTGGAAGGGGACAAAGTCAGGATCGCTGGAAGAGGCAAAGGTGAAGCTGTTAAAGAAGAAGAATCCAAAGATGACCAGGACGCTGATGAGGATGGCCCACCAAAGCTTCCTGTACATGGCTTCCTTGGCGTGCTGCTTTCGCTCACGGAGGTCCTTGAGAGTGAAGTTGAGAGAGTTGAGCGTCCAAACATAGAAAGCAGTGAGTGTGCCAGCCAGGGGGAGCACAATCAGGAGGATAAAGGGACCTGGAGCAAGTCAGCAAAAATGTCGCGGAAAGGCCAAGGATAAGCTCTTACCTGCGGTCTCAGGGGTAATGGAGAGGTTGGTGATGGAGTACACCAGCCCAAACAGGAAGTGTGCAGCGGCAAGCCATCGGACCCAAATCATGGTTCTACCAAGTGTGGGCTTCACCACGCCATAGCCCATACAGACGATGAGCAGCAGGAAGAAGGAAAATGAGTTTCGCGCCGCATTGAGAACTCCAACAACAGTAAGCAAAACCTTGGATCCAATGTTGGCGCCGTTGCGGTTTTGGTAGTCTAAGTCAGGTCAGCACAGGCTGGTTAACCCCTGGATCAGGTTACAAACCATAGAAGCCCCAAGTCATGAGCATCTCGAGGACTAAGAAAATCAAGATGGCCGTGATATAGTTTTGCACAGCCACTGTGATATGTTAGCGTAAGGGTCAGCGCAATGGTCAAAAGACGCGCTTACAGATGTCATGACGGTGCTGATAGTACAAGAAGCCCCAGAAGACGGCGATCAGAGCATATAGGATAGTCATTCCGCCATAGAAGGGCAACTTGGGAATTTGTGTGGCCTGAAGCTCGCCATATGCGTTGCGGTACTCGACAACGGCATCGTATTTCTCGGTGTTGAACTTGCCCGTCAAGACACAGTAGTAACCGGTCTTCTTGATGGCATAGTTGATCGGGGTGGCCTTGTTGAGGTGGACAGCCTTGGTGAGGATCAAAGTCGATGACTTCTTGTCGGCATCGGGGGCCAGGATAAACTTGCCCTTGTCGGTCTCGTTACAGAAGTTTTGCTTGATCAGATCGTCCCTGCAGACTCCAAATCGCTAAATGGATACGTCAGATGGGAGCCGAGATTGGGGGGGTATTTGCGCAAATGCTCACGTTGGCGGGGTTGTCGGGATCCTGTACTCCAATGAGTCCCCTGTCCTTCCACTCGAATATCACCAAGCTGGCCATCGGATCTTTGTCGTTGGACTGGCTGGTGTTGAGGAACTTGGTGAGGATGAAGGGATCGACGGGTCCACCCCATGAGCTTCGGCTATACATGCCTGGTCTATGTTAGATCTAATTGCGCGATGAGCTTGATTTGTATAGCTTACCGGTGCAGAATTCCTGGTAACCATCTTTCTCGCTCTAAGGACCATTAGCAACTTGCGCCCGAGGATCCGATCGATGGCGCCGTACCAGTCCAACCTCGTAGGCTTCAGCAGTCCAAAGGGACATGCCCAGCACGAGCAGTCCCGTGAGGAACCTCATGTTCGATATATCGATGTCGTTGTTGCGGCGGAAGCTTCGGGACAAGTAGTGGGGAGATAGGAGGGTGTGATGTTGGATGATGGTCGAGGCGAGGACAGGACAGAGAGGGAGAGCTAGGTAGGGAGCTTCGAGACGGACGTTTAAGTGGTGGCGTCGCAGCTTCTACAATTTATGGAGCATGTCGAGTCGGCCAAAAGGGATCCTTCTGCGCGACGGGGGAGGTCCTAGAGACAAAAGAATCCGGTGAATATCTTGAAAGGAAAAAGGTGTCGATTCTCGACTCGTATGTAGAAGACGCAGGTATAAAGAAAGAGGGAGCCTCGCGGTTTGAAGGGAGCAAGATACCCTGGTATCCACGTATACGTAATTGGCCGCCCGTGATGCCAGGTCAGCAGCGGCAGCAGGAGAAACCGTGGACTCCTGCCCTGTCATTGGCTGGTCGATCGCGCCAGTCGTCCCGATAACGATAAGCCCCAGGTACCATGGTTAGCATGGCGCATCATTCGCGATGCGAAATTCATCTTTATTGCTTCATCGACGGCAGATCCTCCTCTCGACTTGGTAGTTTTGGATTAACGCAACGATGGGTAAAGGAACAGACAAGCTATATGTGAGTACTCTCATCATATCGTCTCAATAATCACATTCGCTAACTCCAATTGCACTCCAGATCACCCATTCAGAATGGTCTTCTTCTGACGCCTTCTCCGCCAGCGTCGGCGCTGGAGCCTCGTCTCGCAACCAACACAGCAACGCCTCCTTCCGTCGCCTCCCCTTCAACTTTTGCGCCGCCAGTCTTCAGCCCTTCAAGAACCCCGTATGCACTCCCGACGGTACCATCTTTGATGTTGAGGTCATCGGCGCCTGGCTCGACAAGCACCCTAACCAGAACCCCGTCAACGGCGAGCCCCTACAGAAGAAGGACCTGATTCGTCTCAACTTTGCTCGAAACTCAGAGTCAGACTCGCTCGGAGCTGGTCTCAGCGATGGAAAGGGTGACCTGATCGACCCCGTCACATACAAGGTCTTTACCGACAACACACACATCGTCGCGATCCGTCATGGCACCTCCGCCAACGTCTTTGCTTGGGATACAGTCGAGCGCATGAATATCAAGGCCAAGATGTGGGTTGACCTTGTGAGCGACGAGGAGTTTACACGCGCCGACATTATTACCCTCCAAGACCCTCAAAACGCGGCCAGTCGCAACTTGGATCAGTTCAAGTTTCTCAAGGACGGCCACGAGGCGCAACTGACCAAGGACCAAGAGGAGGAGCGAAAGGCCGGAAACATCAACTCTGGCGCACTGGGAAGCATGGGCGACAAGGTCTTGCGCGCAAAGGCAGCGGTGGACAAGGCGCGCAAGGCCCGAGAGCAAGGTGGCGACGTTAACCGCAGCTCAACAGCTCTGTCTAAGCCCGCTGCTGGTACTACCACCGTGGTCAGGCAGAATATGATCAAGGACAAGAAGTTGGCCGCCAACTCGGCTACTTACACTACAGGAAAGGCCGCCGCCAGTTTCACGAGCACAGGGCTAACGCCCGAAACGAGTGGCGAGAGAGCTCTCCTCACAGATGAAGAGTACATGCTCAAGCCGAAGCGCGTCAAGACGACAGGTTACGCCAGAGTAGAAACCAACTTGGGCGACCTCACCATCGAGCTGTATCCAGAGTTTGCGCCCAAGGCTGTATGGAACTTTATCAGATTGTCGCAGACGGGCTTCTACAAGGGCGTGGCCTTTCATCGAAACATTCCCAACTTTATGATTCAGGGCGGCGATCCGTCAGGGACAGGTCGAGGAGGACAAAGTATCTGGAACAAGTACTTTGACGATGAGTTTGAGGGCCCTCATAGTCACAACGCTCGAGGAACAAGTGAGTATTCGCATTAGCTTGTCACTTGCATGAAGCTAACGCAGTCTCTAGTCTCAATGGCCAACAAGGGCAAAAACACAAACTCGAGCCAGTTCTTCATTACATACAAGCCGACGCCTCATCTAGACCGCAAACACACCGTATTCGGTCGCGTGGTCGCCAATCTTGATGTCCTCTCCAAGATGGAGGATGTTCCCACCGATGGTTCTAACCGACCCCTCAACAAGATCGTCATCAAGGACATTGTCGTCTTTCACGACCCATTCGCCGAGTTTCAAACGCAAAAGAAGGAGCAGGAGCGCCAGACCAAGGAACAGGAGGAGATCCGGCTAAGGGGTGGTACTGACGATGACAAGACGACCTGGACCGGCAAGCGGATACGGAACGATGGAACTATCGAGTCTACCGGTGCCAAAGAGAGTGTTGGAAAGTATCTCCAGGCCCCGGTACAGCAAAACACATCAACAGCAAACGAGGCAGATCTGGATGATGTTGATACATGGGAAGAACCTGCACGCAAAAAGGTCAAAGGAAGAGGCTTCGGAAACTTTGACAACTGGTAAACAAGGACATCGACACCCATTCTTTCAAGGATTTGCATTATATTGTCTTTAAAAACTCTAGTATGTCTGTCCAAAGTCTTCTCATCTTTCAGAGATTGTTGCTAAAGGGACGACGCGACGGCGTACAGTGTGAATACCCAACGTCTAATCGCATATGTCCGTGCGACAACAATGCGAAACTATAGAACATAATAGGAAGGGCCGTTGATTATATATGTGCCGAGCAGACGGGTTGTGCGATGGATGGCAAGTCAAACCATGGCAGGTAGGGTTCCGATTTCGACAGCGGGAAGCTCATCCAACAACGCCGTGCTGAGCGTGGGTGGCGCAACCTTTTCCTGTAACAGTCCTGCGACGACTTGTGCCTGTTTAAGGGCGGTCTCCTTGTGCATGACTTGCAGTCTATCGATGGCGTACTGTCTCGTCTCAGGGGTGCATGCTGACGACATGCCAACGACGTATAGAGGCCAGACAATAGTGTGGTTGGCCCCTGCTAGGCTCATGAAACGCTCTGCATTATCGCTCTGAGCTTTGGACTTGGTCGGATCAAACAGTGGTAGACACCCAGTAGTGCTAGTCATCGGCTCTGATTTAGACCTGGCTCGCGCTTCTTGTGTAACCGGGGCAAGTAGAGCACGGCAGATCTGCTTCTTCGCAGGAACTGCCACCGCATACCCTTCTCCCCCGAGATTCTGCACATCCCGGATGCTAACAACGCCGAGATGTTGAGGAACACTGGCTACAATCGCCTTTCCAAGCATGTCCAGCAGTGTGATCGATTTGGCGAGCGATTTGCGATGGCAATCTGAGAGCGCGTATAAATCATCTTCTCCAATGTCTAAGCAGAGCTGCTCGATCATGGCTTCGGCCAAAAGTATCCGTATACCCCGGGCAACGTTCCAGGTGGTAGATTCAATAAGTCCTGTATAGACATGGCATGTCTCTCCGAGGACTCGAGTATCCGGTTGCGTCAGCTGGACATGATGGTACTTCCACGGTTCCGGTAGATCGGAAAAAATGGAAGCGAGTCCTTCATCGGCGGTAGACACCTTGTCCACGATCTCGTCGAGAGATGCGAGCTTGCCCGTCTTGATGTCGTACCGAACCTGCAGTGCCCTATAGATGGGTTCTGCGACCAGCCATGCCGGTCCGCCGGATTGGTACGCAGGGGGGATCTCTCGCCGGAGGTCAATTAAAGTCTGCGGCATTGGAAGACCACTCTGAATGCAGCTGATGAGGACGGTATGGCAGAGCATGAGGAACATGCGAACACCTGCTTTGGTTTGAAACTGCCCAGGGCCTCTCATGCGTGCCAGGGCTGCGGCACCACTTACATGATCCTGCCATGCTCGCATCGTGTGCGGGCTATATCCAGAGATGAACTCATAGGTGCCGAGGATCAAGACAGAAAGCATGGTAGTGTCTTTTACTGCTTCAACCGGGTCGCGAAGGGCGTCGTGAGTTAGCTTGAGGGCAATAGCATAGCTCTGCTGGGCTCGTGTCCTAGTCTCGGAACAACCAGTGACTTGAGATAGCCCTACGAGACCAACAGCTGTCATGCTGACGGTCACTGGATCGACTCGAGCTTGGTTCGAGTCTGGGGGCTTCCATACGTCGTACATGAAGGCATAATTCTGAGACCAGCCATAATCCGCCGTCACGTAGCGAGAAAAGAAGAAGGCAGTTCCCTGTTCTTGAAGCCCAGAGGACAAAGCGTCACCCAGGAGGGCTTGATCCGAAGAAAGGCCATTGCCATCATCCAGACTCTCAGTTGAAGACTCGGAGGCTGATGGACTAGGATTGTTTGTCAAGGCTGACAGGACCGGAGCCCGACACCGAGCGGTAGATTTCCGGGATCGCTTCGCCGGAGCTTTGGAAGCGGGAGCGGACGCAGGGCCGGGAAGGGAACCTGATTCGGACACGAAAACTGGGGATGGCTTGGACAAGGATTTGGTGGAGGAGGACAAGGGCCCTGTGGAGGACAGGGGTGTCGGAGATGTCGGCGTTTGACTTTGGGCGGTGGGCTGTGCCTTTTTCGCAGCAACTGGTCGAGAACGTGTCTTGGCGGCCTTGTTGATAACATGAGAGCTCTCATCTCGGAACATGAGGTCCACGAGGTTGCGGTAGCCCGGGCAAGCTTGATTTCGCTTCTCACATTGCCCACAAGAGGGTTCTTTCTGGTCACACTTGATTATCATGTTAGCACGCACGTGGGCCAGTGGGCTGCAAGAGAAATGCAACTCTAGAGGTAGGGAATCAACTGGGCAGCGGTGGTGGGCTAACTCACGCGGATCTTGCGGAGGCGACAGTTTGAACAACCCCCTGAGGGCTTCCCGCAGTAAACCATGGCGACAGACGGATGAGGCGTCGCCTCGCGGGGCAGCTGAGATCGGATGGGTGAGAAAGCAAGACTGGCTAGTATTTGCGAGGGCACGTCTTGGGGGATAGCAAAAGACGGAGGAAAGAGGCTCTGTCAAATCTGTAGCATGATGGACGTTGATTGGTGGTGGTTGGTTGTCTAGACCTCTAACAGCTGTAGATTTCCCTTGGCTTAGGTCTGCAAGCCTGAAAGCGGTAATAGTGAGGACCAACGAGTTCCCAGTTAGGTAAAAACGATGAGACAAGCAGGCTGTCGGCCAGGGTGTTCGGCGTGGTGGATGTGGGAAAGGAGTTCCAGAAGATGGTGTAGACCGCGGAGCTCTGGGAGATGATATAGACCATATCCGGACTTAATTCGTCAATCGCCAAAAGACCTCAACGAGAGCGAAGAAAACGAATGACGAGAGTTGGCGTTCATGAGTCGACGGTTGTAAAGATGGGAAGTGATGAATAAGATTAAGTACTTGCACGGGGTGCCAGCCCTGTAAGGACAGAACAAAAATCCCCAGGGCCACCTGTCTGTCCCAAGACGATCAGATGTGCCATGGATGTGGTGCAACTTTGTTGGTTGTGCAGCAAGGCGCAAGCATGGCTGTGCGGACGACTTCACTCATGGCCATGCATTAGGAAGCTAGCAGCAGCCCAATCCACGGTCCCTGATCAACAGCATGGGTCCACCTCGATAGGAAGCAGAAACCTAGCGCCGTTGAAAAAGGTCCATGAGCTGAATCAAAGGCGGGATCCGCAGCACCCGTTCTGCCCGCCCTAGTCGGCCGACGAGAAACAAAACAGCCCAAGGACGCAGCCCTACGCTACGCTGGAGATACATTAGTCAGTTAGTTAGATTGAGAAGGATGGGATGGTGGGATACGCACTCTGCACTCTGCCATCTGAGCCAGCTCCTCGGAGGAGGAAGAGGAGGAGCAGAACCCTTGCTGCGGGACTGGCAGACCCAGCCTGGCCTGGCCTGCTCCAATGGATAGCTGTCAAGACGCGGAGGAATCGCCATATACCGAAGGCGCCCCGGCAGTCGTTGGACGAGATGGGCCCATAACCCCAAGTTTGACTCAGGGCCGTGATCTACGTAGCCTCTCTGTTTGTTTGTTGGTTGTGATGAAGGAGGAGGGCCTTGAAGGAAGAGGAGGAGGCGGTGCTTCATTGCGTGGAAGGATGGGAAGGCGTCTCCCCCGTCTTTGGACCTGCCTTGTTTAATGCAGCTCAACGGCTGCCATGTGCCGAAACAGCCCAACAGAAATGGCTTCAAACCGGAGACTACGGGAAATACGGAATACGGATATAAGGCTTAGATACTCCGTAGTTGAAACGTTGCTAGTAATGGCGGTGCACGTTTCAAACATCATGTAAATCATTGTGGCTGTATCTGGGTCTATAACGTTATCCAACATCGTCGGCCTGCTGACTCTCCATCCTCTCTATCTTCCACCAACTATTTCCTCTATCTCTCTCTATCCTTTTCACTTCGGCCCTCCAACAATGATTGTCAACACCTTGGGTCTCTCATCATTCAAAAATCCAGACTGGTCAACTCCACCAGTCGCACCAACATCGTCATAGGGAAAGGCATATCCCCTCCCCTCGATCGTCACCTCATGACAAACTCGAGAGTAGTGATTCGACCTTACACTCTCATCTGCGTAGTAAGCCTCCACCCGCTCTCCCTCCGGCTGCCGGCCGTTGCGGGCCAGCGTCCCCCGGTTGAGCGCCGCCGCGAGCCGGGCTCCGACGTTGAGCTGCGCCGACGACACACCCTCCCCGGCGGCAAACGGCCCCGTGCTGCACGTCAGAATGTCCCGCGTTGACGGCTTGGAGAAGGAAAAGGTCAACTTGTCCTTGCCCACGTTGCTAAACACCAGCTTGCCGTCACGCACACGACCCTTGACATCTCCCCAGTCGAACTGTGTGTTGATCACTAGATCCTCCTTTTCGTACCTAGCCCATGCCGCATCCACCGAGGGAGAAAAGTAACCCTCAAGAAGACCCGGGTGAAGCTCCTTTCCTGCGTTGGGGCTCAAGGCTCGTAGGTTCTTCCCAGCCTTTGACTTGACGATGAGCTTCTCCCAGCCCGCGCCGTCCTTTGCGGCCTGACGCTGCAGGCCGGCGCACACATCTTCAAGACCATTCTTTGGCATGCCCGGGATTTGTGTGACCTTTCCGGCCTCGTTCTCGAGCTTCAGCGCGATAGGGAGGCTCACAAAATCGACATAAGACACATTGACGAACACCTGGAAATCATTGAAGGTGAACTCGCAGAAACCCCAGTCGGCGTCAAAGTTGGGATCGGTCGGGTTCATAACCGACGGCTCCACTATAGCCGGCCCCGGGTTGAGCAGGAATGTAAGCGGTTTGCCTTTGCAGAACCAGATCCGGGCCCCATACAAGCGCGGGATCCGGACCTTGCGCCGTGACCCGGGCCCGCCGATCGGGATCCCATGGTCCGCTCCGACGGGCTGCAGGATCTCGGAGGGTGACGCCGGCTGGTGCAACGTTTGACCGTCGGCGAGGAGCACAGCGACGCCTTTGTCATTTCGGCCCGTGATGTGTGCAAAGAGTGCCGGTGAGTCGGTTTGGTTCTCAAGAACAATATCCAAAAACTCCGGAGTGGGCATGTTGGGCGAACTGCTATCCGACTTGTATGAGCTGGAGATAGTACCTGGCAAGTAGCTGGGAATGTGATGAACTTATACCCATTCCATCTATGGACCTGGAAACCCCTCCTTTCTTGGCCCTGTCCAGCTGTCTGCCCTGGTCTAGGCCCAGTTTTGTTCAGCTCCTGCGGCCTGTTTCAACTACGTCAGCTATCACTGGTTCCAAGTTTTCCCTTACATTAGATCCATATAGCTCAGCCAGCCTCAGCACCTCAATTCCTAGACAAGCTGAATGTGTGGCGTTGAACATAAGCAGGCTCGGCTGATTCTCTTGTCTCGGAGGGTTGGATTTGGGTTTAACATGTTACTCTCAATTGTAAACTACTCTGAACAACTTGCTTCAAAGCCACCTATCCTCCCGTAAACCCAATTTTCGATAGCCCTTGCTGCTTTCTCATAGCAGATGCCAAACGACTTTCAGAGAGAAAAGAATACAGATGCTTACAGAAGCCAGCACAATATCTCTTTCAATAGTAGCCCCTCGAATTCCGTAGCTTGTAGCTTCGTTTTCAACTTGCCTATCTTTCTTGTTCGAGGTCTCATCGTCAATAAAGAAGCGCCCGCCAGACGAAGCATTCTGCTCTGTCACATCGGGAACTGCGCATATTGTCGTTCTTCTTGCTTTTAATCTCAAACATTCTTGTCTCGACCCCTCCTGGTGTTTGGGTTCTGATGAGTTAAAATAGGCTTTGACATAGCTGACGGTGACTGTCGCGTCCTCGGTTGGCGGCCCCCCTGACCACCATTGATTGCCATTGCTCCAATGCTGAAGAATGAGATGGCCACCAGCCGATGGCATATTTTCCCCCTCCATCCGAGCGATAAGTTTGCTGTCGGCGTAGAACAGAACCCGGTTTCGCGTGTAGTCGAATCGATACTCGTGAAAGGCATCCGTTGGGTCAAAATCCAAGTTGACTCTCTTGTAAGTTCCAGTTTTACTCGCATCATACCCAGCCTCTAGGGACTGCTCCGACTGCACTACTAGGTTGACGGGGTAGATGCCCTTGTCATGGTCAAACTCCCTTGAAAGGAACTCGATGTCAATCTCTTGGGTGTCGTTGAAATACTAGGCCCCGTCAGCTGCAATTGCCCATCCCTAGGATCGGGTCACATCTACCCAGAAAAACGCAGCACATGTTCCGTTGGTCGGTGTCAACTTCATACCGGCCCGGAATGAGCCCCAGTGAAGGTCTTGTCTCTCGGTATCCAGTTCGCTCCCCGAGATGGCACCATGGTCATCGATGACACTGCCCACAAGGAGGTGGAGGCCAGCTACTTCGTCCTGTCGACCTTTCATTTCTGCCATGCGAGTTCGAATGTTCTCGGGCTTAAAAGCCTTGCCGTAATCGCCTCGCCCATCCTCGGCAGAGACAGCAAACTGTTGTCGCACCCAGTCGTTGTCCTGTGAGATGGTAGGGAGGCGAGCGAAGTCGGTCTCCAGGTAGTCTGTGAAGAAGATGGGTTGCTGGTTTTCGAGATCTATAATTGAATATCCACACTCGCAGATGCCGGAGACGAGTTGACTCGCCGCAACCAGGAGCATCGTTTGGAACCACATACTGAGGGGGCACAGCAATGCTAAACAAAGATCGAGCACCAGACTTAGAAGTTGAAGACAAAAAGGGTATCCAGCCATGGATTTTAAGAGAGGAGCAAGACATGAATACCTATCTGCCAAGGAGGGCAGCTTCATGTCAGGTTGAGCGACTTGAAGCAAGCCTACCTGCTTCCATACCTGGGTAGTACTTGCCCGTCTTAGAAGACTCGAATTTGGAGAACGCATGTAGATCAGGGCCTTGAGTAAAGGCAGGCAAGATCATCCTCCCTCACTTACCTTGCCTACCTATTGTTGGAGGGCACAGCCGGAGCTTCACGGCCGACTGAGATCGGCAGGTCCCTATGTTAGGTATGCCATCTTCAGATTATCTCTCACTTCCCATACAGCTACAACATCCCTCTTACAATGGATGTCTCGTCCTCATTCAACATGGCATTCACACATCACAAGACAAGTGCCAAAACTGGTCATGTTTGACAGGTGCTGATTATTCAAGCAAACACTAATCATCTATGCCTACACGAGCGAATGGGCCAGCCTCCTCTCGACGGTGCGGCGCTGGACGGCCGGTCCCTGTCCATGGATACTCAGCTGTGTCCCAGTCCATGCCGCTCTCGCTGAGCATGGTCGCAAAACAAAAGCAATCTGTATATCGAACAAGGTATCTGAAAGACAAGGCAAGAAAAGGAAAAGGAAAAAAAAAGATGAAGAGGTTAAAGGTTAACAGTTAAGAAGAGAAGAGAAGAATGAAAATCGTAGCCAAATCAAAAACAAGACCAGAGCAGAACCAAGCTTTCAGGTCGCACAAGCCGAAAAAGAAAGACCAGCAGACATTACAAACAATAAGGGTGCCTTAGCATATAGAACAGAGGAAGTAGAAGGCGACACCAGCCATTCTTGGACCAGCCAATCATCCTGCCATCGCAGTTCATTAGCATGCGCTGTCACTGCGCAAATGATCCAGTTCCCTCTGTCCGGGGCGCAAGCCCAATGTCAAAACCGTTTCCCGATCCCCGTCCTTGACCCCCGCCCGATTAATGCCGTTTGACCCTTTGAAATCATGCTGAGGAAAAGAGAGAGAGAGAGACGAAGAAAGGGCACCCAATGTGCCCACCAACAGACCTGCAATAGATTTTCGACATTGCGATTACCCGCCCTGTCTCGGGTATCGCCAAGGAGATAATGAAATAACCGTAGGAAATAGATGTGCAAGGAGAGATGACGAGTCCAACCCCCTCTTGAGCCCTTCGCGCCGGAAACGAGGAAGTCAGAGAGAACGATGAAAACCAACCCGGACCATACCAGACCAGACCAAAAGAATAACAGAGAGGTATATGCGTAGGAGACAAGGAAAAGCCCAACCCAGCCGTGGGCGTACAAAGGAAATGTCGTTTCAGTCATCGCCGATTAGTTTTAGTACACGCTGTCCTCGTCCGCCCCCTGGGAGGTCATAGACGGGGTGCTGACATTCGAGGAAGCTTCAGGGTCGTCGACATAGCCAACGAGAGCCTGAGAATGCAATTTGAAGGACTCGCCCATGAGTCGTGTAATACTGCAAAAGACGTTAGCACTTGGACAGTCGCAAATATTGATAACAAGTGGACTTACCCCCAAACAACAACTTCGTCAAGTATGGAGCCCCAAAGTCGTGCCACAACTGCACTCAGTTGAGACATGTAGTTCTCATCAATCTCTTTGACCAAGAGCTGACGGATCTTGTTGTACATAGCCAGTTCCTCCTGGGTCGCGGGCTCCTCGTCATGTTCCAGGCGATACAGCCACAACGACAGGATGATCATCAGATCCATCCCGCAGAGCGCGTGCTCCACACTCCAGTTGGTCGGCGATACACGCGCGATCCATCGAACTCCTTGGGAGACGACTGTTTCGAGGCAGTTGTAGCATTCCTCGATCACCTTGATCATCTCACTCGAACGCTTCACGCGATCCCGAGCGTGTGTCATGGCTGCGGCAACCTCATAGGGGTCATGGTAACGTAATGCTTCTTGCACCGCCTTCAGGTCAACTTCGAGACGGGCGCGGGCGTTGCGGTACATGGCCCTAGCGTTGAAGATCAAGGGATGGCCCTTGTGGGGGGCGCTGATGGGAACCGGGAAGGCCTCAGGTTCACACTTGTCGACAGACTTCTCCCAAGTCTCCAACGCGAGTCGCAGCTTGTACTCGGTAACCACGTCTTGAAGGGCCTCGGGGCTGCGCTTGTGATACCAAACCTCGAGGAAGAGAGCATTGATCATGACGCGTGTTCCGAATGTGCTGTATCGGAGAGTCTCGCCCTGGAAGAGGTTGTCGTGCGCCTCCATAAAGGTCACAGTAGTCGACGCCTTGAGGTGCTCCTGCCATGTTGCCTCGTCTGAAACCTGCAAGTTCCACAGCGTCTCAGTAGAGGGAAGTTGTAGGTCCTCGAACTCGCTGAAGCTGATGGCTGGGGTGTGGTTGTAGGTCAGAGTTAGCAGACCAAAGAAGATGTAGACGGCGTAGTATGTACGACGGCAACCCTCGTCCTCAACCCACTCAGTGTGAGTTGGCTTGGCTGTACCGCGAGCTTCCTGGCGAAGCTTGAGCTCATACCTGTTGCCAGCGACCATGTTGGCGAGGAGACTCTTGATTGAGCACGTCCATTCAAGACCCTTAGGGTCTCCACTCCAGCTGGCGAACACCATATTCAGAAGATTGCTCTGCATGGTCCACAGAGGGCACTTGCGAGAGCTGAAGTTCTCCTTACTCTGAAGGAACTGGTTAACAAGAACCTTGGAGCCGATGTGTAGCATGTAAGCCTGCTCTTGGTCAAAGGCGTAAAGGGCGCCGATACTGAGAACTGCCAACAACAATGGAGGAGAGACCTTGGTAGGGTGGAAAGAAGCGGGGTGTAGGAATGGCAGGTGGTGATGGAAGAGACCGAAATAAGTCGACAGATAACGGTTCAAGGAGCCCAGGCCAGGAAGACGGAAACCCTCGGGAATGGCGTGCTCGCTGTCAGCGCTGCGAATGTGATCCAAAATTGCGTTCCGTTCGTCATCTCCCATCACTTCGGGTGCCTTGTAACCGGACTTGGATGACTCTGAGACCCAGGGAGAGGGAGGGCCCGCGGCGGAGTTTGGTAATGAGTTGATCATTGACTGAAGTGCTGGCACAAGGCCGTTGCAGTTCTGTCCACCGATGGGAGGAAGCTGGTTGGAGGTAGGTTGCAGGGTGGTTCCGCTGGCGAAAGATTGCTGAGATTCGAAGGATCCAGAAGTGCTCGAAGTGATAGAATGCGCCTTGGGCTCGGTCATTGATTGAGACATGAACCCGTCCCACTGAACCTGAGGCAATGCGATGGCGCCGGATGGGTATGTCACTGTTGACTCCATAACTGAGGAGCTATGAGGGGAGTATGTCATGGACGGGCTATCCTCGTAGGAATGATCTTCGCGCATCGCGGCAGTGGCCTTGTGGTGTAGGTCTGCCACGAGCATGGCGGCGGCCTCTACATCGAAGATGCTGTCGGCGCCAGATTCCATCTGCTCTAGTGTCGAACTGTCGATGGCGATGGATGACTTCGCTGGTGTGCCGATAGCTCGAGTCTTGGGGCCGGCTCGGCGTTTGCCATCGCTGTGAAGGGGAATTCCGCCATCCTTGGCGTGAACAGTACGGTCGTGTCTCAGAAGAAGGTCGCGACGAACAAAGGTACTCCGGCACTTCATGCACTTAAAAGGACGCTCCTTAGTATCTACAGTATGGTTAGCGGATGGATGAGCAAGATAGTGTGAGGGAGGGGACGTGGGGTGATGGCTGGTACGAGGGGCGAGAGGGGGTGGCACATACGTGATCGTTCATGGCGACTGCGGTGCTCGCTCCTGCTAAAGGCCCTGTTGCAGAACTGGCACTTGTATTTGCGCTCGGGTGCCAGCGAGGCCTTTCGCGAGGACGCTGTCGAGGCCGCGGGGGGCGGGAGGACTGCTACGCTTGCACCGGGCATCTCGACGAAGTCAAGTCGCGTTTCCGTGGGTGGATGGCGACAGAGGACGACGGCAAAGTTGCGCTCGGAAATCGGGCAATTAGGCTGGGCCCGACAGCACGATGGTTGAATATCGTCTGGTTCGTAGGTTGTTGCTCTCGCTCTCGCTCTCAACTGCTAGCTCCTCGCTTGCGCGGCGCTCCCGTGGGGTTTAAAGGGTGACTGCGGTGGACTCGAGCGTGATGATGGTCATTGGATATGATTGTATGTTGATCATGGAAAGGCGGGATTGTGTGGGTGGTATATATGTGAGGGCTCTGGATGGCCTTGTCGAAGCTGTACACCGGTCGGATGAGACGGGCGGATTGGTGCGGGATGATTGTTGAGAGGTGAGGTGGTGATGGGGGGATGTAAGAAGGAGGGAAGAAAAGCGAGGAGAAGGCGCAGAATACTTAGAGGGGCGGACGGGAAAGAGAGGGGGAGAAATCCGGAGGGGAGAGTGACCCGGGAGTTGGGGGGCACTTATTTTCTGGGTGGGGAGGGGAGGAGGGGAACTTGGAAAACCAAGAAGAGGAAACCGCGAGGGAGGAAGGAGCGACCCAGGGAGGGAGGGAGAGGAGGGGTGGCTGAGAGAGTCACTTGCTGAGGCTGGGCACTCGTGCCAGCACAGCGAGCGCACAACTGGACTGGACAGCACAAAGCAACACCGAGCACCCCGCCAGACACCATCCAAGGATGGTTGTCCAGATGGATGGCATGCCGCCTGGGCTAGTGAGCACAGCACAAATGCAGCGCTATGCAGCAGCACCCTTCAGCGCGCAATCAGCAGTGCCAGGCCGGCTGGCCCCTCCCTACCCCCTGTAAGACCGGGCCCTTTGCCCTCTGGGGCGGAACGCAGCAAACGAGTGCGCTGCGTTGGACTGCGACCAGATGGATCCACTGGTACAGCAGCGGGGCCATTTCAGTGGAGGGGCGACGAGGGGCACCATTGCCGGTCTCTCAAGCCCTCAGCCTCTAAGCCCTTTACGGACGTAGCGAGCAGCGTCTCAGCTTGTGGGCGAGGCGGACGAGTGACGAGGGTGAAAATTCTGTCAGGAGAACCTGGCCTGAGAGCGGCCAACAGGCCCCGTCAATTAAAAGCAGCACTGGCGTTGGCCGAGACACGACGGCCGGCACGCGAGGTACGACAATTCGAGGTACGAGACACAAGTACATACTCCCTCCCCTCCAGAGGTACTCTTGGGCATCGAGAGAGGCAGCAGATACTTGCAGTCAGCACTCTGCTCCTGCTTGAGAGTTCCTGCGCCCGGTACAAACCCTGACTCCGCCTTTTTTGCTTTCTTTGCGATTTCTTTCCTCCTTCAGTGGACCGATGGAGACCATGCCCGCCGATGAGGGTCCGGACGGGGAAGCGGTTTTGCTTGTTATTGCAGGCCCTAACGCAAAGTTGCAGGCGCCGTCCCATTCGCACAATCGTCGGTCAAGGGCAAAATGTCGACTCTCTGCGAGTCTTTGAGTCGGTGACGGCCAGCAAAAGTCGGAGTCAATGTCGGTGTCGAGACACCTTGCCGGGCGGACAGGGAACGGCTCTCCACCGTGATCCGTCGAGTCCGCCTTAAAGGCTGGCGGTCCGAGGCCCACGGCCCACAAATCCACGGTCCAGAGAGTCCACGGGGACGAGAGAAGCCGGGGCTCACAGCAAGGGCAACCAGGAGACCGGGGGGTGCGCGAGGCCACGAAACAACCAGCGAGCAGTCAGCGATGAGGCAGGGGTGGGAGCCAAACCAAGCAGCGTGGAGGACCAGAGTGCAAGGAACGAGGCACGAGACACCGCACATAATCGTTGGCCACCACGATGACACAGCAAGAAGCGAGACGAGAACCGGTATCCTGCCGCCGCGCATCGGCCCAGAATCCAGAAGCAGCCAGATCTTGGGAACGTGATCGGAAAATCGTCAAATCTTCGAGGTCAGGCTTGTTGCGATCAGGCGGGGAAGCTCCAGAAAGCTCCAGCAATACATCACCGGGCCTGTCTGGTGAGGGGAGCTTCTTTTCTTGCTCTGGCCTTGCAACCTCGCACCCTACCCTGCTGTGCGGCCTCGACCTCCCAGCACTGCTTTCCTCCCTCGTCCACCACCAGAGCAATTCAGGTGTAGCGTCATGACACGGCCGCCTGTCAAGAGATCCCGTTCCCAGAGCACCGGCGCAAGGCCTTGGATCATGACCAGTCGTGAGCGCGCCTTGCATCCCGCGGCCCACTTGATGCGAATCTCCCCGGTCAAGCACGTCTATCCTGGTGGAGACGGGCTACACGGGGAGACTGGTGAGACTGTCCGGCCGGCCTCGCGTTGGATCCCCCTGTCTGCCGGCACAATATGCACTGTACGCGTTCGTGGCTTGTAGCCTATCACTTGCGTCTATTGATGGAGCGCGCATAGTGCCAGGTTCCACATCGACACGGCTCGCCGCTTAGACCGACTTTGGGTCACTTTAATCTCCAGCATCGGGGGTAATTTCATCGACCTTTTTATATCACCAGCCTATGGGTATATCACTGTGGATGGAACACTTGGACTTTCAGCTTTTTCATGTGCCGTAGCCACCAAGGTTCGATCTATCAGTCCGTGGCATCCATGCCCACGGTTCTGGAACATCGCTTCATCCAACCAAAGCAACGAAAACAGACACGGATGTGCCATGTCCCGCGGGCCAGAGTAGGCCAAGTACAGATCATTCCCCCTTGGGTGGGCATTCTTTGCAAGCCAGGGAGACACCAATCGCCCATTATCGGCCGTTCCGTTTCCCACAAGATAGGGGTCCTTGATGGAAATGATACCTGCCCAAGGGGAGCGAGGGATGAATCCAAGATTGCACAAGCGGCCAGAGCCTGGGCAGTGTGGCAAGCACTGGAGATGTGCAAACGGGTCCCACAACGGGGAAATACATATGTATGACTCCGTCATTGAAGCTGCCATGGCATGAACGATAAATCTAGCCCGCGGGATCGACAGGAGCAGAAGCGATCATTGACGGGTCCATTCCAGGACAATGGCACTCCTCCGTTCGGCCTCACTTCTGACCGACAAGCTGAGATACGGTGAGAGATGAGCTCCGTTTCTGCCGTATTTGCTGAGAGCTGCGTCTTGAGTGATCCATTCTCGTATCCACAACGCCAGGGGGCAAGCCACAGCGCAAGAGAGCCAGAGGGATGGCAGCGTTGGTAACGCTGGTCGAGGAACACAACCGAACGTCCATCTCAGTCGTCAGCTCCAGGGCGACGGATTGCGAGCTAGAAGGGTTCATCTCGCTGTGGAAGAATGGAAACCTGGGAGATGCGCTACTGGAGCCCCTCCAAGGCGTCCGGCCCCCTCGGATCTGCAACCTATTTGTCCTTCTGATGCTGCCGTACCCCGCAACGGTCGGACGGCACTGGCGCCCGAAAGGATCCAACAGCGAAATCCACCCGGCGAGAAATGGAGGGGGATGTCGTCGTCTCGAGGAGGGAGGAGGGAGGGCAATGAGGGGCTTCTATCCATCTGCAGTGAGATGACACCCGAGGGCCGAGCTTGTGGGGGAGCATGAAAACCACATGATTCTGCCTGCATAATTGACGACAAAGACGCGCATCAACAGGTGAGACGTTTATCTGTCCGCAACTGGTAATCGGAATTAGCTCCAGAAGAACGGGCCGGGTCGGGACGATGCATGTTGCGCTTCTTCCAACGGTATCATGAGTGTGTGAAGGTTTGGAGGAGTTTGAAGCGACGCTCCAGGGCAAATTCCTCTCCGACCCTTGCGTTTGTAGAACCAAGGTTACGAGCTCGCCTCGCTGGTTGACTTTTAGATGATCCACGCCAACGGGGCTAGCCCATCTTGATGCTATAGCGGGCGGGTCCGCGGCACTCTCCCGGAGTAGGGAGCCATGGTTTGGGGCGTGCTCCACGTGGTGTCAAGACGATGGATGGTGGAGTGCATTCACTGGCGTCCTTTTTCTCCTGCTCTTTTGATTTCTGTCTTTTTTGAGTTGCTCCTGTTTTCTCTCCAGCCTTCTCGTAATACCGACTTCTGGCCAAGCGTAAGGCGGTCAACGGGATGCAACCCTGGGATTCAAAGCTTATGCGCGCAACTGGGCTGTAAGTATACCGTGGCCTCAACAGTCTTGATTGAACTGCGCGTCCTGGACGAATTCGACGCACAATGGATCAGGGGAGCCACACCGGGTATGAGAGGAAAGGGAAAACAGCCGGCACAGTGTCTACACTGGGAGGTCAGGCTGGTTGGCCCTCCGATAGAGTGGGGGAAGTGGGTGACGAGACCACAACCTCAGGCAACCAGCCCGTCCAGAAAACGGGGAGATGAGTGCGAGATTGGAAGGACAAGGGGCCACCGGTCTCGACACGGAGCGCCTATCAGGAGATTAGCAGAGACAAGGCTGACAGTAACGTCCTCCCGTTAGGTGCTCGTTAGCGACTGAGTCGCCATGGCATTACGGCGCAAATTGCACCGTCCGCGGAAGATTCCCGGTCATGGATCTATTGAGTTGCTGACTCATCACAGGGTCCGTCCGGATCGAGCAAGGAATCAGGAGAGCATGGACGTGGAAGGGGACACGGGCGTGGTGGTGGAGGGGCTGCGGGAATCGCACATCATCGCGATGAACGATGGGCACGACAAGCAACAGCACGTCACTTGAGACCGCTGGCTGGACAATGGACTTGTTGGTGCATTATCACTTGCAGTCTGCAGGTCGCTCGCTCTACGAATTATAAAGACCTGAGCAGCGCAAGAAGAAGAGAAGAATGGCGAGCGATCAGCGGTCCTCTGCCCCCCCCGCCTCCTTAATCATGGCCGCCCGTGGTCTGTGTGTTTGAGGTTCCGAGCGCAAGCAATGACCTTGAGGTGCATACCATACCTCGCTCAAGGAGTTTGTAACTCTCTGATACCACCTCTGGTTGTAACTCCGCTGTCCCCTCTAATTTTCCGTTATCCTGGTAGCGAAGCGACCTCAACGTCGGGACCGTGGTTCAGAAACAGAAGGTCTAATCTCGATAACAAGAAGAGACGAGCACTGACACCTGGTCGGTCCTAGAGCAGTCGGAGTCTTGAAGTATTGATTGATGTACGCTTTGGGCTGACTGACGACGATTAGCTTTCCAGCATCTGGGGAGCCCGTCATTCTGGATGATCTAACCGCCAGCGCGGTGAAGCGTCACCACAAACTCCAAGCTGCTGATCCCTCACTCATACTTTTGTACGTAGTAAATTTGGAAACTCGACCGGTTACCGAAAAGAGTCCATCCAGGGACAGGAAAGGTTTCATCGGGGCATGAGGTGGTAATTTTCCAGTGGAGAAATTCATAGAGTGGAGTGCTAAATGCCTCTGTCCCGACCTGTCCTGTCGCTGAACCTGAGCTGGGCTGTTAGTGTCCATCCGCGCTGCTGGGTATGGATGGGTGTCCATAGATGCTGCGGAATAGAACCCCTCCTTAGTTTCTGATCGGGTCCGTTGCTCCCACATCAACTTCAACACTCGCAACAACAAGCTCCAACTCCCCTTTCCTGGATTTCCGAGACGACGCACGACGGCCCGAGCAACCCCAGAGCTGTCCGCTTCGGATCTCCAGAGGCCAAGTCAATGCCTCTCCAGTAGGCCCTCCAGCAAATCGTCGTCTGCTCGCGGTAGCCTTGACTGGCCTTTCTCTGCCTCTTCTATACCGTCTTTTTGCAGCAGCGCCTTGACGACTACGGCCGACCTGCTCAGTCCATTCTGGTCTGGTCTCAGCCAACCGCCCGCCGCCGCCCTCCTCCTCTCAGCCCCTCGCCCACCACACGCATCCAGGCCTGATCCCGGTGTGGTCGCCCCTCTAACCCCCCCTGGATTCTCGTCCTCCTCTCTGTGCCTTCCAAGCGAGCCTGCGACTTCCCGCGTCTCCTGCGACTCCTGACGAGACGAGCCTCGTGGTATGCTTCTGCTGCTGCGCCATCTTTGCCGTGCTACGAATTGCTATCGTCAAACTCGGCATCCTTGGATCAGCGATAGGCCTGCCGCTTTTGACCATGTCCTGAGGTGAGCTTGGCCGCCGCAACCCGACATGCTCAAGATACAGACCGCCGCCGTGCCGCCAAGTATCCACTCTTCGCGCACTATCCACGACCCCTCCGGCGACTCTCCGTCCGCGTCCGCGCGCATCACGCCTGCCTCCGTTCAAGCCTCCGATCAACACTCTTCCTCGACTCGGGCTGATCCCGCCTGGGGCGTCATGAACGGCATCGTCGGTACCGCCCCCATGGGGACCATGTACGTTCGCGCCCTTTACGACTACGAGGCCGACGACCGCACCAGTCTCAGTTTCCACGAAGGCGATGTCATCCAGGTCATCACCCAGCTCGAGAGCGGCTGGTGGGATGGTGTCATCAACGGCGTTCGAGGCTGGTTTCCTAGCAACTACTGTCAGATTATCACGAGCCCAGACGACCTGCCCGACGCCGCCCATAATGGCGCTCTCGAGAACGTTGAGGATGACGCCGAGGACGCTGAAATTTACGACGACAACTACGAACAAGACGACGACTCTGAACAGGATATGCCCGTAGGCCTTCCGCTCGAGGGCACTGATGGAGGCGACAGCTCGAGAGCCGACTTCTGGATTCCGCAGGCCACACCCGATGGCCGTCTATTCTACTACAACATGATGACGGGTGATCGCAGCATGGAACTGCCCCTCGAGTCCCCTGTTTCCGCAAACGAGACCGGCCCGCGAGACCGAATGAATGTTAACATCCCTGATAAGACGAGGCCGCCCCCTGAGATGATGGCGCGCGGTTTAACTCAGGACGAAGACGACGAGTCGCTGACTTCAGCGTCTGAAGCCGAAGGCGACTCCTCAAGACTTGTACGACGCTCAAAGGTGCTTAAACAAGACATATATTCCTCGCCCGTAGTTGATGTAGCCGCTAACACTTATCTTGCAGCACCGGAATCGTGCCTCCTTCGGTGCTCTGTCGCCTTCAACATCTATGGACTCTATCAATGGCGCATCACCTATTGGCCGCCCAAGAAATGGCACGCCGAACCATCTTACCGCCGGCCAGGTTCCAAACATAGCTTCAGCTACCTCGTTCACTAGCACTACCTATAATCTTCCGACAACAGCCACCGTTCCTCGCTCATTCTTCGATGACGGATCTACACCTTCGCTCAGCTGGACTCTTCTTGTTTCCAACATGAGGCGTGCCATCGACCGGTATCGCGAGGCCATCACCAACAATAATCGCTCAGAATATGTAGCACGAGCCGAGGATATCTCCGATCACCTACGACTACTCCTAGCCGCTGGCTCTGGAACCACCGACAATCACTCCGGCCAGCCATCCATCATCTCAACAAATAAGGCCCTCTACCCTCACTTCCGGGACATGATGTCCAAGTTCTCGAAGCTCGTTATCTCTTCCCATATTGCTGCCGCCGACTGGCCCAATGCCGAGTCCATCCAGAAATGTCTACAGGAAGCTGACGGTGTCCTTCTGGGTGTGTTCAGTTACGTGGAAGTCGCTCGTCAACAACGCGGCGAGGAGATTCCCCGTCTCTTCCCTGGTTTTGTCATTGGCAGTACAACTGGTGGCAGCTGGCAAAACAACGGGCTGGGCCCTCGAGATGAGATAACCGCCAACTTCCTCGAAGACGACGAGGGCGTTGTAGAGCCAACAGCTATACTGGACAACAAGCTGCTAGAACGACTCGATGAACAGAAGCGCATTCTGGTATCCAGCATCCGCGAACTCGACAAGAGCCTCGTTGTGCCTGAAAAGATCATCACCCCCTACAGACACGAAGTGATTGGGAACAACGTCTGTTTCGCAGGTGGCAGAGTCCTAGAGACTTTTAGGCAATGGGTTGCCATGATTGAGTCCATCGATCTGTCATCCTTGGGGAACAGCTTCCAGACACCTCAACTATCTGATTTTGGCACCCATAAGCAGAGCCTCTACGACAACATTTCTGACCTTATTTTGGGATGCCAGGCCGTTGCCGGTCCCCTGGCCGATGAATGGACTGAGGTTCGAGGTGAAGCGATGGAGAACCGCCTGGAATATGTTCGCCAATGCGCGAGAGCGCTGGAGACCAACTCTTCACATATCGGATTCTCTCTACAACTTCTATCTGAACAAGTTCAGATTAATATGCAACAGCATCAAATGGACCAACGGCCTCATGAGGAACCTTTCACCCGGGCACCTCTACAAAGAGGTGAGACGATGCCATACGACCGCCCACACCAACGAACAGAGTCAAGGACTGCTCCAGTGAGACCAGCACTAGTTTCATCGCAGTCCTTCACCGAAGGAGATCCTGCGCCAGGCAACTTCCGCAAGGGCGACTACTCAAAGGTCAAGAAGATCTTTGGCGAAGATCCTTCACCCCAAGTTCCAGTGACGGAGGATACACCGGAGTTCTTGCTCCTCGACTTCGAGCATGAAGTATCTTGGGATGCAAAGACCTCGCCGCCTACTGTCAAGGGAGGCTCTCTGCTTGCCCTTGTTGAGCAACTCACCCGTCATGACAAGCTTGACTCAAACTTTAACAACACCTTCCTCCTCACCTACCGCTCTTTCACCTCTGCTCGAGAGCTTTTCGAGCTCCTCGTAAAACGATTTGGAATCCAACCACCCGAAGGCCTGACACAAGCGGACTACGAGATGTGGAGAGACCGAAAGCAGAAACTCATCCGTTTCAGAGTGGTCAATATCCTCAAGAGTTGGTTCGACAACTTCTGGATGGAAGAATACAACGAGGAGTCTAAACAGCTTATCCGGGACGTTTACACCTTTGCAAAGGACACAGTCAAATCAACCGAGACCCCTGGATCGGCCCCGCTGATGGCAGTCTTGGACCAGAGATTGAGCGGCAAGGAGGCTGGAGCTCGGAGGATGATCCAGACGGTGAACCAAAACACCCCCACTCCAATCATGCCAAAGAACATGAAGAAGCTCAAGTTCCTGGATATCGATGTGGTGGAATTCGCCCGACAGCTTACAATAGTCGAATCACGACTCTACGGCAAGATCAAGGCCACTGAGTGCTTGAACAAGACCTGGCAAAAGAAGATCGGCGAAGGCGAACCTGATTTGGCACCCAATGTCAAAGCCCTCATCCTTCACTCGAACCAGATGACCAACTGGGTTGCCGAGATGATCCTAGCACAGATGGACGTCAAGAAGCGAGTGGTTGTTATCAAGCACTTCGTGTCTGTTGCCGATGTAAGTGGTGCAGAATGCAAGCGAGCCCCTTGGAACAAAGCTAACACACAGGCAGCGTTGCCGTGCGCTCAACAACTTCTCCACACTAACCTCCATTATCTCGGCCCTGGGTACCGCACCCATTGCTCGTCTCAAGCGTACATGGGATCAAGTGCCCCAGCGAACGCACACCACCTTGGAGTCAATGCGGAGAGTCATGGCAAGCACCAAGAACTTCGGCGAGTACCGAGAAGCGCTCCATGCGGCCAACCCCCCCTGTATCCCTTTCTTCGGTATGGATCCCCCCCTTGCTATGGATGCAGATGATAGATCACAATGCTCACAACCAACAAAGGTGTCTATCTAACCGACCTGACCTTTATCGAGGATGGTATTCCGTCCATCATCAAGAAGACTAACCTCATCAACTTTGCCAAACGCGCTAAGACTGCTGAGGTCATCCGAGACATTCAGCAGTACCAGAACGTGGGATACTCACTGCAGCCGGTGCCTGAGCTGCAAGACTACATCTTGAACAACATGCAGGCAGCTGGTGATGTGCACGAGATGTATGACAAGAGTCTGCAGGTCGAGCCTCGTGAGCGAGAGGATGAGAAGATTGTGAGGTATGTCGAACTGCGGAATACTCCCGCGTCGTATGGGGTTTCTTCTTTTTTCTGATAAGCCATTCTGGCTGGCTCCGCGACGGAGGTCTCTTCAGGAGTAGTTACCTGGAGACCCCGGTAAAGATGAAGAGAGACAAATGCTTACTTGACTTGTTGTTGATTTGCAGGGTTCTTGCCGAGTCTGGCTTCCTATAAGCAGTGCCCCCTTGCAACTGTTCCGAGACGTCGATGCAACCGCATCTATCCCCGCTACGATACCCTGCAAATGGATCGGAAACCAGCCGGGATGGGAGTGATTGTGATCCTAGCCGCGATCCTGACAGCCAGCGATGGACAAGATTGGCTACAGCACGCGGCGCACACCACTGTGAGCAGCGTCGCCCACATCCCGATAGAGCGCGAAGCGGCACAACGCAGCGAAACTTGGTCGGGAGACGGCCCGCGGGAGTTGGTGTGGTAGATGTTGGCAGCAGGGGTTCTAGAGCGTGGGGACATGGGAGTGGGGAGTGTCAACGAGACTGACGGGGGCGACTCTGGTCGTGGTCTCTACTGGATGACCTGGCTTATCGACATATTCAGACATGAACTTGAGGACGCTCGGAAGCCACTAACAGAACTGGAAATGAGCCCATTAGGGGAAAAGAGAAACTCCAACATTGGAGGCGAGCCCAACATTGACGGGAGGAAGGGGAAAACTCAGTGGTGGTCGATGGTGACAGTGGGACGATGTACGCTGGCCGCACAAGGATTGAATATACCTGAACGGATCTAAGAGAAGGTCGAATGATACGATATGATGGAAGCAAGCAAGCATCTAGGAGAGAGGAGGACGCCTCGACTACGAAGACATACACAAGATAGTGTGGATGGGTGGGTAAAGGTTGGCGAAATGGCGCATGGAGCCGGATGATACTACCTATCTGAGGATTAATGATTCTTCTGCCGGGCTGAGAAGAAACAAACATGCAACATTGCCCTTGCTCGAAACCCCATACCCCAGCTTCGATCCATGCTGCCCCCAGTCCCCGACCCGAATGTGCAGGCCCGCTGTGCCGTCTCGGGGTTGCAATGGGGTGGGACGACGAGCCCTGTTGGGCATAACCTGAAGGTGACGAGAGGCGAAGCGAGACGTTCCAGCAGCTGCGTTAGGGGATCAATATTTCCTGCAGAGTTATGGCACATGACTCCAGTAATCTTGAGTGTTTGTGTTTTAATCAGGAGGCAGCCTGTGCCTCAGGTTTCATTGAACATGACCAACCACCTTGAACGAGTGGTTTCAAACTAAAACATGGGTAAAACTAATACATGTACACGGCCCTGGTTCTCAACAGCGAACAACCTGAGGGCAACACACAAAGAGGCCGTGTGGGATATCATTCTCGTCATTACAACATTCCTGCTTCTCTCACAACCCTGCGCTCCTCGTTTAGTGCTTGTGGAGCTTGGCCTTGATGCGCTCGCCGAGGCTGGGCTTGTCCTTGTGCTTGTCATCGTGAGAGTGCTTCTCGTGAGATTTATGCGAATGTGAGCTGGAAGAGGGCTCCTCGCCAAGGTGGACACCCTTCTCCTCCATGAGGCCTAGGAAAGAGTTAGACAGTAATCAAGCAAGCATGGGTAGAAGTCAACGTACGCTCAGCCTCTCGTCCGGCACCAGGCTTGGTGGCGTCAAAGTCTCCGCCGTCAGCAGCGAAGCCGGTGGCATGGACAACTTCATCCCGGGCAGGGTCGGGCTGGTTCTCGGACTTGGACGAAGAGGTAGCAGCAGCACCCTCGGAGCCGATCTCACGGGGCGCTTCGGAGGAGCCTTCCTGGGGTCTTTCTCGGCCGGCGTCGCCCCCCAACTCCTTGGCGACGACCTCAACAGGGCGGGGACCGGGGCCCTCGCCCAGCTTAGCAGTGTTACCCTCTGAAGTGTTGTCGACGTCCTCGAGGTCGGTGTTCTTCTCCTTCTCTAGACCCACGCGCTCTGGGTTGCGGGTGTCGTTCTGGCCAGCGGAGGTATCCCGAGCATCCTTGGACTGGGCGCCAAATGCAGCAGCCTCTCCGGAGGGTGTCTCAACTCTGGCGGTCTTGGGGGCAGCAGAAGCCTCCTGGCCGAGGGTACGCTCGTTGTAGTTTTGCTCTGCCTTTTCCTGGGCAGGGGTGTCTTGAAATAGGTGTTAGCGAGGGGGCTTTTCAAGGGTCGGGGCCTCAAGAGGGTTAAGAGTAGACAACTTACCCAGGTTGCCGGCGTCGTAGGGCTCACCCTTGGCGGTGTCACCCTGGACTCCAGAGACGGGCTCCTTCTGGGGCTGGTTCTCTCCCCAAACGGCCTTGGCGGCGGCAGCGGCGGCGTTGCTGATGGTCTCCATGGTGTAGTTGATGGTGAATTAGAAAGGAATTTGGGTATCAGGCGGATTGTTGTGTAAGTTGGCGGGGTATCTTGCGTGATGAAGGTGGGAGCTTCCTGGTTTCAAATCGAGTGCGTACTGGGGTATAATAAAAAGGAATTTGATGTGGTATGGGAATGAAGAGAAGATCACGGGAATATCTGAACTTTAAATGCAGCTCGAATGATCTACAGACAAGGACAATCGAGGAAGGGACGTTTAACAAGCGCTGACGTCGTCAGGCCTGATGGCTTGGATGTTGGTGCGAGGGGTAGTGTAGCTACTGTACAACTGTGTTGTCTACCCACGTAACTACAGTGCACGGCACATACCGGTTTAACAGCTATTCGGGCCTCTTCAAGGCAGAGCTGGGTAGCACAAACATCATCCCGTATGTGGCGGCACGGATTATGACGCCGCGGCCGGCAGACGCAGCAGGGTCCTGGCACGTTGAGCCGTCACGTCCTGGAGGTTCCCCGAGTTGGATGGATGATGTAAAGTGCGGTTCCATAAAAAGGGTATGACGTTACGCCGCCCTCCACCGAGAATCGAAAACCAAGGCCATGCCCGTGTTGGAGAGGGCGGCTGAAATGTTTGGTTCTGCTGCAAGGTCAGCAAAAGCCGGCCTGCCAAGGTGGGCACAAAGATCTGGGGTAGACCGAGATACATCAACTACGTCATGGACGAGGGACCTGCTTGGGCTGAGCAACACTGACATGTACTACTGTGCAATAGTTACCGAGATATGGAGCCTGTAAGGAAACTATGGTTTGCAGCACTAAGGAATAGAAGGATTCAAATAGGTATTACAATAAAGCCAAAAGAAAAGAGAAATGTGTAATACCATGATTTGCGCATATCGTGATGTACACCTCTTACCTACCCTCGACCTGCACAAGACGCTTCTTGGCTCAACCCACCGATGAATCGATTCCAGGGCGAAATGTCCCGCTTCCACGTGCGACAGTGTCAGAGAGATTGGCTCTCGGACGTCATCTAGCCAGAGATGGTTAACTTGTCTCGTTCCGCAAGGTCGTTAATCAAACGCGTTCGTACAATTGCGAATCAGCGACCGTGGTCAGTGTTAGCGGCGAGCATGCAGTCCTGCAGAGCTCGCTCGGCCGAGTCCCGGCTCTTGGCCCCCAGGAGAAGGGCGGGAATGCACATCAGCTTCCCCGTTTGAAGGTTGTTCTTTTTGGGTAGTGGGCTGCGAGAAGGGCATGATGCTAATGTCGACTCAGGCTCTAGAAGTCATATCAACGCCATCGTTGACTGCGCTTGGGCGGACTAGAACACGATGCCAAGAGAAAGCATACGTGTAAGCTGGATACCGGACCCCATCTGATGTGTTGGTCAATACTAAGCCAGGTGACGACTAGAGGCCTGTGAGGTCTGTTTCAGGTTATATGGGCTGGGGCATCTGGACCGCAAGTTTGGTACTGTACTCGACTCGTGGTGAAAGAAAGAATGAGTAGGGCGAGCAGATCGGACATCATCTCTCGGATATAACTCATACTTATCTTGTCAGCACTTGGACGCTCACCGTATCAACAATTAAAGAGGAGATCCCGACTTCGGCCACGGAATAAGAATGCTATCAAAGGCCCTGACCCCTGTTGGGTTACTTCGTTCGCCTTGACTTTTGAGGTCGCCGCCTTGATTCTTGAGCCTCTGCCAACATGTTACAATCATGGCTTGAACTCTTGTTGGGGCTGTGATATATCACCTCAACCAGTGTCTTTGACCACTATCTCTCACGCCTTGTGCTTTTCGTCTAGTCTCTTGCTCCCACTGCCGCCTCCTATTCTCCATGGCTCAGAATGTCCACTCCCGAGTCTTGGTGGCCAGGCAGTCCCTGTCATCCAGGTCCCGCCCACCATGATCCCCCCTCACCACCTCAGGTATTTCATGTGCGAATAGGAGCTCCTCCCTTCGTATCCGCAAGGTCTAGTTTTAAGCAGCTTGGCAGAATTTTTCCAGGCTCGGATCTTCTTGCGGTCTCGGTATTGACATCCGTGTGGTTTGGCATCTTTGATTGTCAATGCTAGTGCACGATGGATGTCATGATCAGACGTGACAGGCTAGAGATCGTCAGCCTTCACACCGACTTCACCTTGATACACTGGTGCTGACGGAGCCTAGAATAGATACAGTATCCGTCCGTACATAAACAAATAAAGATCAGAGCTTGCTCCGGTGTGCGGGACTCCATCTCCGAGGACGCGGTACCTGTGTCCTTCCGGATCCACAGCCAGTCCGAGCACCTCCTGGCTTCCGACTCCGTCTCCGTCTGGACTGCGACTTTCACCTTTTGCGCATTCCTGACCCTGCATCCACGTTTGGAATTTATAACTACATGTTAAGAGGCGCCTTTGCTTTTCCGGCTTCTGCTGCAACTCTGCGACTGCACCTTCTCGGTTGCTTCGCCTTGATTACCATCACCCACCCTCCCATTCGCTTCTCCGCACTCGCTCGCAGCTGGACCTGGACGAGACCAGGCCCTGGACGCTCCCTTGCTTGACTCGGCGTCGTCGCAATCACAGGCGACCTAGGCGAGGCCTGGCTCACTCACATGTGCCGAATAATAAACCACACATAGCCACATACCCCGCGCATCTCTTCTTCACATACCTCCCCTTACGCCTCCTGCACGCTGGGCTCCGGGGGCCCCGCAACAAAGACGGAAACATTACGGGCTTGTACGGAGAGCGTGAGCGATCGAATCTGGGAGTGTACCGACAACGGCCAAACGGGCTGCGGGCAGGTCGAAGGCCAAGCAAGTGCAACGGGAACGGGAGGAGGACCCATCACACACATCCCGCTAGCCAGGACGTTGGGTGCATCGACGTTAGCCATCATCACCTGGAGGAAGTGAGCTGCAGGGTCAATCACAGGCGCTGTGAGCGACTGGGTCTGAGCCCAAGGTGAGTGGCTGGCGGGCTGAGGCGGCGTTCGTCGCAACGAGGACGAGGTCTCCAACTGCGCGCGCTCGATCGCGTAGGCTCCTCGTGATGGGCGCAGCCTCTTTTAATGGTTCTTCGGCCTCCTGAATTTCATCCTCTGCCTGCGTCGGATCCTTCGACCTTTGCCTCGACGGCCATTCAGTCAGCAAGACCTCTCAGCAGGCTCACGATACGATTCGCCGCCCCTCTTGTTTCAAGCCTGACAGCACGCGCGCTTCCTAAAATCGCAGCGGACAAAGCCGAACACGCCATCTTTCAACTCGTTCAACAGCTGGGATTTCTCACCGTGGAGACTGATTGAAGAGGTGCTCTTGGGCTCCCGACGCTACGGGTCTTGTCTGCATTCGGAATCGTGGGTTCTTAGTCCTTCCGCTTGTTGTTTCCCCGCCGGTTCCGCTTCCTCCGTGTGTCCGACCTCACCGCTCCGGTTCTACCGACGATCGCCGGCGTCCACCTCTCGGCAGGGCGCCGTCGTTGTCCGCAAAACCCCGGGTCACCATGGTGTATTGTGGGAAAGCCTCTCAGGGCTGCCAAAACTGCCGCACGCGACGCATCAAGGTACGTTGTTACGGTTGAATCGCGCCAAAGGCCGTGGCATGATATCTATCAGCCTCATCGGCGACAGCTCTCTCTCATAATCTTCCAATTTCTTGGCTGACCAGTGTTCATTATTCAGTGTGACAAGGTAAAACCAGAATGCTCACAATGCATTCGCGTCGGCAAAAGGTGTCCGGGCTACCGCGACCAACTATCTCTCATGTTTCGTGATGAGAGCAGCAAGGTGATGCAAAAGGCGCACGCGCAATGGGGCGTTGGCGAATCTGGTTCAGAAATGACCTCACAATCTTCGTCAAGCTCTTCAGCTTCATCTAGCGCCTCAACTTCTGCGTCTGCCGCTTCTTCTGTTCCGACCCTGTCGTGTTCCACATCGACTACTACCACGCTTACACCATACTCCGCTCCCTCATCAGCGATATCTTCCAGCGCTTCATCCACCGCATATTGGTCAACTTCTCCTTCGTCACTCGTTAGCCATCAAACTTCACCACCGACTCCTCCATCACCGAACTCATATCACCATACCTCCTTTTCAGTCTCGGTAGCACAGCCAGTCGCCATTGTGCCACCACCACGCCTTCCAACTCCCGTCGACCCGAGCCTCGAAGAACAGGGAGTTCAGTTCTACATCAACCGCTATCTCATCGGCCACCCTGACGAGCCCAAGACTCCAGGCGACCTTTCTTCTACCGAATGGTTATGGGACCCCGCAGTACAGGATGTCATGGCCGCCATCGGTCTCGCCAGCTTATCAAATCTCAGGGGTGACCAAAACTTGATGACGACGGCCCGCCAGAGATATGGAATGGCCCTGAAGCAGACTGGCCGCCTCATCCAGACTTCGGTGACGCCAGACTTTGAGGTTACCATGCGCTCCGTCGTCATGCTTGCCATGTTCGAGGTGTGTGCCCTCAGCCCTGATTTTTCTTCATCTTCCTCCCCCATGGTTAGCTTGATATTCTTTCACTTTCTCCTAGTGCTTTCTCTACTATCAAGTCATTTACTAACAGCCTTGTGCAGTTGGTGAAGGGGGCAAACCAGAACATCGCCCACGTACATGCTCATGTGATGGGAGGTGTCGCTCTGCTACGGAGGTGGCTACCCATACCAGAAATAGCCTCCCTTGGTATTCGAGCCATGTTACAGATGTGCTATTGCCTTGTGAGTTAAATCTACACAACACTCCTCGAACGCTCGGCTGATAAATCCTCCACAGTTCATCCCCGCGCAAATGTCGGCTACTCCTCTGCCAGCTCCGCTCTCTGAGTGGATTACGTTCAGTTATGCTCTTCTTGATCCCCCCGATCGCCCAGCTGCCGACCTAGGCATCTTGATTTGCCGCTTTATCGAACTATCGACTCATATTCAGATACATGTTCTCAGCGATGGCCGGTCGCATACAACCTCGACGCTGAAGCAGCTTTTGGACATTGACGCAGCATTTGCGGAATGGGACCGCAAACTCGGGCCAACTTGGAGATTCCGCACTGAGAAAACAGACGGTCTACCCCCTACCGCAGTCTTTGAGGGCGAGTACCACATCTATTTCGATATGTTTGTCGCCCGAATGTGGGGTCACTACCGCTGGGCGAGGACCCTGCTCAACCGGATCATTGCAGACTTTATCACGAGTCACCCGTTATCTAGTGCATCGTTGGTCACAACATCCGAATACAAAAACCGGCTCGAGGTAGTTCGGCTCCTGGCCCGAGATACCCTCATCAGCACGCCGACACACTGGCGACATCCCCTCCTTACCGACAAATTCGCGGTACCAGTGGAGAATATGGGAGGAGCAGGCTCAGGTTCAGCTGGTCTTCCGATCGTTCTTTTCCACCTACAGGCTGCTGCTTGTGGTCCGGGCTCTTTGGATACATATTGGGATTGGGCTATTGGGGTGATGGAGTGCATTTGGGGCGATCTGGGCATCCTCCATGCCAAGGCCATGATGGACTCTATGAGATCACATCGAGACTCGGTCAAGGTAAAAACAGAAAATGATTTAAACCCGGGTGAGGTAAAGGGGGTCAGGTAAAGGGCATGGTATCGGCCGAGGGTTTTTGGGTGCACAATCTGGCGCATATTCATGGTGATTTTTTGGGGGATTGGGGATGGTGGTTCAGGCATGGGCATCAGGAGCTTCCGTGAGGGTCGTGAAGCTGTAAGCTGTACCACAGTCGGCGACGTTTAGAGTGTTATGTGCTTTCTCAGGCGTTGAGTTGTTTGGGACACCGCCTGCTATGGCTTGTTTTGACAGGGTGTCGGCGCAATACTATCTCCATTTGTTGGGTTTCTGCAATTCCGCTACTGACTTTATCGGGTCATCTTTTGGTATGAATTTTAAGCATATTGGCTTAGTTACTTGCCATCCGTATGAGTGAGGCTGCATTCAGTAAATCCTCATTGTCGAATATTATCTTTATGACAGAACGAAGAGTATATAGGAAAATAAACAAGACGGGACATGACCACCACGGCTCATAGTTGTGATGCTTCAAGCGACCTTTTTTTTTTTTTATCAACCGCCACAAAACGTACTGTGTTGGTTGCACCCGAGTACTTGCATCGAGCATACCCGATGGGTCTATATATACGGTCAAAATGGTTTGCAAACGGCAGTCCTGCAATGCATGTGGGGTTCGCACTCGACAAGTTCACCAACCTGGTAAGTATCCAAACTAAGCAAGCAGATAGGGAAAAACAATGTCCATTCATGGCATGAGAACACAGCACCAAATAAGTATTCTCCTCTCAATCAAAAGGCTTGATGACGGCCCGGAGAGCAACTCAGCAGAGGTAATACAGCAGCAGTACAACTAAAGCTTAGAAACAAGGTTCAATAACACAAGAACTCATCAATAAGGTTTGCAGACGCTACAAACTACGCCGTGACAGTCGCAATCAAGTTGTAAATGGGCATGCAGGTCGAGGAAAAACGAGGCACCAGTATAAGCTCATCCCACGTGATGGGGTTGTGATGGTCTCAATAAACCTTCTTCCGCGTTGGCTAAATTTCAACGTAAGAGATGGAATATTCCCTCCAAAAATCTCCAAAACCAGCAGCAGCAAACGTGGTATTTCTCTCTTAACAATCACCATTAAATACCCAAAAAGGCTTGTTTCCCCAGATGTTCAGTGGGACCTGACTAAACCCCCCGGAGAAATAGTGCGGCCCGCAGGGTTAGCACGTGCATAATTGCAGCCGCTTTCGCAAGGCTGCCGTGTCACAGTCAACTCCACTTCATCACATAGCCTTATCGCAACGACCATCCCGAGGACATCTCACGTTTCTCGATCATCATTATATCCAACCTCAAACTCTCCTGGATCGACTCATCCTCATCGCTCAAATTCCAACAACTTCAGTATATCACTCCTTGCCCAGCATGGGGTCTGACGCTCGCAAAGGTAACGCGACTTGCCACGGGCGCGTGACGAAGTTATGCTAAGCGCATCATATAGGCGAGGACGGCACGATCAAGGTTGCATCGAAGAAGAAGAAGAATGGAGTCGTCAAGTTGAAGAAGCTCCCGCCCAAACACAGCAAGCCTGGAAACTGGAGGGACGGTAGTGTTGCGGAAGGTATGACCGGATGTCATGTCTAAACTCTCAGGGCACAAGGGACTAATTGAGCCAAAGACAAAAAGAAGAATGGCAACTATTCACCTACAGGAGCGCCTTCGCCAGGCCCTGTTGTGAACCAACTCGACGAAACTGCGCACGAAACGTTTGCGACCGGCCGACCCCTCGAAGACAATCCCGACCTCCAACAATGCAAACACTGCAAGAAGAGCGTCCTAAAGACAGCGGCAAAAGCACACATTGCGCAGTGTCTCCGAGTGAAAAAGGAAAAGGCGCAAAAGAAGAAAGAGGCGCGCGAAGCCAGAGAAAGGGCAAAGGAGGCTGCAAGGCAAGAGGAAGCACGCAAGGAGGACGAGGAGAATGGCGAAGGGAAAGGCGACGATGACAGCGACGAAGATGGAATCTCAGCTGAAAAGAAACCCACTGGAAGCAAAACCGCCAAGAAGGCTGCCGGGAAGAAGCCTGATGACGACAAGAAGGGCAAGAAACGGAAGGCCGATGGCGATCCAGATAAGGGACCTAAGACGAAGAAGAAGAAGGACGAACCCAAGGCTAAGGTTCCTAAACCAAAGGGTAAGCATTCTACGAAACATTTTTGGAGGATCAGCTAACCATGTACACCAGGCCCTGTGGATGTGGAGCGACAATGTGGTGTTATATTACCTAACGGGCAGCCTTGTGCGAGATCCTTGACTTGTAAAAGTCACAGTATGGGCGCCAAACGTGCCGTTGCTGGTAGATCTCTGCCATATGATATGCTTCTTGCGGCCTACCAGAAGAAGAACCAAGCAAAGCAGCAAAGTGAGTTCCCATCAGCTCCTACGTAGCCATCTAAGAACACGGCTAAGCATTGCTCCTTCCCCCCATTTAGAGGCAGCACTCGACGCCAATGCTCCCGTAGAGGACGAGGACGACGCAAATAACGGTCCTGTCGACTCGGACGAGGAAACATCCGCCGTGATGGGCGCGCTGGCTACTTGGAAACCCCAGCCCGTGATGGCGCAGCCCACATTCGCCCCGATCAAACGTCAGTACCAGCTTGCCAGGCTGCACGAACAGCTTCAGATGGCTACGAATGGTGGCAGAACCAACATCTTCGCCGTGAGCGGCTTCGGTGCGCAAAAACTCCCCGAGGGCCATCCTGGACTGCAGGAAAACGAGGACGCACCAGGGGAGCTGGACATAGGAGTTGTGGGATTCGGGGCACGAACAACGGCAACGTTTACTCCCCAACGGCAGGCCTCTGTCTCGAGTAGGGCATAGGCTCTGAAGATAAATCAATCCTAGCGCACAATCACCCCTAGGAGGCCCCCAAAGCTCGAGCTATGATCCTTTCGACGATGAATCGGACCATACCCTGGAAGGCATCGAGCGGAATGACGATCGCTAGACAGGATAATCGCCTGCATGTCCCCACCGGGAGAGCTTCGTTGGTTTCAAGCTTGGATTCATACTTGAACAACCAGAGCAAACGACTCATCATAGCTCCATTTAAGGCTGATCTAGACCTATTTTGACATTTAGGCATCTTCGTTCGTCTCTCAAGTCGTCTTTTTCCATACCTCGGACAAACGTCACATGCGAGTCCAGAATGGGCGGCGCCGAGGTGCGGTCAGATTGGCGCTAGGCTATGACGTCGTGCTCAAATGGCGGCGAGCCGACCACCCTTGCAACTCGGCATGCAGCTCGCGATCGCTGGTTCTCATCACGCACGCGACCGCGTGTGCCCTTGGAAAAATAACGACATTGATTCAACACTGATCAAGCAGTTGAGACAGCGGGCGTCGTCGCGATGTCTTCCAAACAGGCCCTCAATGCCCTTGGTCATGCCGTTTCAGGCTCCATTGGGACAGCTATATCGACCTCGTCTCTCTACCCGCTCGATCTGATAACGACTCGACTCAAAGCGCAGCGCAAGACCGCGGACACTACCGGCGACTACGATGGAATCATTGCCGCCTTCAACGGGATCGCGGCAAACGAGGGAGGAATCAAGGCCCTGTACAGCGGTCTAGGGACGAGCGTGGCCAAGTCTGTCGTGGACAGCTTTCTATTCTTTGGGTTCTACAACTACCTACGTCGACGAGACCGGACGCCCAAAATTCTCGAGGAACTTGCTATTGGCGCTATTGCTGGCGCCTGCGCCCGAGCCCTAACCACTCCCATCTCCAACGTGGTCACTCGAAAGCAGATGTTAGGGGACGAGCAGTCGCTTAAGGAGATTCTGACCGAGATGAGGCAAGAAGGTGGTCTGCTTGGCTTGTGGTCTGGCTATTCAGCTACCCTGGTTCTTACACTCAACCCCAGCATCACTTTCTTTGTCAATCGGCGACTTGCGGCACGCATTATCCCAGCGCTCGAGGAAGAGGATTTCCCCATTGCATGGATCGCCTTCTTGATTGCTGCCTCGAGCAAGGCGGTCGCCACCGCCGTCACCTATCCTTTCCAGACGGGCAAGACACGGCTACAGATGGCGAGCGGCTCGATCGACCTGGCAGAGCAGGATGAGAAGGGACAAGAGGCGAAGTCAAAAACGGAACGGATCCTGAGAAGGATGGTTGAGTTCCTGGACCAGAGCATATTTGGGGTCATCCTTCGCATCATCAAAACCGAGGGCCTGCAAGCACTGTACGCAGGGCTTCGCGCCGAGCTACTCAAGAGCTTCTTCAGCCATGGCCTAACAATGCTCACCAAAGGTGTCATTCATAGGTTTGTCGTTCGGGTGTGGTTCATGGTACTCCTACCTCACCTACGGCAACGAAGACTGCGGATGAAGTGATGGATTCTCGACTGGGTTTGACATGGACTAGCATTGGAAAGCAACACTCGACTTCTCCACGGTGCTGGCTCCTCGTGCTGAGAAGCCTGTTCCCTCGGACCGAAGGGCGACGAGGCCGGGAATCGAGGAGCCCTTGGTTGCTTCATGTTTCTGGGACTTGGAAGTCAGAGGCACGTCGCAGACGTAACAGGTCAGGGGCGGGTCGACCTCTGAAGACGACTTCTTGGTGGACGGGAGCATGAACTGCTTGACACAGTTGTGGCACATTACGTGGCCACATTGTTTAGCCATCATGGGGTTGGAGGCGTTGTTGAGCATCTTGCGGCATGAAGGGCACGTTCTCTGGTTGCCCTTCGATGTCTCCTCCTCGTTGAAGTTGATTGTAATGAGGTTTTGCATGGTTATCGGGTGGGCATCGTCTGGCGATGATGCCGGGCAAGTCGGCACCGTCTTTGCCTTCTTGACGACAGGAGGGAGTTTACTTGTTTGGGCATCTGGAGTAAGTGATGGAGTCCAGAAGGAAGGGAGCGAAGGTTTAGCGGCCTGTATTAGAAAACATTTGTTAATTAGGGATAGCGGCATGGGTATAAGTCTGTTAAAGCACACCTTTTCGTCTTCAATTGCTTTTCTCGCCTTGACTTTGTCTTCTCGTGCAATGCGATCTAGCTCATCTTGATCAAGCTCGAACTTGCGCTTCGTACCTACGAGAGCTAATGCATTCTCGCCACTTGTAGCTTCTGTAGTCGCATCTTCCGTTTTCGCCACAGGTCCCTTGCTTTTTCTGCTTAGTCCAGCTTGCGTCAATTCGAAATCCGCAACGGCGCGCTCGCGATCCTGCTCGTCCTCAAGTGCTCTGAGCTTAGCAGCCTCCTCCTCTGCCGCGGCGCGAGCCTTGTCGGCGCGCTTGATGTCCTTTTTCTGCGTAAGGATATTTGAGAGGGCGCACTCGCGACAGAAGATGTCGCCGCGACGGCAGGATACGGGATCGCGGGCGATGTTGAGGCAGAGGCCGCAAGAGCCAAAGGGGAGGAACGAGTCGCGATGGAGACGGGCTGAAGACGAGGCCCAGTGGGATTTCGCGAGGGCGCGCTCGTGCGAGGTGAAGACGGGACGAGAAGTGTTTCGTTTGCCTTTTGTATGGTTAGTCGAATGGCCGGTTCGAGGTGAAGGCGGGAATCGAACGTACTGTGTGACATGATGGGAGCTGCTTCGTATGGTGACGTCGATGTTTGCTTCGAGGATGAGAGGAACTCGTTCTTTGGGATGCTTCGATCGGAAGGTTTGCGTGTCAATTATAGTATAGGGGTATCAAAGAGGACGCCGTCGCGAATCCGAAGGTTAGAGCAAGTGTTGTTGGAAATATAAGAGAAATGAATGTCGAGGTTCGGAAGGACGTCGATGAGCTGCCCCAGACGAAGCACGTTATTCTCTAGGGTAAGCCGGAAAAAGTTGGCAGTGGGTCTGTCATGAGTCCGCGTCTCCCCGTCGCGCAGAACCATTCTCAATTATATACTTTATTGTATAACTCATTCTCACCAACTCGAATCGGTCGATTCACCCAGTTGAACGGGGGTTCGTATATTCAATTGCTGCTGGACGAGGCGTGAGCTAGCTCACGTTTCTTGCCAGCCCGTCTTCAACGTCATGTCCGACTCCGATCCTCCTCCTCCCGTCCAGCCGAGTTTGCCATGGCGCATTACCTCGACGGCTCTGATGGGCTGTGTCAGCATGCTCACGAGAGGGTTCATGTACGGCCTCAACGATATGGAAGTGCGAGGGCTGGATGGATTACTGGGTGTGCTTGAGCGGCGGAAAACTCAAGGCCGTGAGCGCGGGTTGCTGACAGTGTGTAACCATGTCGCCGTGTATGTGAATCTCGTTGAAACGCAAGATTTTTTTTACTCTTACTAACCATAAATTAAATTCATTCTTTAGACTCGATGATCCTCTAATCTGGGGCATTTTGCCGTTCCGCTACGCTTTTGACGGTGCCAATATGCGATGGGGCCTCGGCGCCCACGACATTTGCTTCAAGAACAAGTGAGTTCCCAGGTCTCGATGAATGCGCAAAGGTTGACCAGTGTAGGGCCACATCGACATTCTTCACGCTTGGCCAAGTACTTCCCACTCATAGGTTATGGCACTCTCCGTATGGCGGCTTATACCAGCCAACAATGACTCAAGCCATCAAGCTCCTCTCTGGTCCATCTCCATCATCCTGGTCGACAGCCTCAGACTCGGCCCTGGCCACAGTTCCGCCTTCACCAGCTCCTCCCGTCCCCGAACCCCTCTTCTTCTCTACCAACGGTGTCGACAACTTCACAGCACCCGCCGCCTTCTCAGTCAACCGAAATGCCTGGCTTCACGTCTTCCCCGAGGCCTGTTGCCACCAGAGTCCGGATAGTGGACTACGATACTTCAAGTGGGGTGTATCTCGCTTGATCCTCGAAAGCGACCCAGCCCCTGAGTTCATCCCCATGTTCGTCCATGGGACTCAGCACATCATGGCCGAGGATAGGGGCTTCCCGAGGTTCTTACCACGCATCGGAAACAAGGTCAGGATAGTGATAGGTGAGCCAACAGATGTTGACCAAGTCTTTGGCCACCAGCGAGCGGCATGGAAGAAGCTTGTTGAAAAGGGAGATCCAGAGTTGCTCAGGGATAGCCCAGAAGCCAGGGAGCTCAGGGTCTCCGTCGCTAAGCGTGTAAGAGACGAAGTCGAAAAGTTGAGAGAGAGCATAGGCTTCCCAGCCGAAGAGGATGGCACAGCTGCTCTGGCAGAAACATGGGCCAAAGATCCTCACAAGAAGAAATACAAGAGCCCCGTTGACGGGAGTCTTGTCAATAGACACTGAACAGAAAAAGAAACAAGTAAAAATCCCAAAACACGAACAAGCTCGTCCGATTCGCTGAAGCAAAGATAATCCCATGCCATGCCCAAGAAAAAGAAAAGTCGCCCATCGCAACTCGATATTAGTCGACTCTGGTTGGTTGTCAAACGACGACAGCAAGGAATAACGACATCAGCCACGCTGCCATCAATCAATCCCCATGATCCAACTTCTTTCGCGCCCCTTTCTAATCCATGCTGACCCCGAACTCCATAGTGCTTGCATTCGTTACATAATAATTCCATAGTTTTGAGGTTGCTGCGTCATCCACGCAACTAGATCCAAGGGGCCTAAACAGTGAGCACATAGACAGAGCTAGCAATTTGTGAATACGCTCAAGCTGAGTCTGCTGAAGCGCTGCGGTTTGTCCAAAAGATCTAGTAGGCATCGAAACCTTGACCTGGGACCGACTGGGGATAGGCACGGGCCTGTGCCTGAAGAGCTTGCTGTTGCTGTTGCTGTTGTTGCTGGGGGTGCATCAACAGGTCACTGAACCAAGCATGCTGGAGGGCCTCGTGGGCACTGATTCGCAACTCTGGTCGAAGCTGGAGCATCCTTTGCAGCAGATCGATACCGGTTGAGTCAATGGCCGGGAGAATGTTCCGGAGGTCCTGGGTGGCGTACATCTGGAAAGTCGGCTTGTACTCAGGGAACTGAGTAATGCCGGGCCAGGTACGCTCTGTGGGAGTCCCCATAATGCGGAAGATGCGGATGATCTGATCCTCATTGGTGGTTCCAGGGAATAGCGGCCTGCCGGTGAACATTTCGGCCATGATACAGCCGGCAGACCAGATGTCGATGCTTGTGTTGTATGTTCGGCTACCAAGCAAAACGTCGGGGGCACGGTACCATAGGGTGACGACTTCGTTGGAGAAGGTGTTGACGGGGATGCCAAAGGCGCGGGCGAGACCAAAATCACCGAGCTTGAGCAGACCCTTGCTGTTGATGAGCAGGTTCTGGGGCTTCAGATCGCGATGAAGGACACGGTTCTGGTGGCAGAAGTCAATACCCTTCAGCAGCTGGTACATGAAGGACTTGATGGTGGCAGGCTTCAGGGCACCTCGCTCGCCGTGGGTGTCCATGTATCTTTTAAGATCGCCGTCCATGTACTCAAACACGAGCATGAGCTTGTTCTCGGTGTGAATAACATCGTGAAGTCCGACAATGTTTTCGTGCTTGAGCTCCTTCATCAAGGAAATCTCTCGGATGGCGGTCGACGGGGTGCCCTCTTCGGAATCGAGATGGATTTCCTTAAGCGCCACGAGCTCTCCAGTTTGCCTGTTACGCCCTTTGAAAACCTGTATCGCATAATATATCAGCAATTGAGACTCTCGGTATCGCGCATCGTACAGGAAGAAACAAGTAGCGATACAGGGTGTGGTGGGTGATGGGGTAAGGGAGGGGAGGTTGAAGCTTGAATGATCAACGCAAACTTACCGTGGCATAGGTACCCTCGCCGAGCTTCTCGAGCTGCTGGAACGAGCTTGGATGTCGCTTTCCGTCCATGATGAATCGTTCCTTGCGCAAAGAGGTCTTGGTGGATAAAAGAGAGGGTGAGGCGGCAATAGCAAACGTTTGGGTAGCGAGCGGTGGGTGGATGTTCGGCTGGTGGTTGAGGAATGGCGTGTCACCGACTTTGACTTTTGGGTTGGAACTTGGGACTCGAACACTTGTAGAGGGTGTCAAAAGGAAGTCGGAGGGTCCCGGGAGTGAAGAAATCAGTAAAAAAGAAAGCAAGAGATGATTTCCTTCTCCCTGAAGCTGCCTGGTGTTGGTGACGGAGTAACAAAGTCGCCCTCTTTTTTTTTCTCGCCCTGGTCGCTTTTCGACTCGCGCAGCCTTTCCTCGTAGTTGCCGCCTGAGATGGAGGGGGAGAGCAGAGCAGCCCCTCTGAGGGGCCGAAGGGATGGACCCGACAGCCAAAGGGGAAAGGTTATTGACCCGCTACAACGATATAGTGCGTGCTAGGGTGTCAACTATTCACACCGAGTGCCAATCTCAACGCCAGCTTGACCAGATGGAAGAACGCAATGTCACGGGCCATGCTCATCACTCAACAGAGTACGAATGGCGCCGCCGACATAGGCGCACGCGCACCCATTCAGACAGGCCCCACACACCCCCACCTGCCGTGTATGGTGTTGATGGCTTATCGCCCCATGCCCCGTGTCTCTCCCCTAACAGCTGGAGCGCTATCACATAACCCCCCTGCGATATCAAGCCATCGTCATCGAGCTACACTACTTTCCCGCATCTCCCGTGTCTGACTTGACAACTCCTTAACTTCAACTCGAAATACTGCAACTCGTTGTCCTTCTCCTCCGTCCTGTGATATTCCTCCTGACTGCTTCTTTGACCACCTGCTCCTGTCTCTCGCCGGCGAGGTGCTGTAGATGGGATAACCCTCCCTTTGCCAGATATACACCAACTGCATCCCTGCATCGCGCGCCAGCTCGCCTCCCTCTGCACCATGAGACCTGTCTTGCCTGCGAACCACCCCCTCAATAACCAAGCCTCTGGTCGCTCAGGTCGGCCAGACAGTCTTGTCTGCGGTCCCTCGACTGCTCCCACCTCGTGCTTCATCGCCAGCGAGGCCGACCTTGACGCTCGCCGAGATCGCTCTCGTCCCAGATTCCGCCAGCAAGCCGATCGTCGCAAGTGCAGCCGTAGCGCACGCGAGCCGTCAACCCCGCGCCGAAGGCCTTCACCCACTCGCAACGACAAGGTTCCATCTTCAACCTCGGAATCAGAGGAATCGATAGTTGAGCAGGATCCCTTGGCTCTCCCTTCACGATCGAGCACTCCGTCCTTGATCGACCTCTCACGACCCGAATCGGTGCTGAGTGGTTCGTCTCGGAGTTATTCACTTGCTGGGCCTTCCATCGAATGTCCAAGCGACTCACTGCTAGACGACGCATCTTTACCAGAGACCGACATGGCCGACAACCGGGGTCATGACAACTCCATCCCTCAGCTAATCATGCCCAGCCTGACAGTCCCACGCCGACGCCCTTTTTCTGAAGTGGGCAAGTCACTGGGCAAGCTGAAGATTATGGTGTCAGGTCGTAACGGTATGTCTGGCCATGAAAGTAGCGACATGTGAATGAGACTGACCATATTTCAGGCATTGGCAAAACCTCACTCATCAAGACCTTGGCACAGCGTTGCGAGCACATCGTTCACATGGACCCAATAGAGAACAGCAGCGCAGTGCATGCAACTGAAACATATGCCAGTTCAAGGCCTCATCCATGGTGGCGATCCGACTCTGACCTCACAGTTACCACACGGAGACGTATCTCAACTACCGGTGATGTCCTGGATAGGAATGTTTGCTTCGTTGAAAGCCCTAGGCATCAGCCCGGTGCTTCTGTACGCTCTCACATTATCTCGGCTGTGACATACAATGTACTGACAACTCGCTTAGGGGCCATGGCGTGACCTGCACTATGTCGAGTCTTACCTGGCATCTCTCATGAGCAAGCCTATGGCGGATTCCGATTTGCTGGCTCTGGTCAACTCTGGAGGTGTTCCAGTTGTAGATGTTTTGCTCTATCTTATTCCCCACAGTGGTGAGTATTCATTTACCTACAACATGACCAAGACTGCTGAACATATTCTAGGTCTTACACGGGAGGATGTGCAATACATCAAGCATGCTCAGGGGATGACTAACGTTATACCCATCCTGACACGTGCTGATGAGCTCGCCGCAGAAGAAACTGGACACATCAGACAGCGAGTTGCGAAGCAGTTGGCCAATGAAAATATCGACTACTTCTCCTTCGACGGCCCTGAACCATCCGACGAAGCATGTCGAGTGTACGCCATCTCGACCAAAACTCAAACTGATTACGATACCATGGACGCCAGTGTCCTGATGAACTCGGAATACAACCCACCCCTCGTCCCGACCGACCTGAGCAGGCTCGTCGACCACATTTTCTCGCTGGATGGTAGTGCTCGGCTACGCCATGCTGCAGCTATTAAATGCGTCAAGTGGCGCCGTGACCATGGTGATAGTCTTCTTCAGAGTGCTCTTTCCAGCGGTTGTATGGTGTCTCGAACCGTTCCTCAGAGTGCCTTGAGGCTGCGCCCCTTCCGGCGATCTCAGAGCTGGGAACGACTGGAGCTGTACAACTGGGCGAACAATTTACGGCAAAGTCTCCACTCAGAGCGACTTTATCATCTGATGGAGGAAAGGTCGAACTCTGACGCTCCTGCGTACGAGTCATCCCTTGTACGACTTACTCCGGACGTGAACCAGAAAAGACGACCGAAGAAGCGAAACACCAAGACACCCACTCACCAAGATCCGCTTGGGCTGTTGCAGATAGGGGGTAAACTCAAGCAAAAGGGCATGTTTGCGCTGGAGATGGTGAGCAGTTTCGGTTTGATCGGCTTGGTTCTTTCTCGACTAATTCACTCCAACTGGGCAGACGGCGTTTGCTCCATTGTCGGGACGAAAAGGATGGGGATGGAGGTAGGTCAGCTGAACATGCTGCTGCCTCTTTAAGGGTGAGGGTGGTTGCTGAAGCCATCGCCACGGGATAATGGTGTTGGCTGGGACATGTACGGGTTCCTCTGAGAGCCTGATGGAATGTAGGGGTGCTGGAAACGATGTGTGCCGGATTTTCAAGATACCCCCAAATACACTACTTTTTTTCTGAACCGATTACTATGTATGCCATTGCTTTAACGATGAGTGTATTGCCAGAAATCCTGGGATTATTCAACTAGATTCGCCTTCCTGAACACTATAGAAAATCGTGTCCTCCTTACGAGCACATCTCCCCTTACTATCAGTAATGCTGAGTGACGGTTCCTAGTCGCCTCTCACATTGAAGCGGTTCTATCCCCGTAGTAGTAGAGCCACAATGCCCGTTTTTAGGAACTTCCTTGGCGAGAACTGTGTCAACGAAGGTAGACAATGCTCTTGTATGCGAGTGTCCACCTATAGCTGCCATGGCATGAGGACTTCCGCGACCTCTATTGCCGAGTGATGTGCCTCACATCCGGCAAGATGGTTCTTGAGTCAAGTCTCAGTGGGATGACTTCTTGGCGGCTGTAGGTGGAAATCCAAGGGCAGTGGCCGCAGCCTGAAGATCTGGAACGTCATCCGCTGTTCGAGAAACATGAGCCCATCGGATAGTGCCATCACGGTCCACAGCAAAAGCGCCACTAGTCTGCCACCGCGAGCCGCTCTCAGTCGGCCGGTTCCAGATGCCCTCGTTCTTCCCGAGGCTGAATACGGACCACAGCGTGACGGGGTTCACGGCGTGCCATGTAGAGGAGATTCCGAGGCCCCATTTGGCGTAAATGTCGCGGCCCTCGTCAATCACCATGTCCACGTCCCAGCTGCCGCCGACCTGGGGCAGCCAGTGATCTGTGGCTTCCGCTGAGGAGTGGGATACGGCGATGCAGTGGACTTGGTGGTGTTCTTCTGAGAGGGCCGCGAGGGACTTGAAGGTTTTTTCGGCGACTGACTGATGGTGAGCGCTGAGTTGTGGATACGAGCGGGTGGGTTGACATTGGGGATATACATACAAGGACATCCGCAGTGACGGAGGAAGACGACTAGAGTGGGTTTTCCATCTGGAAGGCGAAGCTCGGCCATCCAAGGGGCTTTGGATCCAACCTCGACAGGAGGACCGACTTCTTTAGCCTCGGGCGTCTTCCAAGACTCGAGCTCCTTCCAGAACCCGGTGTTGCCGGTCTTGCTATCTGCTGGAGTAGCCTGTGACATTTCTCCTACTTTGATTATGTATATAGGGTTGTATTTGTTTTGTAAGGGCGATTCGTGGGTGAGAGGTAGATATGTTGTCGTTGTGCGAGGTGAGTTGTTGCTTTTGAGTCTCGTGATATCCGAGGTGGTGTAAGTGTGCCACCTCTCCAATGACATAATGCGCTTCCCTTGACCGACCATACTGAATCAAGTGATCATGTCTTTGATAAGGCACTCCATACTATCAATTTTACAGACAGAAAATTACTACGATAACATGTTGATTAACATTCATTACTCTCATCTGGACATTTGCAGTGCTTGAAGCTGGTGACATGATTAGATAAGCTAACAAAATGTCGTATTTTCCACCCCCCCAAATGCATTTGTGTAGGGTAAGATTATGGAAACACCATGTGAAAATGCTTGATTATTGAGTTTATGAGCTGTGCATAGTGCAACAATTGTCCCTTCCTCCTTTCATTTCCAGGCCTTTTTGCATGAGATCTACTTATTCATTTCATCTGAATCTTCTTCTTGACAATATCCGATGCGTGAGATTATCAGTCTCCAGCTTGGCCAGCTGAGCAACTATACGGCTACTCACTTCTGGAATGCCCAGGTAAGATCACTGCTCTAACAGCCCTGAAGATGCATCACTAACACAAATATAGGAATCATATTTCACGTATTCGGCGGATGAGACGTCGCCCATTGACCATAATGTTCACTGGAGAGCCGGCGAAGGTGCTGATGGCTCCGAAACATTTCTCCCACGGACAGTCATCTATGACCTCAAAGGTGGCTTTGGCTCTCTGCGCAAGATCAACGCCCTCTATGAGGCAGAGTCGGAGGTTGATGCGGCCTCTCTATGGTGAGTTACTGCTCTAGTGAAGACACAAACTCAAGGCTTACAACTCTTAGGTCAGGCCAATCTGTCGTCCACAAGCAGACGCCCATCGACCCCAGCGCCTACCAGCAAAGTCTGGACGCAGGCACAGAACCTCCCCAACTGACGACGTCCACCGTGAGATACTGGTCCGACTTCTCTCGTGTCTTCTTTCACCCTCGGTCTCTGGTCCAGCTCTATGACTTTGAGCTCAACTCCACAACCATGCCATTTGAGCGCTTCTCCATGGGCACTGAGCTGTTCTCCGTCCTTGACAAGGAGCATGAGCTCGTGGATCGCGACTTTCGACCCTTTGCAGAGGAATGTGACCGGCTGCAGGGGATTCAGGTGTTTACTACCATCGATGACGCTTGGGGTGGCTTCTCATCCTCGTATCTTGAGTCGCTGCGGGACGAGTTCCCCAAATCCTGTATCTGGACCTGGGGTCTGCAAAGTCCCTTGCTCGACATCCCCAGAGCTAAGCGCCAATTGCGACTGGCGAACCTAGCCCACAGTGTTGAGCAACTTTCCACTCAAGCCTCGACTTTGGTACCGTTGGCTCTGCCCGAAAACGACTTGTCGGCTGGCGTGTCCATGGATCGCCGCTCGGCATGGCACACATCTGCCCTTATGGCGGCGGGAATAGAGACTGCCACTCTGCCATCACGCCTGTCACAGGGCTCTGTTGATCAGCCGGCTTCTCTAGATGACTTGGCCGAGAGTCTTAATGCGGCTGGCAACCAGCCACTGGCGAGCATGCACATGTCTCTGGCAGCTACGAAAGACGCCCCCCAAGACAGCCGCATCGATGTCGACTTCTTCCAAGTAGGACGGCAGTGGAATAGGCAGCATGTCCAACAACGGGATACGCACAAGCACATATTTGGCTCGATTCTGTCCTGCCGAGACCTAGATCCCCTGGAGAATGCAGACCAGGGTGCAGCTGGACACCTTGGTCGGGGTGAACGCCCAATCATTGGCAACTCCGTTGTTCGCAAGTATGTACACCCCCTTTAATGCTTCTCAAGAGGACTCATACTGACTCTTTTCGCCTAGATATGATTCATCTCTCCGATTCCCTCTGTTGGATGCATACCCGCAAATCTACTCTCGCCTAGCAGGGCAACCCGACGTTGGTGTGCAGACCACCCTTTCCACCAACAGCTCCATGGTACAGCGAATCAGGACATTGCGGTCCGAATCGGCACGGCTCGTGGCGATCAACGAAAGAGAAGACTTGGGCAATGGCCTGGCTGAGCTTGCAGACGCCTACCAGGAAGGCTGGTTCAGTGGCAGCGATGAGGACGACGACGATCTGTGAGAGGATGTTGCTATTTGGATGACAAGACCGCAGGGTAATGCGCTCATGATACAGCCTTCCACAGGTATGCTGTTTAGAGTGAATAGCCTTTGTTTGGCATCCATTCCGTGCATCATCTCAGGTTGGAACAAGCAACTCATGCACACTGGTCTTTGCAACATGACGTGACACTCGATGAATGAGTTTGATGAGGCCCATTAGGCCTCAAACACGCTTGTATTGATCTAGTAAAGCGATGTTCCTAGTTACAGGAGCAAATATGGAATTGCTCAAATGCTTCAAAAAGAAGTAAGTGCTCGGAGTCCTCGGAACGCCGCCCCCTGGACTCGTGATATCGTCGCAAGATGCGACTGTCGTCTAGGCTAGTTGCCCCCTTCGCACGCGATACGATGCGTGCCTCTGCTGAGATAGGTATTAATGTGAATTATTCAACCTGTCATTCACGTGATGCCACCAGCAATGGGTTGATATTTGTGACTGCACCTGCAAGTCCCCCAAGCCAAGCAGATCAGTCAAGATGAGAAAGTCTTTCCCCCTTATCTTTTTTTGTGCTTTTTGTTTTATGTTAGTATGGTTATTGGCTTGTGAAGCCATAATGCCAAGCCATTTATGGACTTGCCGGGATTTCGAGAGTGTGTTTGTGTGGTCCACACAGAATCAAGTCAACTTCTTTTCGAGTCAACAACTGTCAACGAGACATTCTGGGGATGCGAGATGGTATACTCAGCCAGCGGCCGCAACCGAGGCCTGTTGTCTCTTGGCGGGAGGGGGGTTTTCCTATCGATCCATTAGTTTGTCCCATCGCTTGAGGGGCCTTGCCGTCGACGACGACGCATCTTGGCGATCGAGGGGGGATCGCGTCGACAAGAATCAAATACCTCTGGAGGTCCGCGTTTCTTGCCGTTTGTCGCGCCCTTAGCGACCACAGGCTTTCTTTGGGGCTTCTTCTCGTCGGCGTCAAAAACGTCATCTGGCAGGTTGAAGCTGTGTGAAAGTCAGCAAGCTAGGATACGGTGGTAGTTAAAATGTCATGTTGCAACTTACTTCCGGACGTGTTGTACGCCGATTGACACGGTCGTTTTCAGCTCATCCTTGTACTTCTGCCACGAGGTGCAGAGCTCCTTGAACTCATCAACCTGGTAAGATAGATCAAGAGATTTGGCACCTGCAAAGTCAGTACCCCCGCAACTCAGGGATAGATGCTCAAAACATACCTCCGCTCAGTTCAAGGCCGATGTAGTGAGTTGTCGTGTAGACGTCGGTCACACCGGGTGCCACAGGCTTGACTTCATCAGAGGTCTCAGACTTGACAACTTCAACCTTGGCGATGCCGTCACTCTCTGTCGTTTCGGGCTCGGACTTGATGGGCTTGCTGTCCTCCTCAGGTTCGGCCTTGATGGGCAGTTCGGCTACCGCTGGTTCGGATTTGCCCACAGGCGTCTCCTCGGTCCTCTCTGTACACAAGTAATCAAGGCTGCCATCTTGCACAGCGGCGATTTCCTGATCGCTATGGCACCGATGATGACGGTCATAGCCCTTGTTGAATGCATGGGCCAGCGCGATAGATGGATGTTGTTCCAGCTTCTGTACAAGCATTCGCACCTTGGATTCAACGTAACCAGACCAGATCTTGTGGTCTTCCTTGGACTTGGCCGAAGAAATCACAGAGATGTAATACTTGTAACCCTGTGTGAAGAAAGTGTGCTTGACGAAGAGATCACTCCAAGGACGCTTGCCCACCATGATGCTTTCGGATATCTGGAGCGCCCGCGAAAGTTCCCTGTTAATGACCTTCATAGAGGAGCGAGTGATATTGAAAGTTGCACACATAGAGGGATAGGCCGGGGTGATGACAGGCATCAGATGAAACGAATCTCCCTTGTATACCTAAGAGAGGATTAGAGATGGATTCTTGGAGGCATCGCTGACAATACTCTTGACATACTCTTGGGTTCCAGACTCGGACGGGAAGTGGTCCACTCTCGATGGGCTTGAGAAGCACAGGTTGCGGCCAGCGCCACTGGCTTATGACAAGGAAGAACTTGTTGACGATCACGGATGGCGTAGCCTTGGGGTAGAGCTGGCAGACACGAGCGACGAGCATTGCCCAAGCTACACCACCGGGAAAACCCATGATGTTGGCGTAGACGGCGCGTCGTTGTGCCCAGAGCTTGATGGCGCGCAGCGCAAGCTTGAAGGTACTCTGCTCGGGTACCAGTGTCAGGATTTCGTCCGTCACTCGTGTGCCGTTGAGCGATCGCAGCTCTGCTTCGTCCAACCCGCGTAGGAGGCCTGAGTCCTTGAGATTTGTGAAATCGGGAGGGAGCTGTTTCTGGATGATCCTAGAGAAAATCAAGTCAATGCTTATGCCAGAGTACTCAAATTTGATAATGGGCACAAAGGCGTCCGTCACAACGGCCAGTCCGGTGATGGCATCTTTGGGGGCCATTGAAACGAGCAGATCGGGAAAGTATTTGAAGTAGTCGTCCCGAGTGACGTATTTGGGCGCAATGATGAGGGTATCGATATCGGATCCTGGGCCGTAGACACCAAGTCGGTAGCTGCCGTAGGTGAAGACCCTGCCTCGCGCATTGCGGATGAGGACATCGTTCTTGGGTTCTTTTTCTTGAGCGACTTGACGGATGAACGCGTTGGCAATATTTTGAATCGACGCGAGAACTTCCTCTCTGTAGCCAAATTTGTCAGTCCCTCTGCTAGACTTTGCGAAATATTATCAAAACCTACCTCTTGGCCGTGTCGGCCTGACTCTCAAATGTCTTTTGACGCTTCAGCTCTTCGAGAAGAGCATCA